AGACGCTGGGAAGTGCGCGGACTAGGCAGGGCCGCAGAGGGCGCTGTGAGGTGCGGCGGAAGAAGGGAGGAGCGCGGCCGGAAGAATCCGCGAAGGCGCGACAGGAAATACGTCGACGGCGGGGCGGAAGTCGCCGGGAGGGCGGGACCCGAAAGAATGCTGGGAGGTGTGGCGGAAAGAGGGAAGAGCGGGAGGCCGGAAATACGTCAGAGGTGGGCGGGAGACGTCGGGGGCGGGGTCTGGTGAGTCCCCAGGGCATGCTGGGAAGTGGGGCGGAAGAAACCTGGATGGGCGGGACCGGAAGAACGTCAGGTGTGGGACGGAAGACACCGGGAGGGGTGGGAACTAGGCCGGGCCCAAGAAGACGCTGTGTTGCGGCGGAAGAAGGGAGGGGCGCAGACGGAAAGACGTCAGATGTAGTGCGGAAGAACGCGAGAAGGCAGCACAGGAAATACGTCATCTTGTTGCGGAAGTCGCCGGGAGGGTGGTGCCCGAATGGTTGCTGGGAGGTGGGGAGGAAAAAGGGTGGAGCGCAGCCGGAAGGAGGTCAGAGGTGGGGCGGAAGAAGCAGATAAGGAGGGGCTTGAAAGACGTCATACGTGGGGCGGGCGACGCCGGGGGCCGGGGCGCGAGAGGACGCTGGGAAGTGTGGCGGAAGACGCCGAGAGGGGCGGGGCCGGGAGGACCCTGGGAGGTGTGAACTGGGTTGCACCCCGACCGCCTGGCGCCCCGGCCCGGCTGGTAACCGGGTTCCCGGGGCCCTGGCTCGGCAGCCGCCAGGCGCAGGCCTTGAGCTGGGGAGGGGCGTCCCCGCCTTTCCCTTCCTTCGGCCGTGCTGGCAGGCCCATCCTCACCGCAGGCACAGGTTCGAGTCCCGGCAGCTCCCAGCTGGGCGCCTGCACCGAGGAGACCCCGTGGGGCGCGTCCTGAAGGGGTCTCAGGGCAAGGGGCGGCCCCTGGTTCCCTGCCAGCCCCACGCGGGCCCCGGGCACGGGCTCGCCCAGCATCCCAGGCTCTGGGGAGAGGCCTTTGCGTGGGTGAAGTGGTTCCCCCGAGGCCTGCACACCCAGGGCCTCCCCGTGGGAGCAGGGCACCCCCAGCCCACACCCCACAAGGTGCACGGATCCTGGCCCGTCTTAAAGAAGAGCCCTTCTCAACTTCCCGCGAAGCTCTGCTGCTTCTGCTTTTGAGGTTTGTTTATTTTTACTGGAAGCCCAATTCACAGAGAGGAGGAGAGACAGAAAGATCTTCCATCTGCTGATTCACTCCCTACGTGGCCACAGAGGCCAGAGCTGCGCTGATTCGAAGCCAGGAGCCAGGAGCTTCTTCCAGGTCTCCCACACAGCAGGTGCAGGGTCCCAAGGCTTTGGGCCATCCTCCACTGCTTTCCCAGGCCACAGGCAGGGAGCTGGGTGGGAAGCGGGGCAGCCGGGACTTGAACCTGTGGGATGCTGGCGCTTGCAGATGGAGGAGTAGTCTGTTGAGCCACAGCGCTAAGCCCAGGTCACTGCTGCTTAACGGGCCCAGGCCTCTCCCAGCACTGCCTGGGGCTGCGAACCAGGTCCACACGCAGCAGGTGCGCTGGCCAGAGCCCAGCCGGGAGCTGGATCCGGGCAGGAGTCAGGAAGATGGGGTGGAGGCTACTCAGGCTCCCACAGCTCAGGGCCTGAGTTCGAGTCCCAGCCCCAGCTCTTGCCAGCGCACGGGCTAAGCCTGCAGGGTTGGCTCAGGTGCTGGAGTCCCGGCAGCCACGTGGGGGACCCCCAGGACAATCCTGGTCTCAGTGGGTCCTATTTGTTGAGGGGCGGCAAGCAGGATTCACTTCCCAGCCTGGCACTGCCCACCAGCCCTCCCTGTCCTGCCCAGGTGGCCTGGGGTGCCCCCTCCCCTGGGGTGTCTGCAGAGGGGGCGAGCAATACGTAGGCATCTGCGGTGAAAGGAACCAGGCCCAGCCAGCCGGTGCTGGAGGGGTGGGGCAGGACCGGGCAACAACGTCCCTCCTCCTGGTCTCCAACTCGGGGACATGGGGACTGTCACGGAGCGATGCCCTACACACCAAACAGGCCCGACATGTTAGAAGACTTGAGGCCCGCTCACAAGCTTGGAGCGTGGAGAAGAGCCTGCTGATCCAGCTCGAACTGGATGGTAGCACAGTGGGTCACACCACTGCCTGTGGCACTAGTGTCCCATATAGGCGCTGGATCAGGTCCAGAGTGCTCCACTACCCATCCAGCCCCCTGTGGAGGACGGCTCTCTAGCACCCCGTTGGAGACCCTGAAGAAGCTCCTGCTTGCTCCTGGCTTCAGATTGGCTCAGTTCTGGCCATTGTGGAAACTTGGGGATTGAACCAGCAGGCAGAAGATCTTCCTCTCTGTCTCTCCTCTCTATGTACCTGCCTTTCCAATAAAGATAAATAAATCTTGAATAAAAATGATTTAGAGGGGCGGTGGTGCACGCTGCCACCTTCTAGAGTGCACACCGGTGGTCCCCTCCCAAGGCTGTGGACTGTATCCCCTGGCCAGTACATCGTATCCTGTCAGGCCTTGCCCCTGCCGGAGTTGCCCTCTTAAAGCCCCGGGGTGCTGCAACTGTTACAAAAAAGGCACTGCTCCCCTCTTCCAAAGGTGCCAGGTGGACAGGTCCTGAGCTGGCCCCAGGACGGGTGCTGGGCAGGTGGCCCAGCCTGTGTACCCACGGGTGGGAGATGCTGTGTGAAGCCAGGGACCACTCCCTACCTCCAGGGTTCCAGAGGCCACTTCAGGATTGGCATCCGGATCTTCTGCCGTGTCACAAAGGGGAGACTGAGGCAGGCACCTGGGAGTTTTGGGAGGTGGGCCTGCTTTAGTTCTATCCCATGGTGGAGCTCGGCTTACACCCAGCTCCCGGTGCATGCACCGGGTTCCTGTGGGCACCTGGGGAGTGAGCCAGCAGGGCGGGAGACGTTCTCTCTCGATCTGCCTTTCCCCTGCCCCGTAGGCCTGGGTGCTGTCCCAGTGGCCCCTCCACCCCCTGGTAGCTTGCCCCACAAAGCTCCGGGTCCCAGGTATGGGACCACACCCTGGGAAGCCACAGGCTGCAAACACAAGAGTCTCGCCTCGGTACCCCGGAGTGAGCAGGGGTTTGGGGCTGCGACCCACAGGCATAGGCACAAGACAAGCTGTGAGGACCAAAGGGGTATATCCTGGCTCCCACCCAGCCCAGGGCAGCAGGAACTGCGTCCCCTGTGGCCAGCCAGGTGGGCCCAGACCCCACGGAGAGCTTGCTCATGACGTGGCGCCCTGGCCACGGTGGTCCACTCGTGGAGCCGCAGACCCGGCTGTCTGCTGCTGCACACACTGGGACACAATGTTCCCCACCTCCCCAAAAACAAAAACCAGACCTAGGAGGGCTCTGGGCTCCTGGCCCATGTGCTGAGTGAGCAGTCAGTGCTGCTGGCCACTCTCACAGGGCCGTGCAACCATCACCTCTTCTGGTTCTAGAATGTTCCCAGCAGCCGTCCTGGTCCCTGCTTTTCCCCTTCCTCTCCCAGTGGATCTGGCAATGCTGCACCGCCCCCTCCCTGAAGCTCCACCTGCCATCCCACACTGCGGCCTGAGATCCGGCCCAGCCAGTGCAGAGGGGAGGCGGGGAGAGGGGTGGGACCGGGCACGGGAAGCCACAGAACAAGGCCCGGAGCCACTGCCCAGGACAGCCTGTCCCTGGCACACCGCGGAGGGCAGCCAGCGGTCAGCGACCTGGGACGGCACCGCCTGGGCATGCGGCCGGCCTGGGTCCTGTTTGTGTGTGAACACATGCACACGCACAGCCAGCCTGGGGGTGGGGAGAGCCAGGCGAGGCAGAGCTGCTCTGTTCCATCACCCGCACACCCACCTGGCACGCGCAGGGGAGAGGGTGGCCAGCTGCATGGAGGCACTGCACTGGGGGTGCGCCCCACGTGGGGTGAGGCCACAGAATCCCCCAGGATGCTGTGAGCAGAGCCTCCAGGGTCAGGGGTGTGGACAACCCCCAGCAGTGAGAACCCCCTTGTCCCGTAGTCTAGCTTCGCTCTGAGTTGGGCAGAGGGGCCCAGAAATGGGATTTTGGGGTGCTGGGCAGGAGGCCACCAAGCAGCTGACTAGGACCAGGGGTTTCTTGGTGAAGGGCTGGGTCAGAAGGGGACCACCTGCTTGGGCTGAGCTCAGACTTAGGTACCCAGAAAGGCCTGGTATGGGCTGGGCTGTGGTGGGCCGGGGCACAGGGGACCTGGGCCTGCCCGTGTACCCTCCCCGCCCTGCAGCAAGCGAGAACTGCCTGCACCCCTTTCTAGCATCCAGTGGGGCCCTGGCCCCTCCCGGAACAAGTGCCACCAGGAATTTGGCCAACTCTCTGGCCAGGGTCACTCCCAAACTACCATGCGGGGGAGGCTGGGAAGGGGCTGGCCAGAGGGGGAAATGACCCATGGGCTTGTACAGAAGACAGACCCACATGCCAGGGCACAGGCATACCGTGGGAGACTCAGGCACACAGTGTGTGTGGGATCCACGGGACAGGACCCATGTTGCAATGCAATGGGTCAAGCACTTACCTGAACGCCATGGTGGACATGGGTTCGTGTCCAGGCAGCTCCACTTCCCATCCAGCTCCCTGCCTGTTGTGGCCTGGGAAAGCAGAGGAGGACGGCCCAAAGCCTTGGGACCCTGCACCCTGCCTGCAACTGTTTAGGGAGTGACCCTCCTGTGGACGCCCCTCTGTCTACCTTCCAAATAAACAAATCTTAGCGAGAGAGAAGCAGGACTTCCTTTAACCCTAAGGGTGATGGAATGTTCTAGCACACACACACACACACACACAAACATACGCCACCTTGCACCTTCTCACTATTTCTCCAATACCCTCCTGACCACACTGGGACCCCAAGGAGCCAGAACTATGGTCCAGTGCCCCACGCCCCCACACTGCGACCGTGGGGAGGGTCCGGACCCCAAGGGTCACCCCTGCCCCCCGCCCGGAGGAAGGTGCCGCAGGTTTTCATGATTTTTATTAAATCTTACAAAACAGAATACAAAACCCTGGCGCACGCGCTGCTGCTGGCCGGCTCAGCGTGGTAAAGTGCTTGGGTCCCGCGCTGCCGCCCGATCCCCTGCCCACCTCGGGTGTGTGTGGGGGGGTCTTTGGAAAGGCCCGGCTGGCGGCAGCGCCCACGGCTGCCAGGCTTGGGGGGCAGGGAGGGAGGCGCAGGGCCCGGGTCGGCGACCAGCCCCCTGCCCGCCCCCGGACATTCAAGTATTGGAGAAGAGGGACACGAAGCCGACTCATGTTTTGTTGGTTTTTTTTTGTTTTGTAGAAAAACTAACTAAACACGGCGGGCGGGGCCGGGGCTCCGCGGAAGCACGGCTTTGCATAGATGTCGTGGCCGGAGGGAGCGGCGTGCGGGTGCCACCCAGGCCGGGGGGCTGTGCAGGGCAGCGCAGGGCAGGACACGGCCGTGTCAGCCTGAGCCCTGAGGGTGGGCACTCAGGCCCCCGTGGTGGCTGACCGCGACCATCCGGCCCCTGGCTGGGGAGGAAGCTGAGAAGCAGGCCCTGGCGGGGCCGGGGGCAGGTGGGCAGCTGGGTGTGTCCCCCAAGGTCAGCTGCAGCTTGAGGTCAGGATCCAAGCAAGCCCCGATTGTCAACTTTCCAGGGGACAAGGCGGGCAGCCAGGGGGGCGCGCTGCCCCTGCCCAGGCTCCTGGGCATCCCCGAAACCCTGAGGCCCCCGCTCTGGGGACGAGGCCGGACATGGGTCCGAGCCCAGCGCGGCCACAGGGCCCTTCACAGTACAGTGGGTGGGGCAGGGGTGCACCTGCCCGGCCCCGTGCCCTTGGCCCTGTGGCCAGAAAGGAAAATAAAACAGGGAGGGGGCTGGGCGGCGAGGGGAGGGGGTAGATGGATTAAAAGGGGGAACCAACAGCAAAAAACCTCTAACTCCCACCCAAGGCGAGCCCGGGTGCAGGGGCAGTCTATATACAGGATGTGGAGGGCGTGCAGTCACCCGCGGTCACCCACGAGGACCACGGGGGAGGCAGCCGGGCTGGCCCTCTGCCGCCGCTGGGCCAGCTTGGACTCGGAGGGCGGGGACAGCTGCAGGCAGCGTGAGGTAGCTCGGATGAGGACCGGCGGGGCCTGGCCCGCAGCCTCTTCGCTGGCCGCGTCCTCCTCGCGCTGGGCCAGCTGCCGGTTCACGGCGATGGCCTCGGCTGCGAAGGACGTGAGGTCTTTGGCACAGCTGTTCCTGGGGGAGTGGGGGGGGGGGCGGACGCTCACACAGGGTCCTGGGGACACCCCTCCCATCCCCTTCCCAACAGGCCAGCCTCACCTTTGCAGGACCCTGGGCGTGGGCAGCGTGTTGTCCGGGGCACACTGCAAGGAGAACGGAGATAGCTAGTGGCTCCCCCCCGCCTGTTCCCCGCCAGGACCAGCTCTCAGAGCTATCGGGCCCCACGCCTGCAGCCTTACCCCCTGCACCCAGGGGTGCTGCAGGACTTGGGCGGCACTCAACCGCTGCTTGGCATCACGCACGAGCAGCCTGGAGATGAGGTCTTTGGCGGCGAAGGAGATGTGGGCCCAGTCCTTGTCCGGGAACTCGTACTTGCCCTCCTGGATGCTCTCAAACAGCATGTTCTGGGAGGCAAAAGGAGGGTAGGGCTGGGGACGAGGGCTGCACCGGGCAAGCCCGGGGCCTCTCCTACCTCCAGCTTGGGGCATCAGACCAAACAAGTGGGCAGGTGCACAGCATGGGGCAGTGCTGGGCCAGGCAGGACAGGAGGGGTGCACGGGGTGGGCATAACCTGGCATAGCAGGTAGAACAGGGCCGGAGCAGGGCACAGAACCTGACCAGGCCTGGCATGGTGTGGCTGGGCCGGGCAGGAGGGGTGCACAGGGCCTAGGTAGGGCCTGGCATGGCATGGATGGGCTGGGCAGGGCCTGGCTGGGCAGGAGGGGTGCACGGGGCCTGGTAGGGCCTGGCATGGCGTAGATGGGCTGGGCAGGAGGGGTGTACGGGGCCTGGTAGGGTCTGGCCTGGCCTGGCTGGGCAGGGCAGGGGGCTGCACGGGTCACGCCGGGTACCTGGCAGGCAGGGCAGGCCTCGCCGCGGTCCCAGCCGCAGTCGCTGCCACAGCGGCCCACGAAGGGCGGGTAGCCGCTGAGCAGGATGTACAGGATGACGCCCAGGCTCCACAGGTCGCAGCGCTTGTCGTAGATGCTGGCTTCCTCGCTGAAGGCCTCCACCACCTCGGGGGCCATGTACTCGGCCGAGCCGCACTGCGGGGCGACAGGCGGGATCAGCTCAGGCTGCCCGGTGCGACGGAGCCCCGCCCCAGGCCCGTCAATCATTGGCCAGAGCCCCGCCCTGACCCGTCAATCAGCGGTCAGAGCCCCGCCCCTGGCTCACCCACCAATTAGCAACCAGAACCCCGCCCCTGGCCCGCCAACCAGGGACCTGAGCACCGCCCCCGGCCCACCCACCAATCAGCAATCGAGCTCCAGCCCCGCCCATCAGAACCAGGAGCTGCCCGCGCCCCGCCCCCGCCCGCCCGTCCAGCCAATCAGCTGCTGTTGCCAGGCGGAAGCGCGCCTGCCCTGGCAGAACCAGCCCGGGCACCTGGAGGTGACGCCATGGCAGGTGCCCCCAAGTCCTCACCGGGGTGAGCAGCTCGGGGGTGGAGATGGGCGAGCAGTCCCCGTTGAGTTTGATGCCGCTGCCCAGGTCGAAGTCGCAGATCTTCACGGGGGAGACCTGGGGGTGCAGGGTGCTGAGTGGGGAGCCCTCCGCAGCCCACACTGGGGTGGGCAGGGGCAGGTGGCAGGGTCAGTGGGCAGGGGAGGGCACGGGTGGGTAGGGGCAGGTGGCAGGGTCAGTGGGCAGGGGAGGCCAGGTGGGCAGACGGGCAGGTGGGCAAGGACGGGCAGAGGGCAGATGGGCAGGGATGGCCTGGGGCAGGGGGCGGCTGACCTGGTTGGGGTGCTCACACAGGATGTTCTCGGGCTTTAAGTCCCGGTGGGCAATGCCTGAGGACCAGAAGCGGGCAGGGTTAGGAGTGGGCAGGGTTAAAGGCGGACAGGGTTGGGGCGGGCAGGGTTGGGGGCGGGCAGGGTTGGGGGCAGGCAGGGTTAGGGGCGTGCAGGGATGGGGTGGGCAGGGTTAGAGGCAGGCAGGGATGGGGCGGGCAGGGTTAGGGTCGGGCAGGGATGGGTCGGGCAGGGTTGGGGTGGGCAGGGTTAGAGGCAGGCTGGGATAGGGCGGGCAGGGTTAGAGGCGGGCAGGGATAGGGCTGGAAGGGATGGGGGAGGGCGGGCGCCCAGGGGTGTGAGGCGGGCGGCACCTTTGTTGTGCAGGAAGTCCAGGGCGCTGGCCACGTCCTGCACCACCACGCTGGCCTCGAGCTCGTTGAAGTGCCGGCGCTGGTGGATGTGGCTCAGGATGGAGCCTGGGGGGAGACGGGCTGTCAGCTGGCAGGCGTGGACCAGGGTGCACCGCCCCGCCAACGCCCCGGCAGCACAGCCCCCCCACACACCTCCCCGCATCTTCTCAAACACCAGGTAGAAGCGGTCCTCTTCCTCGAAGAACTCTATCAGCTCCAGAACGTTCCTGCGGGGGCAGAGGAGCCAGTGCTGCCGGCGGGCCTCAGCCTGGCCCCGGCACCCACAGGGCTGGGTGTCATCCACAGGGGTAGGGCCTCTTCCTGGCCCCTGGCACCCATGGGGTGGGGACCCACCTGTGCCCCTGGCATTGGTACAGCATCTCCACCTCCCGGAAGACCCTGCTCCGGATGTGGCCCGGCTGTTTCTCAATGATCTGCAGGGCGAGGGTGCACTCTGGTCAGAGCTCGGCCACCCGGCCTCAGCCTGCAGGCTGTCCCACAGGAATGTGCTGGAAGCTGGAGCGGGCAGCTCCAGGGGAGGGGCAGCATGGGGCACCAGCACCCCTGGGCCCCTCCCACACCCAAGTCAGGTGACCAGGGCAGGCTCCCCGGCCGCCCTCCTGACCAGGGCAGCCGCAGCCCTCTGCCCCCACGTGACCCAGGAACAAGGGAGGCCTCGTGGCACCTGGCGGCCAGCCGTGGGGCCCCATGGCAGGCCATCCCACACCCTGCCTCTGGCTGCAAGCCAGTCCTAGGCACACGTCAGGTCCCACTCCAGGCCCTGGGACCCACAGTCTGTCAAACTGACCCTGAGCCACTTCCTGCCCACCCCAGCCCGTGGACCTGGGTCGGGGGCGTCCTGGCACCCACCTACGTGCACCAAGGGGGCAAAAAGAGCCTGCTGACTGCCCCAGGCCCGGCTGGGGTTGGCTTCCCCACCTGGGTGCCCTGTCTGCCGCTCAGGCCTGCCCCTGGCTCCCAGCTGGGGACTGCGTGCCCCTACCAGCTTCTCCTTCAGCCGCTGCAGCTCAGCCCTCCTGGGTCCCGTTCCTCCCCAGCCACCTGTGCCCATCCTGGACCCTAGCCCAACCCACGCCAGGTCATGGTGCCGAGGTGACCAGATGGTCCACAGGCACGGACTTCCCAGCCTGGTTCCCCACTTGTTAAACAAGTACAGGAAGCACGGGCAGTGCCGAGGAGGGCCCCGCTGGCTTGAGCATGCCACCCTCCGGGAGCCTGCTGGCATGGCCAAGGGAGCATCTGGCATTCCTCCCCCGGCTGGCTGCCCGTGACCCCACCCAGCCCAGGATCCGGATGTGGGTCACAAGGGGAGGCTGGAAGGTTCTTGGAACACAAGATTCACCTGCCAGGCCCTGCGAGGTCACGAGGCCCACAGGCCCATCTGGCTCTGCGACAGCTCAAAGACATGGCACTGGCCAAAGCGGCCCCCGACCCAAGCCTCGGCCCTTGGTGAGAAGAGCTGGGGGGCAGCTGGGCCCACCCGGGTGCCCTGAGTGACCACCTGGAACCCCCGCCACCCCCTGCTGGGCTCACCTTGACCGCGTACTCCTGGCCGGTAATGACGTTGACACAGGACTGCACGCGGGCGTGGGCGCCCTCCCCCAGCACGTCCTCCTGCAGCTGGTAGACGTCTGTGTGGCAACGGGGGACAGTGAAGGGCCTGAGCGCCCACACGGCCCCCCACATCGCCCCCACCTGCCGCCCAGCTCACCTTCGAACCTCCCGGAGAAGCTGTCGGTCGCACGGCCCCGCTTCTTCTTCTTACTCCTCTTCTTGGCGTCCGGGATGTCGATGGGCTGGCTGGTAGGCATGCCTGGCCCGGACAGAAGCAGGTCAGCAGGCCTTCCCCTGCCACTGCCCGCCCTGGCCCCCGACACCCCGGCCCCGGGCACTCACCAGGGCGGGTCTCGTGCTGCGGGCTGTGGTCAGAGTCCCCAAGATGGGCCTTGTCTAGAGAGAAGGCCAGCTCGAAAGGGTCCTGGGCCTGCGGAGGAGAGCGGGCTCAGGCCCAGGGGTGCGCAGCACCGGGCTGGCAGGTGCCATACACCCCGGGGACCCAGCAGAGCTAACTGCCACCTCTCCTCACCAGGAGACACTGGGTTATGTCTGGGGGTGCTACTGGCGGGAAGGAGGGGGTGAGGCAAGGCACGCTGCCCCCACTTCTCGGCACCTGGCACAGCCTCAGCCGTGGAGAAGGCGTCAGCCCAGCCCAGCCTGGCCCACAGCATCCACGGCTCTCAGGGCTGCAGTGTGACTCTGCCTGCAGGACAACCCTGACCCTGCACCTCCGGCCCCAGGGAGAGGCTGGACACCCTGCCGTGTCTGGCCTCAGCTTGCTCATCCACAGAATGGGCACAGCCTCCAGGCAGCTGGAGGATCAAAGGCACGGGGGCAGTAGGCAGGGTGAGTCACCAGGCGGGGTACTCTTTCCCACGGCCTCCTGGGCCATCCCGGCGGCTCAGCCCTGACTGAGGGACCAATGGGCATGGCCTCCTGTCCCCCACCTGCCTGTGGGCATCTGGTGTGCTCTGTTCTGACCCCCACCACCCCTGCCTGTGTCCACAGCTCTGCAGTGCCCTCTGGCTGCCTGGGCCGCCTGCTCAGCCCACTGCAGGCAGGCCCTATCGCTCAGCAGACCTAGCTAGTGGGGCTGGGGTGGGGAGTGCGTCCACCGGGCACCAGTGGGACAGGAGTCTGGGCCATAAGCCTGCAGGTTGCTCAGGCCCCCAGACCCCTCCAGGCAGGTTCTAGGCAAGCAGAGTTTGGACAAGACACAAAACCAGGCAGCCCTGGGCGGGTGTGCAGGAGAGCAGGGACCCACAGGCCAGAGAAGAGAGCTGGAGCAGCCAGCCGGGGCAGCCGGGAGGCAAGGCCAACATGCTGTGCATGCCAGCCTGTCAGAGTCCTTGCCCACTGCACACGCCAATGCCGGCTGGCCTGGGTCTCCAGACTGCCTGGACAGGTCACATCGGGAGATGCCGGAAAGACCCTAAAGGGCCCCATGGCAGAAGGGGTCCCCGGCAAGGAACCCAGCCTGGCAGAAGTGGCCCGGACGCACACCGGCAGCTTGCCGTGCCCCAATGTGGCTACCTGCCCAGACCTACTGCAGGGTGGCCATAGTGAGGGGGCCCGCAGGACAGGACACATAAGGCAAGGGTGGCCAGCACTTACCTGTCCCCCCGTCGGCCATGACTGAGGCGGAAGGCAGCTACCCCGAGCGATCATGGGGCCTCGCAGGGATCCAAGGGGCCGCCAGGGCGGGTGTGAGCTTCAGGCCTCAGCGGTCACCACCTCCAAGTCAGAAGGGCTGAGACACACGGACGGACGGGCAGAGCCCGGAGCTGAGCACCTGCCGTCCGGGCCACCACACCCCAGCTTCCCACCCTGAGCGGGGGGGGGGGGCCCGTGCTGGATCTGGCAGTCAGCAGGCATTATCCCCGCTCACCTCCCGGAGCTCCAGCTGGCTTTGGTGCCCACCCTGGCTGGGTGCCCTGACACCAGCCACCCCACAGGGGTTCCCACCCTGAAGGGAAAGGGGCCTCCAGGCGCGCGCTCTGGGTGCTGGGCAGCTGGGGCAGCGGTAGGGCAGGGCTACTGCAGGCTTGGGGTGCTGGCGTACACACACACACACACACACACACACACACACACACTGCCTCCTCCACCGGGCAACAGGTCCCGGTTGGTCGGAGCAAGCCAGGGGCCGCCATTACATAAGCCATCGGTCGGCGGGGTGGGGCGGCGGGCGGCTGACATCACTGCGTCCCCTGGGCCAGGCCCCAAGGGGAGGGGGGTGCCCTGCCCAGCACCTGCCCTCCCAACCCCCCACCCCCGGACCCGCTCAGCCGAGACCAGGCTGTCTGTGCGCTTAGAAACTTCCCGCCCCGACAGGAAATGGCACTTGAGCCTTGGGGTGTCTGCTGGGAGGGGGGTTGGGGAGCCCTGAACGCGCTGCCCCATGGCTCAGCCCCCCCTTCCCCGTCCCCACAGCAGGTGGACACAAGGGGCTCCCGACCCCACGGAGGGGGCTGCAGGTCACCACACACACACACACACACACACACCTGCTGGACGCCCCCCGCCCTCCGCTGCTGCTGCGGTTTGCAGGAGACCCCCCTCCCCACGGACACACAGCAGCCGCGTTCCCCACCGCCCCCCACCCCCCCACGGGGTCCGCGGCCACCCCAGGCCCCGAGCCGGGCCTCACCTTCAAGGAACGGAGGAAGCCGTGGAGCTGGCACCATCTTCTATCCGGGCCCCGCCAGCGGGGACGGCGGGCCCGGGAGGCGGCCCGGGGGCGGGGGGCGGCCGGGGAGCAGACCTGGACAGCCGGGGCAGCAGACAAAGGGGGCTTCGGTGAGCGGCGGCGGCGGCGGAGCGGGGCCTAGGGCGCGACCCGACCGGGGTTCCCGCTGGGCCCCATCCGCACCCCGGGGTGCCCAGCCGCCGCCGTCGGGGGGGGCCGAGGAATCCGGGGTGTGCTCACCGGGGTCGGGCTCGGGTCGGACCCCGCTCCTCCGCGGACCGCGCGGGGAACAGCACCGCCGCCACCGCGGATCCCCCCGCCGTCCGCCTGGGCCGCCACCGCCGAGAGGAGCCGGGCGCGCCGCCGCCGCCGCCGCTTTTATAGGCCTGGCCCCGCCCCCCGCCGCGGACACGCCCCCCGCCGCCAGAGGGGGCGGAGCCGCAGGGGCCGCGCGCGTCTGCGCAGTGAGGCGCACAGCCCGCCTCGCGGGGCTCCCCTCCCCCCGCCAGCCGAGCGCGCCTGCGCAGTGAGGTGCACGCCCCTCCTCCGATTCGGGGGGCGCCCCCTGCGCGTTCTCACTCGGAGCCGCTGGCTGTCGAGGGGGTCCCCGGTGGGTGCGTCTCCTGCAGCCCCGTGGGAGAGTTGCGGGGGGCTGCAAGAGGCGGCAGGGACTGTGGCCCGAGCAGGGGTTCCTCCTGCACCCCCTTTTTCCACCAGTCGCCCACGACCAGGGACTCATCCTTCTATAGAACTTTTCGACTGTACATCCACTTTAGCTGTCACATGCTCTTTCCACTCCCAGCAGCCTCTGCTCACTGGCTGCCCCCCAAGGCATCAGGGGCTGGTAGTGGGCATCTTGCCCTGGGGCACCCCCTGAGGCAGCCCAGCTGGCCAGCTGTGCTGTGGCCAGGGTACTTGGCCACACCGGGTAGAGAGGGCCAGTGAGTGAGGACACAGGGGTGTCCCTTGCATGGCCAGTGCCCAGAGAGGGGGCTGCTGCAGCCTGCTGCTGCGTGGCGGGAGCCGACACTAGGGCAGGGTGCAGAGGGCTGACAGCACCCCAAGGTTGTGCGAGATTTCTGCACCCAATGGGCTGAGCATACAAGTGGATCTGACATGCCTGCCTGCTGCGTGTGAGAGCTTAACAAACCAGCCCCCTCCGGCCAGCGTCGGCAGCTGCCCCGTGTGCACACCCCTGCGGATGCATCCCACTGACGGGACAGCTGGGAGGACCCTGCAGAGGGACCCGAGCTGTGACCCAGGAGGGACAGGCTGGACAGGCAAGTGCTCCCAACGGCCAAAGGCAGCCATTCCAGTCTGTGTCATGGATGGCCTGGTTATGAAGTGTCACCACGCCACACACACACACACACAGACACCTGCTCTCCCTATATTCCTGGGGATCTGTGGGTGGAGGGGATGGGATCCTTGCCGTGCAGGCCCTGGCTGTTGCCCCTCCTGTTCCCTGGTTCTTTCTGGGATGTGGTCTGTGCTGAGCCATGGAAGTGACCCCTGCTGGACAGAAAGGACCTGGGACAAGGATGGCCCCTGGAGGACCCCTAGCAAGACAGCCAGCCTGGGAGAAGGGCTGTCCGAACCAGGAGAGGCTCGGGGCAGCACTGACCCCGACACCCGACAAACAGGAAGCAGGGTGGGGCCCCAGCAGCCAGGCCAGCGGCCAGCATCAACTCCTGCCCCTGCCCTCCCTCACCTTCCTCCCCCCCAGCCTTCGTGCGTGCACACACACACACACAGTCTCTGGGGTTCCAGCATCAGAGCCTACCCTGAGTGGGACGCACAAGTGGGGTGACATGGGGACGTGGCCAGCCTCACCCCAAGGCTCCTGGGACCCTTGTCCACCCTCGCCTCTGGGGGAGGTTTCAAGGTGGCCCAGCGGGGTCCTGGCCCTGGGTCACCCTTCCCAGCATCTGGCTGGGTTCCTCAGGGGCTCCATAATCCAGCAGGTGCCCAGTCCTGGCTCTGTGGGTATTTGGGGCGTGAATCAGAGGTTGGAAGATCTCTCAAATAAAAGGAAAACAAAACATTAAAAAAATAAATTATTCTGAGTGTGTCTCTCCCACATAGAAAGTGAAAGTTGGGGGTGCCGGTGCAGGGGTATGGGCTCGCATGCACAGCGAGCGGGGGCCATGGGCAGTTGCTCTAGGGGTGGACGTGGGAGTGGAGGCCGTGTCACCCGGCCACACTGCCCGGGCATCTGATGCAAGTGGCCGTAAGTGTCCCTTTCCTGCCGGCTGACTCATTCACAGCGCCCGGTTCCAGGCGCTCAGCAGTTCTCCCAGGGCCTAGCTGGGGGTGTGGCCATGTCCAGCTCCCCACCCCATCCCAGCCCTGTCAGTCACCACAGGGCCCCAGTCCCAGTCCCACCCCTGGAGGCCAGGGCAGGGGCATGTGAATGGGCAAGGCTGGCCAAAGGTTGCAGTTCTGCTCCAGTGACCACGGATCATGTCACCCCCTGGCCTCGGTGGGTGTCCCAGGGGCAGGAGTGGGGGTGCAGGGTCATCCTGGAGCCCTGGTCACCCCTGACCTCGGTGGGTGTCCCAGGGGCAGGAGTGGGGGTGCAGGGTCATCCTGGAGCCCTGGTCACCCCTGACCTCGGTGGGTGTCCCAGGGACAGGAGTGGGGGTGCAGGGTCATCCCGGAGCCATGGTCCACCCCCTGACCTCGGTGGGTGTCCCAGGGGCAGGAGTGGGGGTGCAGGGTCATCGCAGAGCCCTGGTCACCCCTGTCCTTGGTGGGTGTCCCAGGGGCAGGAGTGGGGGTGCAGGGTCATCCCGGAGTCCGAGCACGGAGGTCGGACAGCTCTGGAACACACGGCCAGCAGGTATCCTGCTGCCCTGCCGCACCTGGGGTCAGCCCAGGGAAGACCCCTGACCCACACCAGGCCACCTCCTCTGCCTCAGGGACGGCGCCTGCGCACTAGCCGGAGGACTGGCGGGCGGAGACCCGTTGGCTTGGCAACGAGTTTGCGTCATCGAGCCTGGCGCCTGGCGCCCAGCCCCAGGGTGAGGGCAGAGGCGGGGCCCGACACACCGACCGCCAATCAGACCTGGGGACGGGCTGGATGAGGCTGTTGTCGCGGTTGTGGTGGGGCGGGGAGCCGCGCCTCTCTTAAAGGGACCGCGCGTTGCTGCCAGCCGTGGGGTCCCCCGGGCCTTGCTGGCTGGCCCTGAGGTCGGGGTCACGGGCCGGTCGGACGCCACCCTTGCTCTTCGGCCAGGCCGCGGGCGTCCAGGTCACCCCGTATCCCACCCTGGGCTGCTCAGACCCGGGCAGCCCAAGAAGGTTCCAGCAACGTGCAGGCCACTGGCTGAGCCACCCCACTTCCCGGGCTGGACTTGGGGGGCCAGCAGAGGGCCTGGGAGCGCGGGGATAGGGCTGTGCGGGCGGAGCAGGCCAAGGCCTTCTGCTGGCCGGATGCCCCAGAAGGTTCCAGAAGCCGTAGCCACACCCGGGGAGGGGGCAGGCGGGGTGCTCCCAGCCCATCATGTCCAGGGGCGCGCAGCGGATGCTGCCCTGCGAGGCCACCCTAGACCGGACGCGCCCAACGTGGCTGCCAGGTGTCCGTGCCCTCCAATGGCCCTCGGGGGGGCAGTGCAAGGGACCAAGGGACAGCACTGAGCCACATCCAAGGATGCATGGTGGCCCCTGCTGCTGGCACGGGCGGGAGTGGGCAGTGCCCAGTACCTGTCCCTTCGGCAGCCTGCAGGAAGGAGCTGTACACCTGTGGGCCACGCAAGAACCACACAGACTTGGGTCGGGGGTGCAGACTGTCCCTTCAACTGTGGGCCAAGTGTCCCCTGCCTGGACACCCTCTCACCCGCACCCTGGGGCTCCCCTATTCCACGTCTGCTCCAAAGACGGACCCTGTGGGTCATAGCTGGCTTCCCCTGCTGGCCCCCATGCTGGCCCAAGAGCCCACCCGGCATGTTGTGCCCCACTGAGCAGGGCCTAGGGCCCCGTCACTACCCCACCCCAGCTCCCTGCTTGGGCACTCGGGGAGGCCAGGATGGAGCTCCTGACACCTGCCCAGCTGCGGCCACTGAGACCATGGTGCGGGGATGGAACCAACCCTTGCTTAAAAAAAAGAAAAAATGCATTTATTCTGAGCTGGATGGAACAGTTGGGGGACCACACAAGGACCCCCGCCCTGTCTGTGGGCACCCCTGCCGCTGTCCCAGCTCTCAGTGGGCTCAGGGCCTGGGCCGGCAGGGGCAGGCAGTGCTGCTGGCTCCGGTCACTGGGCCGCAGGTCGAGGTGCCCGGGGCCGGCCCCACCTACGGCGGGGAAGTGGTAACTGCACTCACTGAAGGTGGCAGGAGTGGGGAGAGGGGGCGTCCCCAGCGCCCACAGGTCAGCCGAGGCCTGCCCAGGCCAAAGGCCACAGCCAGTCCAGCAGCAGGCAGAGTGGGCACGCAAACCCCGGGCACTTGGGAAGTCCGTGTCCACCCGAGTCACACCGGGGAGCGCCATCTGCTGGCCACAAAACGTTAAAAAGACAGCGTCCAGTGTTGGGCATGAGGTGCCCATCCGGCCCTGCGTAGAGTCTGAACCCCAGACGCAGCCCTGGAGCACGACAAACCTGAGATGGACGAGTGGAATGTTCCGGAGGGATCCGAGGAGAAGCGGGGACCATGGCTGGGTCCGGTCGGTCGTACCACTCGAGGGAGCAGAGGCCCGCGTGGCCCCGAGGCCCAGGGCGACCACGCTGCGTTCACACGGAGTCCGAGGCGCAGCGAAGCGGGCACAACCGGCGTGGGGCGGCGACGGGCGGCGACGGGCGGTGAGCCTTACGCGATGCTCAGTGGCACATCTGGGCAGTCATCTCTTTCTGTGAAGAGGGGGCAAGACGTCACACGGGCAGCCACACGCCTGGGGTCCACAGCAAAGCAGGAGACAGAGACAGGGTGGGGGCACGGGTCTCTCGGGGAGCCCCAGGCTGACAGGAGACACACCGCAGCACACCCCACGGGAAGGGGGTGCAGGTCTGTGGGCGTGACAGGGCTAAAACGTGGCCAGGGCTGCAGGGCGCATGCTGGGAGACTTGTGGAAAGCTGGTTGGCTCGGGAGCACCTGTCCCCACCGCGGCCAATCAGGCACTGTACCTGAAGGCCCAGTGTGGGCAGCGTGGTTGCAGAGGGGGTACAACTGGACTGGGCTGCCTTGGGGTCCCCATGTTCACCCTGGCCATATGGGTCGCCTCACGCGGACCACCAGTGGCCTGCAGGCACCTACTTGCTGCCCTCTGACCTCACAGAGTGGCCAGCTCTGCTGTGGGCCAGCCCGGGCAACGCCCGGCTCTCCTCCCGAGGCCCCGCCCCCCAGGTGCCATCCCTCCCCAGCCCCGCCCACCAGCGGCTCCAGCTCCTTGGGGTCGATGAGGCCGAACTCGCGCACGAAGTAGTAGAAGTGCTTGTAGCAGGTGTTGACGTGCGCCTCGGAGCCCAGGTGAGCGATGCGGTCAAAGTGGTGGATGTACACGTGCACGAAGACACGGAAGAGGCGCGAGAGGATCTTGCGCACAGCCTGCAGGAAGTTCTTGGGGAACGGGGTGCCTGCGGGGGACGGCCATGGTGCACTCAGTAGGGCTGGGGTGAGCTCGCACCCCAGGGGCCCACCTGGCCGGCACCCCGTCCCCGGGATGAAGTAGTGAGCTTGCACCCCAGGGGCCCACCCAGCCAGTATCCTGTCCCTGGGATGAGGTGGTGAGCTCGCACCCCAGGGGTCCACCCAGCCAGCACCCCGTCCCTGGGATGAGGTGGTGAGCTGGCACCCCAGGGGCCCACCCGGCCGGCACCCCGTCCTCAGGATGAGGTGGTGAGCTCGCACCCCAGGGGCCCACCCGGCCGGCACCCCGTCCCCAGGATGAGGTGGCGTGCCTACACCTGTTCAGGGCCCGGCTGTGGCAGCCGTGTGGTCACTCCGCGCATGCGGACACTCACCCACGCTGGTGGGGAAGAGGTCCTCATTGTTGATCTGCGCCTCGATCCAGTCCATGAGCAGGTCCATGTAGCGCGGGGCCGACAGCGCCGTGGGCTTCCGGAAGCGCTGCTCGTCCTGCCAGCGGTACTCGTACTTGGGCCCGCCCGACATGATCGGGCACGACTCCTCGGTGCAGCCGTCGCTGATGGTGCCGTAGATGAGGTTGACGCGGTTGAAGAAGTCCACCACGTGCACGGCCACCCAGTCATTGAGCTCCTCGCCCGGGGGCAGCTTCACGGCCAGCCGCAGGTCCAGGCCAGCGTGCAGCGAGGCCTGTGCACGCTTGTGCAGCTCGAAGCGCTGCGTGCCCGGCTCAAACTTGCGCTTGGGCCGGAAGGTCTTGTCCTTGTTGAAGACCTGCTTCAGGAATGGGCTGGACATCGTGGCGCTGCCCGCCGTGCCTCCACGCCGCAGCGGGCCCAGGCAGAGCTGAAACACACACAGCAGGAGGATGGAGGTCATGCCACTCCCACGTGAGCCCACAAATAGCTCTGAGCGCGGGGGCCTCAGCTGGGGGACTACGGCTGTCATGGTGGTGCAGTGGGTAAAGGGGGCCGCCTTGGACGCCAGCATCCCACAAGAGCGCCAGTTCGTGTCCCCGCTGGAGGCCCCACTTCCCATCCAGCTCCCTGCCTGTGACCTGGGAAAGCAGTGCAGGACGGCCCAAAGCCTTGGGACCCTGCACCCATGTGGGAGACCCAGAAGAGGCTCCTGGTTTTAGACCGGCTCAGCTCCGGCTGTGGTGGCCACTTGGGGAGTGAACAAGCAGATGGAAGATCTTTCTCTCTGCCTTTCAAATAAAAGTAAATACATCTTAACAAAACACACACACACCAACCCCACAGTGCTGCTGGGTCATCACAGTCCCCACAGTCAGCAGGCAGCAGGTGGCCCACACTTTCGTCCTACTCATGGGCAACAGCCTGGGCACAGGACACACCTTGCTGGGGGTGAGGACATGGGGAGGGAGGACACAGCCTCCTGGGGATGAGGGTCTGGGGAAGTAGTGAGGAACTCGGCAAGAGGAAGTGCCCACAAGGGGAAGTCCTGAAGGAGAGGGGGAGGGGAGCCGGGAAGAGCGCCTCCCTTCGTCCTGCTCGCTTCTTTCTTAAAGAATTATTATTATTATTTGAAAGGCAGACTGATATTACCAAGAAACAAGAGCTCTCCCATTCACCGGGCAAGGGCCAGGCCAGCAGCCAGGTCTCGCGCGTGGGCGCAGGGGCCCAAGGATTCGACCCCACCACAGGCGGGGAGCTGGGTGACAGCTGGAACAGTGCCCGTGTGGGCAGGCAGCGCCATGCACGGTGGCTTCCCGTCACACCTCCGACCAGCTCCCTGGGTTTTGCTCCAAGTGCCAGGGAGCACATGTGCTGCTGGGGCTGCAGGGACAGAGGTGGCAGCCAACACCTGGGCTCCACAGCCAGCAACGCAGCAGGCATTGCCCAGGTCTGCTGCCTGGCCAGCCGTGTCTCCCCAAGGCTGAGGCCTTGGACGCTGCCCCCGCCACCACCCACACCCGGAATGCAGTCACACCAAGGAAGCCCAGGACCAGCAGGGCACTGGAAGGAGACAGGGGTGTCAGCTACCCCTGGCTGATACGGACATATTCCTGTCCACCTCCTCAGCCTGGGCACCAACAGGAGGCCAGCCACACGGCCAAGCATGCGATGCACGGAGAGCATGGGGCACCCAGGGACTGGGCCGAGCCTCCGACATGCGTGACAGCCCAGAGGATGCAGGCATGCAGGGTCCCACAGTGTGTCGGGCTCCACAGACGGGAACTGGCCAGGACAGGGGAGTCCATGGGGACAGGACAGGGCTGAATGCCCACAGGGATGGGAAGCAGAACATTCTGGAACTCGACAGAAGAGATGGTCAGGCCCCATCTGAGCTTGGACTCCATCCCTGGGGATGCAAGCCTCAGAGCCCTAGATCCTGAGTCCGGGGATGCACAGGCTGTGGCCTACAAGCCTGACACAGGAGGCGGGTGGGGACTCCGTCTGTCCACCTGCCCGAGGTGGCAGCCTCGGGGAGCTCCAGGTGCCTCCGGCTGCAGAGGGTGTGGGCCAGCTCCCTGTCAACACACCAGATGCCTCCCAACCCCCGGGGACCTGCCTGGTGCAAGGTCAGCAGCCTGGTCCAGCTGGGGGTTGGGGACAGCCCAGGCCAGCTCCTGTGCAGAAAATTCAACTCTCCCAAGTGGGGGGATACCGCAAGGTCCGCCCTCAGCCCTCCCAGCAGCGGAATTCAAGGTCCTTCCCGTGGCAGTTGTGGGGGCTGCCCTGTGATGACAGACTGGGGCCTGCATGGCTGGGGGCAGGGCCGTCAGGGGGCACAGGGCTGTCAGGGGGCACAGGGCCACCAAGGGGTACAGGGTCACCCAGGGCACATACAGGGCTGTCAGGGGGCACAGGGCTGTCAGGGGGCACAGGGCCACCAGGGGGTACAGGGTCACCCGGGGCACACACAGGGCTGTCAGGGGGCACAGGGCTGTCAGGGCGCACAGGGTTGTCAGGGGACACAGGGTTACATGGCCGCTGCTGGCTGACGGACGGGGCTATTGGTAGCCACAGCCCACCCAGCAAACACGGCTCCCCTGGGCTTTCCTTCTCCCCACCCCATGCACCTGGCTGACACCAAGACTGTTCTAGAAACAGGGCAGCGTCACGGGTCTCCTCACGGCCAGGTGGCCATTACTGTTTTGAGATGCCCGCTTACCGTGGCAGGGCTGCCTTCGCTTGGCTCCTCACGATGCCACACAGGCTTGTCCTGGCTCCTGCTGGGTTCCCCACGGCAAGGGAGGCGTGCGCGGAAGCTTCTAGAAGGGTGAGAGAGACGATGACAAACTCCCCAAACACCTCCCTCCCCCCTGGGAAAGCACAGAGCAATACAGTTCCTCTGGGCCGGCTGAGGCACGCCAACGGCCCGCTCGCCCACTTCCTTCCGGCGCCTTCCACATCCTGCCACGGCTTGCGGGCCCCTCCCTGGACTCACATGAGCCGATGGGTCCCTGAGGCTGAGGCCCAGGTCAGACCCTCGATCCGGGTGGGAACTCCCCAGCCTAGGGCGTGCAGCAAGCCCCAGCTCAGATGCCCCGAGCCCCCGTCCATGCCCGGCCTTGGCCAGCTCTCCTCCAGGCTGCACCCCTCACGTCTGCCTGGCCGGAAGGAAGGTGGAGGGGAGGGCACAGCAGGGCCGGCACGGGACCCATTGCACACCTGGTCCTGGGGCTGACTGCTGGCATGGAGTGAGCAGCCCAGACAGAGCAAGTTCCAGCCTCGGGTCCACAGGGGCCCAGGAGGGAGTCCCCTGTGGGCTAAAACTACGCCCAGCAACCACCAAGCCATGGTGGGCATTCTGACATATGTGTACAGATACACAGGAAGGAGGAGAGACAAAGATCTTCCGTCCTGATTCACTCCCCAAGCGGCTGCAATGGCTGAAGCTGAGCTGATTTGAAGCCAGGAGCCAGGAGCTTCTTCCGGGTCTCCCATACAAGTACAGGGTCCCAAGGCTTTGGGCCGTCCTCCACTGCTTTCCCAGGCCACAGGCAGGGAGCTGGGTGGGAAGTGGGGCCGCCAGGATTAGAACCAGTACCCATATGGGATCCCACTAGGCCTTCACACCCAGCCCTCTAAAATATTTCTTAAACTAAAACTGAAAATGCAAGCTCTGTGTCCACGGAATCGTTGGAGGAGGCCATGTGCGGGGGGCAGCAGGGGAGTTGCCAGAGAGTCAGGGCCAACCTGGGGGTCCCCCTCCCCAAGTCATTCCTGCGCCCACTTGGCTCTGGGTGTCCAGCCCAGCAGCCAACATGGCATCCCCTGCTGGCCACTCTAGATTGGAATATGGGCTCTGGCTGCCCACCCTGGCAGGCCATCCCAGGTCAGGGCCCTGCCCAGCCTCTCGGTGCTGGCCGAGAACAGGGGCCTCCTCTTGGGGACCCGGGGCCGCATCCCCTTTCCCTCCCGCTGTCCTCCTGCTCTGAGCCAGGCAAACAGGAACTGAGCTCCTGGGCTTGGGGTTTTGAGAAGAAAACCCCGGCACTCAGGGATGCTGGGGAATTCTTCCAGATGTTGACTGCGTGAGCCCCAGGCAGGCTGGCAGGCTGGGCGGCTGCCAAGAGGACTGCAGGCGCCCTCGAATGGGTGCCAAGGGGAGCGGGAACTGCAGGGCCACCCGAAGCCTGGGTCAGAGCTATCAGGGAAGGGCCCTGTGTGGGAAGCCCACGACGGAGCTGTCGGCTCCCTGGCATCTGCCTGGCCCAGCCCTGGCCGTGGGGGACACTTGGGGAGTGACCTTGGGGGGGGGAATGTCAAAACCTTCTTTTTTCTCTATCATCTAAGTAGATCAAAAGAAGTGTAATTGGACCCAGCGTGGCAGCCTAGTGGCTAAAGTCCTCTCCCTGCATGCACCAGGATTTCATATGGGCTCCAGTACCAGTCCTGGCTGCTCCACTTCCCATCCAGCTCCCTGCCTGTGGCCTGGGAAAGCAGTGGAGGACGGCCCAAAGCCTTGGGACCCTGCACCCACGTGGGAGACCCGGAAGAGGTTCCAGGCTCCTGGCTTTGGATAGGCACAGCTCCGGCTGTTGTACCTGCTAGGGGAGTGAATCAGTAGACGGAATACCTTTCTGATTCTCCTCCTCTCTGTATATCTGACTTTCCAGTAAACCAATACATCTTGACAAAAATAAAATAAACATTATCTGGCCTGCCTCGCAGGACAGGACTGCCCGGCACCATGGGGCAAGGGCCAAGGGCTAACTCCACACCATGTTTCTTTTTGGACAATATATATTCCAGGCAGAGTTGAGAGAGAGACTACGCCACACAGCCGGGGCTGCCACCCTGGACAGCTACGGGCCCGAGGGGTAGGGATTGTGCGGGGAGCAGAAGCAGGCCACAGCTGACCGCACCCACAAATCCCTGGAGGGACCCCTGTTTCCCCGGAAAGGAAGTGTGTGAGAGGGGGAGGAAGTCGAGCTGTAGCTGGCACGTGGGAGCCAAAACCGAGGGCGTCCTGGGGAAAGTGGGACCACAGGTGTTGTCATGTGGCCACCCTGTAAAACGGGGCGCCCTGGAACCCCGTCTCCACCCCCTACCCTGAACTGCAACATGATGATTCTTGCAGGAAGGAGTGAGGTGGCCAGACCCCCCAAGTTGTAAACCCACCCCGGGCTCAGCCTCAGAGGACAAGACAGCCTCATTAAGGACACCCCGCAAGGTGTGTCCCCATGATGGCCCACCACCCCAGCTCCGGCTGGCATCGCAGGGACTCCCCTGCGACATGGAGGGGACAAAGCTGCAAGCTTAGAGGGCTTTAAGCTCACCCAGGAGCTGCGAATGGTTCACCACCCACCCAGAGGGTGGGCAGGGGTCACCCTAGGGCCATCCACCGCTGCCCACTCCAGCCTGACCCTCACGCCTGTCTCCCATCCCTGTGTCCCCAGTCCTCCACCACCCACCCCCTCTCCACTCTCCTGTCTCCCTGTCCTCCGTCCCCCTGTCCCCTATCCTCCGTCCCTCTATCCACTGTCCCCGTCCTGTCTCCCTGTTCACTCCCTCCCCGTCCACTATCCCCGTCCCCCTTCCTCTGTCCCCCTCTCCCCCTGTCCCCCGTTCTCCTGTCCCCCCCCCCGTTCCGCGTCCCACGTCCCCTCTCCCCGTCCCCCTGCTCACCCCTTCCCCTCACCCCTTCCCCCCGCTCTCCCTTCCCCTCTCCCCTGCTCACCCCTTCCCCTCTCCCCGTCCCCCTGCTCACCCCTTCCCCTCTCCCCTGCTCACCCCTTCCCCTCATCCCGTCCCCCTGCTCACCCCTTCCCCTCTCCCCGTCCCCCTGCTCACCCCTTCCCCTCTCCCCGTTCCCCTGCTCACCCCTTCTCTTCACCCCTTCCCCTCTCTCCGTCCCCCGGCCCCCTCACCCTCTGGCCGCCCGGACCGGACGCCTCCCGCGGTGGGACGCCACACTCTCGCCACAAGCCCCGCCCCTGCCGCACCCGGATCTACTTTCCTTAAAGGGCCGGGAGCGTCGGCGCAGGCGCGGGGCGTGTGACGCGCGTTCAAAGTTCCCGGAAACGTACCTCCACCCCCCCACCGGAGGCGGGGCGGGCACCTCGCGCTCCGTTGCGTAGCAACCAGGGCGGCTGTGGGCGGAACCGGCTTCGCCGTCGCCGTTGGAGAGCGGGGGCGGGACCGAGCGCGGCGCGCGTTGCGGGGGGCGGGGCTGTCGCTGGGAGTGACAGGCTCCGTGGGCGGGGCCTGCGGCGGTTGTCCGTTGAGGCGGGGCGGGGCCGCGCCGGTGGGGGCGGGGCCTGCTCGGAGGCGGGCCGGCGATGGCGCCGTTGGTTGGACGGCGGCGGGCGAGGGGGCGGGCCATGGCCTTGCTGCTGTGGCTGGGCCTGACGGCGGGGCTGGCCCGCGGCTGCCTGCACTGCCACGGCAACTTCTCGGACAAGTTCTCCTTCTACCGCAACCACGTGAACCTCAAGTCTTGGTGGGTGGGTGACATCCCCGTGTCGGGGAGGCTGCTCACGGAATGGAGCCAGGACACGATGAAGGAGCTGCACCTGGCCATCCCCGCCGAAATCAGTGGGTGCTGCAGCCTGGGAAGGAGGGTTTGGGCATGGAGCAGCCTGGGACCTGGGATGGGGTGCGGGCATGGGGCAGCCTGGGAGGAAGGGGTGAGGGCATGGGGCAGCCTGGGAAGGAGGGGTGCGGGCATGGAGCAGCCTGGGACCTGGGAGGGGTGCAGGCATGGAGCAGCCTGGGACCTGGGAGGGGTGCAGGCATGGAGCAGCCTGGGACCTGGGATGGGGTGCGGGCATGGAGCAGCCTGGGACCTAGGAGGGGTGAGGGCATGGGGCAGCCTGGGACCTGGGATGGGGTGCGGGCATGGGGCAGCCTGGGAGGAAGGGGTGAGGGCATGGGGCAGCCTGGGAAGGAGGGTGCGGGCATGGGGCAGCCTGGGAAGGAGGGTGCGAGCATGGAGCAGCCTTGGACCTGGGAGGGCTGTGGGCATTGACCAACCTGGGCAGGCCGCTCACCTGCCCTCCTTCTCCCTTTTGCTCCCTAGCGCGGGAGAAGCTGGATGACGTGGCTAGAACCGTGTACCAAAAAATGGATCAACTGTTCCAGGGGAAGATGTATTCCCCAGGTGAGGGCCTGGGGGGCCCCAAGGCGGGGTGTGCCCACTCCGCAGTGCCCGTGGTGGAGGGCCTGACCGCCCTCCCCCTCTTGCTTCCTTTTCAGGTTATTTCCCTAACCAGCTGAGGACCATCTTTCGGGAACAGGTGCGCCAGCTGCAAAACGTCATCATCCAGAGTGCGTGAGGGCAGCTGGGACGGGGACTATGGGGGGGCGCAGGTGACACGAGTGGGAGGACCCAAATCCTGCCCAGGCAGCTCTCTGGGGCCACTCTGGGGCTCCCAGGCTGCACGACCCTGAACCCCAAATGGGTAGGGCCCAGCAGGAACATCATTTCCTGTCTGTTCCCCCCACCCCACCCCCAGGCCGCATAGACTGCCAGCGACACTGTGGTGAGTGGATTGGGCAGCACCGGTGGCCGGCGGGGAGTTGGGCAGCCCCGCGCCTACCCAGGGGTGTCCATGGCCTCCCCGGCACCCTGCAGGCATCTTCCAGTATGACACGATCTCCTGCGGCAACTGCACAGACTCGCATGTCGTCTGCTTCGGCTACAACTGCGAGTAGGGCTCGGGGCTGTGGGGGTGGCAGGGCGTGGGGGTGTGCGGAGGTCCCCACCCGCACCGGGCTGGCTGCGGGTTGCCTGCCAGCTCTCTGTCCGCACAGGTCCTCAGCACAGTGGCAGGCAGCCGTGAAGGGCCTCCTGCTGTACATGTGAGTCCAGGGGGTGTGGGGGAAGTGGCCTGGCTTCAGAGAGGGGACGCCCACCAGGCCACCCAGCCCTCCCTAACTCCAAACCTGCTGTTGTTCTAGAAATAAGTGGCACAAGTAAGTTGTCCTCACACTCAGCGTGCACGCGCGTGCGTGTGCATGCGTGAGCACCCCGGTGGTGAGTAGGTGTGGGCAGTAGGGGCCTCACCCTGGTGAATGGGGGCGGTGAATGAGCCTGGGCTGGGCTGTGGGCAGAGGCCCAGTGGAGGGGCCTCAGGCAGAGCCCAGGCTCTGACCCTGGGCCCTGTGATGTTTCAGAGAGGACACAAGCATGAGGTAACAGACCCCTGGGGGTTGTGGGGGATGCTGGGTTGGGATGCAGGCAGGGCAGGCGGGCCTCTGGGTGGCTGCATGCTGGGCGAGGGTCCCCTGGGATGGGTGATGGCAGGGCAGGTGGGCCTCTTGGTGGGCTGTGGAGCCCATCCCTGGGCGACCCTGCAGCAGGCAAGGCAGGTTTGCACCTGGAACACCCCTGACACTCTCCCTGACCCTGTGCGGTCATCTCTTGAACCATCAACTCCTCGCCTGGGTCACACAGAAACATCCCAGCCTTGTGAGTGATGGGGGCGGGGCCTTGGCTGGCACAGGGAGGCAGGTGGTGTGCGCGAGGCGCTGCTGAGGGCCCCGACACCCCTGCAGCCTCCAGTTGCCGTGCCTGATGCAGAACCTGGCCAACCTGACCCTGGAGGACATCTCTGAGTGTCTAACCCAGCATTGATGACAGCCAGTCCACCCGCAGCTGTGCTGGGGGGGCGGGGCCTGCTCGGCTGGACCGTCAGCACCTGGCCCCCAAGGGCAGGCTCGCTGCTGCCCCGTGCTCACTATTCCTGCAGCCCAGGCTGGGCTGGGCCGGTGGGAGGGGAAGGGATGTGGGCCTGCACTTCGCATGGGCTCCCGGGCAGGGGCACAGAGCTAGCAGGGGACATTAAAGTATCCTCAAGTTGCCACTCGAGAGGTTCTTGTCCAGCTAGGGGAACCACATGGGGATTCCAGAGGAGCCCTGCCTGGTCCAGGAATCCCCAAATACATCAATGATGCCCGCTGGGCATCCAAGAGGAGCCAGGAAGGTGTGGGAGCTTCATGGCATTCCTGCTGTCACTTAGGATGTAGGACAGTGGCCTGAGGGCAGGTGGGGTGGGGGGAGTGGGGGCGTGTGGCTCTGAGTGCCAATGCACCTGCTGGCGGTGCTGCTTCTGGGGAGGCTCCTGGCCCTGGAATAAGGGCGTGACTAAGACCCGTGCAGCTTCACACTGGCATGCGTGGGGAGCTCCAATCAGACACCAAGACATGTCAGAGCCACACGTGCCACGCTGAGCACACGCCAAGGTGATGCCTGCTGGCCCTGCCCACAGTTGCTGGGTGCCCCAGGGCTCCCGTGTGTGTCCACGGGAGAGTAAGGCCGCATGTAATTGGAAAGGTGCACTGTCCACCCACTGGCTCACTGTCCATGGGGACCAGGGCCCTAGGGTGGACAAGAGGGTGCAGCATGAGCACGAGGCTGCACTCTGGGCTGTGGGCATCTTAACTGCCATGGCACACCCTGCCCAGGCAGCACAGCACCAATGCTGGGTCCGTTTGCCCTCGTGCCACAGCCCCATGTGGCTGTGTGGCCTTGGGCTTTGTGGTGGGAAAGCCAACACGGTTGGGGTCAGCAGCTTGCACGGGCGATCTGCACTGGTCCCTGGGTGGAGGGGACCCTGTGAGGGCCCATGGACAGGGCTGGACGGCACCCACGTCGCATGCTCACCTCCGTTTGCAACTTTATTGGACCATCTTGACACAGATCGCGACAGCAGCGTGCCGAGGCCTGCACGGCGTGCCGGCAGCACACAGACATTTGGGGGACACGCCCTTCTCTGGGGTAAATCACTCGACATGCTAAAGTGACAGCTTCATCAGGAGGGAAAGATACAAGGTCACGCCATCATCTTGGGAGGTTGAGTCACGTGCCCAGGAGGCAGCAGGCAGAGAATGCCAGCCCTAGCCACCTGAGCAGACAGCGAGGAACCCCGGGGTGCTCGCTTGCTGCCCGAAGTCCTGACTTGAGGCGTCCTGGGGACAGAATGCATGGTGCGCAAAGTGACAAAGACAGGACGAGAAATGCCAGGACTCACCCCTGAACAAGAGGTCACAGAAGGGCCGCCACCGCGTGGCCAGCCAGCCTGTGCCATTCTGACAGCTCTCAGCCCGGCACCTGGCTGCTACTGCCCTCCCACTGTGCGTCCTGGGGAGAGGCCATGTCCACTCTGCCCACTGGGTTCCGCTGCTTCAGAGGGCTGCCCTTTCCAAGGAGGCGGCCCCCGAGAGGGCAGGGAGTGCAACCGGGGGTGCCGCTCACTGGCCTGGGGATTGGCTGGGGGCTTCTTGCTGGAGAGAGCAGTCAGGGGGTGACACATAAACCGTTGCCACATGGGACCGGGGGTGTCTCCACAGTGGATGGGTGCGGGCATGGAACACGCAGGAGGTGAGGCGGACGGGTGGGTAGCCCATGGTCAGCACTGGGCCAGCGTTCCCTTCACCTCCTCCAGCAGGTTGCCCAGCATGGTGGCGTCACTGCACTTGCCGTCTACGGACACAGAGCTCTCCCCCTGCAGAGGGCAGGGCAAGACTGTCAGCCACCATGGTGGGGTAGGCTAGGCTGCCGCCAGCCGTGCCCGCTACCAACTGCAGGAAGGAGACCAGGATGGAGCTTCGGCTTTCAGCTTGGCCCCCGTGTGCAGCTGTGTGGGGAGTGAAGCGGTAGATGGGAAGAGCTCTAACTACTTTTCAAAAACTTGAATCTTCAGAGAGCGAGCGAGTGAACCCTCCCCTCATGAAGCCCCCCAGAGCGCAGCAGACACCACAGACGGCTGGCACACCCAAGCCAGCCACATGGATGCACCCGGGGAAGGCGCTAAAGACACAGGCCCTTGGGATGCAGCTGGCAAGCGGGGTGTCCCCCGGGCACTCTCCCCAGGAGGAGACGGTGCTGATCAGGCACAGCCTCCCCTAGATGACATGGGAGCACCAAGCTGCGCCCACTGCTTCCTGCTGCCGCAACCCTGAGTGTGCGCTCACAAGCCCTTCACAGAGTCACAAGGTGACAGGGCGGGCACAGCCACCCCGTGGCACACCACACCCCATATTCCAGTGCTGGGTGTTCCCAAGGTGTCCTGGGGAGCTGGCTAGGGTGGGTGTCTGAGAAGGGGGCAGCAGCAGCTGCGAGCGAGGTGGGGCCTGGGAGTGCCTACCTTCTTGACAAGCAGGCAGACATGGTGGCCCTGGATGGAGCGGCTGTACATGGAGGCACAGGAGTCCACTCGCTCCACAACTGCAACAGAGCAGGCGCATGAGTCCGCCCGCATGCAGGGAACCCATGGGCCCTCCCGTGCAGGGTGCCTTCCATGGGCCGCCCTCAGTGGCAGTGGGGCAGAGGACAGGAAGGGGCTGCGGGAGACACGAGACAGGAAGGGGTTGCTGGGGACAGGAAGAGGCTGCTGGGGACAGGGTACAAGAAGGGTCTGTGGGAGGTGGGGGACAGGAAGGGGCTGCTGGGGACAGGGGAACAGAGAGGGGCTGCGAGGGACGGGGGACAAGAAGGGGCTGCTGGGGACAGGGACAGGAAGAGGCTGCAGGAGACAGGACAGGAAGGGGCTGTGGGGGACAGGAAGGAGCTGCTGGGGACAGGGGACAGGAAGAAGATGCTGGGGAAGGGGTGCCAAGGGGCGCAGACCCCCGCAGATGGAACAGATGCATTGTCCTCACCGGAGAAATGGTGATGGAAGCAGATCCTGGCTAGAAGGTTCTGGAAGGACATGCTAATGCCGTCCACCTTGATGGAGCTCACGCTCAGGTCCCCCGACTCCAGCAGCTTAGCGAAGGCATCACTGTAGGCAGGAGGGGGCTGGGTGAGGACAGATCCTGCACTCTGGCCCCCCCAGGGTGCAGGTGCGGGGACCCTATGAGGTTGGCCTGCTCCTCCATGCATGGCTGTGTGTGGAGGTGGAGGGGCGGGCCATCCCTCCCTCCCAGCTGGGCTAGGGTACCCCCCTTAGCCGCCCCTCCCGCGGCTGGGCGCACCTGCAGCACGGCGTGGTCAGCAAGTACGAGCTGCAGCTGAAATGTAGTTTGAAGTCCAGTTTCTCCTGGGTGGCCCCGTCCTCGTCCTGCAGCAGGGCATAAGAGAGAGGCTGAGGGGCCCGGGGTGCCGAGTGTGGCACAGCCCCCAGGGGTGGGGTGGGGCCATACCTTGGCAATGAAGAACAAGAGGGAGGCTGGGGGCCCTGCGACCAGGGGCGGGACCTTGACCTTACCTTGGCAATGAAGGACAAGGTGCCTTTCAGCTTCTGCGCCATGACTATGCTCTGAACGCTGAACACGAACTGGGCCTCGTTGGAGACGCCTGGCCGGGGAGGGATGGTAGCTGACAATGGGCAGGCGGAGGCCAGGGCAGCCCAGCACGAGCACTGGGCTGATGGGGGTGGACACGGTGGCTCTGGGAGGCCCAAACTTGGCCTGGAAGTATCCAGCACCGTCACGGGGCACCAAATGCAACAGGTACCAAGCCACCCAGAGCTCCCAACTCTGCTGCCCATGGGGGCTCACCCAGGGGACAGTGACCCAGGGCCCTACTGGGGGCAACAGCTGGCACGGCTCACCAGGGGGCAGCTGGAAAGGCACGGGCACGCCATCATGGACAGAGGAGCCTTCCGGCCTCGCCATCTTGGTGTTGAGCGAGTCCAGCACGCTGAGCTCCATGTTCTTGAGCAGGCTGCGGCTGTGGTTCTCCAGGATGACGGACACGGTCACTTGGCTGTCCTCCTGCAGGCTGCCTTGCACATCGTATGTCTGCGCAGGGTAAAGCCGGGGGCTCAGGGACTCACCCGGGGGCTGGGGAGCCTGTGTCCCATGCACTCAGGAACCCTGGCTGACCCTCACGCACAGGAGCTGCCCTGTGCTGAGCCCCGGCAGCCTAAGAGCCGCTTCCCCAAGGAGCCTGCTGCCCGTCTCACTCACCATCTTGACGTAGGCGTTCTCAGCCAGGGGACAGTAACTGGACATGGGCTGATGGGAGAGAGAGAGGGTTGCAGTGTGGGAGGGGTTGAGGGCACAGCGCCCGAGCAGCGGCCTTGTGGGGCGGCCCTCACCGGCAGAGGCTCCTCCTGGGGCGCGCCGTTCTGCACGGGCTCGGTCGCCTCCTCGCGTTCCGGCCTCCGCTTCTTGGACTTCTTGTCCTTTCCTCGCTCTTCCTTCTCCTTCTTGTGTTTCTTCTTCTTCTGTGTGGACTTCTGGGAACAGGTGAGCAGGGGGCAGGGGACAGTGTGCCGGGTCAGCAGGGGGCAGACAGACAAGGGGTGCAGCCGGCAGCACCAGGCTGGCCTGGGCACAGTCCACACAGACCCTTGCTACAACACACAGTGGCCCAGGGCAGCAGAGATGGAATGTGACAAAGCTGACACCGACAAAGCTGTCGCCGGAACAGCATGACAACAGAAGAGACGCCAGCCCTCACTGGTGCCCGGGGCCCGTCCCAGCCACCTGCCTGGAGAACCTGGGAGGTCCCCTAGCTAATGGCCTCAGCCCAGCCTGGCCCCCACTGCTGTGAGCAACTGGGGAGGGAATGGGTACATGGGAGTCTGTCTCCACTTGACCCCTCACTGCACAGCCCCGAGCCCTCCTCACCTTTGGCTCCAGGGCCTCGTCGTCCTCGTCGGCCACCTGCTCCCTCCTTGTCACCTCGCTGTCGTCCTTCGGGGCCGTGACGGCAGACACTCCAAGCTGCACCTGCAGGCACCATCGGGCTCAAGGGGGTGTCTGCCCAGGGAGACACCCCCCTCCAGCCAGCCTGTCAGGAGCCCCTGCTGGCCTGGGAGGTAGCTGACACCCTACTGGGTGCACCTGGGAGCTGGCAAGAAAGCATGCCCACTCTTACCGTGGCTGCGGCCGGGGAGGGCGCAGCGGCCGGTGGCGGGGTAGTGGACAGCCAGAAGTCCAGGTCGTCACCCTGAGGACACAGACGGTCAGGGCAGGGCGCCAACAGGGACCGCCTGCAGCCCCACAGCCCTACACAGAGCCTGACAAGGGGATAGGCTGCTGGGGAGCCTGCTACCCAACACGAAGTGACCCGGATACCAGGTCCCCCACAGGAGCGACAGGACCAGGATGACAAGGCTTCCAGCTGCACAGCCCTGGCCTTAGCGCCTCCCCTGCCTATCCCTCCCCCTCCCCTGCCTCCCCTCCCCCTCCCCTGCCTCCCCTCCCCCTTACCTTCCTTCCCTCCTCCCTCTTCCTGCTCCTCTCCTTGTGCGTCTTCTCCTTCTTCTTGGGTTTCTTGCTCTTCTTCTCCACCACGGGGACGTCTTCTTTCTCGGGGGGCTTGGGGGCCTGGGCGTTCCTGTGCTTTAGGACTGGCAACTTCTCGCTGTCTGCCAAGGGCCTGGGGGGGGGGTGGGCGGGGGCAGTGTTGGGCTGGGGGTCAGGAGCCCCCCCAGGTGGATTTTGCTCCAGAGTGGCAAAATCCAGTGGGGTCCTGGGCCGCCCTCTCCTGCCCTCCCCGACCCTCCTTACTTGTCCAGGTCGATGTCCAGGGCCCTGTAGGGGTCATTAGGGTCTTTGTCGTCCTCGTCGCTGGGCAGGGCATTCTGCAGGGACACAGATAAATCCATGAGTGGCCAGGGAGCCCACCCAGGCTGCCAGAGCCTCCCCCTCACACCCCGCCTCCACGTGACACTGCTCGACTGCCTCATCAACCAGCCCAGGGCTGTGGGGCGGTCCAGAAGGGCCATGGTGAGGAACAGCCACGGGGCTGCCACCCTTAAGCAGTGGGGCACAGGGACCGTCCATAGCAGGCGAGGCCTCCCTCTCGCTCGGTGCCCCCGGGCTCACCTCCGGCATCTCCTCGGTGACAATGTCCACCTGCTGGGCGGGCGCGATGTCCTCGTCACTCTCGGTGGGCAGCGAGCCGTGGCGGCGCCGGCCCCGCTTCTCCTTCTTCCTCTTCTTCCTCTTGTCCTTCTCCAGCTTCTGCCGGTGCCGCCGCTCCTCCTCCAGCTTCACGTACTGCTCTGACAGGGGCAGCCCTGCAGGGGACAGGGGTGCTCAGCCTGTGCCCTGGCGCCCAGGCCCGCCCGCTGCCTTCTCCCTGCTGCTCTTGCCTGGCACTTTGAGGGGCACCGAGAGGTCAATCTGCACGACGGGGATGTGCTCCACGCCCGGGGCGTCCTGGTACCGCTGCGGAAGCAAGGCCCGGCCGTCAGGGCAGGGGTTGCTGTGCGTGACCTGGGCCCTGCCCCCCCCGGCTGTCTGGAGGAGCTGTGGCCACGGGGAGCCCCGTGCCTGCAGGCTTCCACGGCCAGGGCAGCTGGGTCGCACAGCTGGAAGAACAACCCTTCCCGTTGATCACAGAACTAGCATGGGCTCAGGGAGCCATTTCCAGGGTCCACTGAGAACCCGAAAGCCCTGCAAGCACCCCTGTGGGCAGCTGGACACACGGTGGTCGCCAGCCTCGGGGCCTAGATCCAGGAAGCTCCAGACCCTGGGCCCCCCAACCCCACCTCATGCTCTGTTGATGGCCCCTCGATAGTGGCTGTCCCCGAGGCCCGAGCCCACCTTGTGCGGGGAGGGAGAGCTCTTGATGTAGAACGGGTTGCTGGCTTGCTCCTGCCTCCGGGCCTCCCGCCGCTGCGGGCAGATGTAGAGTGTGTGAGCAGGGCAAGGGGACCCTGGGCACTGCCAACCCCCTGCCGACCCCGGGCACTGCCAACCCCCTGCTGACCCCTGTGACAGCCTTGACTCGCAGGATTACAGAGCCCGTCCACATGAAGGCAGCACCCGAGGGCAGGGATGGCCGCCACTCCTCGGGGCAGGGCTGGGACACAGTGGGCTCAACTGCCCGGAGTCCCGGAAAGCTTGGCTCTAGCTCTTGGAGCTCAGAACAGAAGAAGGGGCTCAGAGAAGGGAGTCACTCTGGCGTTCCAGCGGACATGAGGCAGGGGGCTACCCATGAACACAGAAAGCCAAAGGCAGACGGGAAGGGGGTGGTTCATGGGTCCACGCGTGACCCCGGCACTGCACAGGCTGCAGGGTGAAGCCCCAACTGAGGGCACCGAGGGGCCTGCCCCCAACCGGGCTCACCATAAGCTCCTGCTCTTTGAACCACGCTGGAGTCCAGGGCAGCACGTCGGGGAGGACAGTAGGGCCCCGGAACCACGTGCGCTCACTCACCCTGGCCAGCTCCTCCTCGTCCACCTCGGCCTGCCGGGGCTTGGCATGCCTCTGCTCCTCCTCGTGGAACATGGCCTTGGGTCGCTCGTCCTCGGAGTCGCTGTCTGAGGGCGGCTCGTTGATCCAGGCATCCAGATCTAGGCTGCACCGACACAGGGGTCACAGGAGCCCCTACCCCGAGCGCACACCCGCGCCAGCCAAGGTGTCCACCCTGAGCGGGAGCCGCCGCTACCCTCCCTGGAGGACCAGGGCACGCCAGCATAGGCGCCCACCCAGGGAGGCAGCGTAGGGCCACTGCTGGGCTCCCGGAGGACGGGGCATGTGTGAAGCCTGCAAATCCTGAGGTCTCACCCCTTCCAGCCCAGGGCTGTCCCTGTCCCCCATTCCCGGGCCCTCACCCTTCAGGAACTGGAACCTTCTTCTGGGCCTTGGGGGCCACTGGGTTCAGCTCCCCAGCAAAGAGGGCGCTCAGTTCCTCGGCCACGGGCACAGCCTTGGCCTGCAGCTTCTGCACGTGTTTGACCAGCTGGAGGATGCAGGACGCCTGCGGGAGGGGGCAGGGGTCAGACATGCCCACCAGTCACCAGCTGGTGGGGGGCTCGGGCCAGGCACAGCCCAGGGGCATCTCTGCTGGGCTCACAGCAGAAGCAGGCGCACAGACACAAGCCCACAGGGTGAGGTGACAATGGGAAAAGGCCCACAGCGGTGTGCATCCAAGAGCCACAGCTGCCTGAGCCCACGTGGGCCCCAGTGCAGTCACGGCCTCCCCCACCTGCCCCTGCACTGAGAAGGGACAAGCAGGCAGCTCCAGGCTGGCCTATGGTCGGCTCAGGGGGCACAGTGCAGAGCCCGACAGTCACGGGTGACCAGCCCGAGGTTGCCTCGGATGGCCCCCACTTGGACCCTGCCCTGGCTGAGCTGCAACAAAGGGGCCTCAGGAACTGTGTGTGGCCAAGGGAACCAGGGAGCCAGCAGACCAGCCCCTGGTGCAGGGACGTGGGACGGAGCCTTGGCCAGGCCCAGGCCTCACCCGCTCCTGCACTTCCAGGTCGGCGCTCTGCACGAACTGCGGCAGACGCTCCAGCAGCAGCTGGGTGGCCTGCTGCGCGGCCTCGGGCTGGCCGGCCTGCTCCTCCTGCTGCAAGATGCTGGCGTACAGCTTGAGCACGTTCTGCACGTACACGGCCTGGATGTGTCCGGGCAGCGTGGTGACCTTGGGCCGGAGCATGGCCTCCAGGGTGCGCTGCGGCTCCTGCAGGTGCCTGGGGGACGAGGGCCAGGTGAGGCGCAGGCCCCTGGCTGCGGTTCCCAAGGCACACATAACCACTGGAGCAGCCCAGTGGAGAAGGACAAGGGAAACCATAGCCTGGCCGCAGACAAGCAAGGGCCAGAGGGAGGGGAATGCTGGGAAAGCCAGAGTCACATGGGACAGAAGAGCCCACATGGCTCCACGGGGTGGCCTGCCGCTGTGGGGACCACGAACGGTCACAACATGGAGCCACTCTGGCTCAGGCCTGCTAGGTTTGCTGACTTGCTCTTTCTGCCTCTGCACACAATGAGACCTGGCCAGCCTCCTGCTCTGGGGCCAGGTCACAGGGTGTTACCTGCCCCAGAGAAGCCCTGGGTTTCATGAATTAATACTGTCAGACTTGTTTCACCGATGGTCTCATGGCTGCCTCCCGTGGCTGCCCAACGCCCCTGGTTCCCACGGCTGCAGAACCCACTCCTTCTATAAAACCCATGCACCCCTCACCTCGGGGTCCCTCTCCGCTGGCCAGTCTGTTTACCGGCCTCCCCGATCAGCTTTGCTGCTTTGCAGAATCATCTGGGCTATGCTTCCCTCGGGGCGGCTCACAGACACAACACCCAGTCTGACTGCTGCCCATGGCGTGCCCAAGCCAGCACACGGCCCGCCTGGAGAACCCAGAGCACCGGGCCAGCAGCCTGCAACCTGGAACCACCCCATCACCCAGTGCTAGGCTGTGTGCCAGCAAAAGCAGACGACAGCCGGAGTGCTGGGGCCCCTGTCACCCGAGGAACGCAGGCTCTGGCTCCACTGTGGCCATTCGGGAAGGATGCGACAAGCATTGAGGCCTGTGCATGTCTGTCCCCGCCCAGCCTGGCCCAGCCAGGCCCACTCACTCGGAGAACTCGCCACAGATCCAGGCGGCGGCATAGAGCACCTCGCAGATGCCGTTGCGCTGCGTGCTGCTGGCCACGAGGGGCGCGCTGTCGAGCAGCACAGACATCTGTGCCACTGCGAACTTGCGGATGGCCTTGACGCGGATGGCCACGTCGAGCATCTGAGCGGCGATGAGGTGGCCGTGGCGTGTGCCCTCCAGCCGCGTCAGCTCCACCAGGATGCTGATGTACCACTCGAAGTTGGTGATGTGCTGGTAGTTGGACTGGCTACAGATGTCAATGATCTTGGTGAGCAGCTCGTCACGGTAGGTGGTACCCTCGGCCTTGTCCACATGCGCCATCAGCTTCTTCACTATCTCCATCAGGCTCTTCTTGGACACCTGCGGGCCGGGGCAGGCTGCTGAGGGACTACGTGGTGGACATGGGGAGGCAATGGGCTCTGTGAGGCCCCAGGCAGGTCAGAGGGTGCTCGGCCCCCTTCCACCCAAGTCTACAGGGGACCCTTCACGACAGGATGACGAGGATGGGGCCGGGGTGTCACCTCGCTGCCAATGTCAAGACATGCCCAGGGGCCCTGGACGCCCATGGGTGTCTTAAAGAACTAAAATCCAGGGGCCGGCACTGGTGTAGCAGGTAAACTACCGCCTGCAGTGCTGGAATCCCATATGGGCGCTGGTTCATGTCCTAGTTGCCCCACTTCCCACCCGGTTCCCTGCCTGCGGCCTGGGAAAGCAGTCAGCCCAAAGCCTTGGGACCCTGCACCCATGTGGGAGACCCAGAAGAAGCTCCTGGCTTTGGATGGGGTCATGGCCACATGGAGAGAAGGCCAGCAGATGGAGGACCTCTCTCTGCGTCCCCAGAGGAATAAACGAGCCTCTCTGGGTGGTGGGCGTGCACCACGCCCTAAAACAGGGAGATGAGAAACCCAGGGAAGGTGGCGGTGGGTGTGTACCGCGCTGCAGAGCGGGGAGGAGGGAGAAGGTGGCGGGGCACACCATGCCGTAGAGCAGGTCCAGGGCCCGCAGGCGGATGGACTCGTCCTTGTCGTCCAGGCACTGCAGGATGAGGTCCTTGTGCGACTGCACCGACTTGGGGTGCGTCTTCAGGATCTTGGACATGGCCAGCAGCCCCAGGTACTTCACTGCAGACAGGCGGAGAGCGGTGTCACCCCGGCACATCCAGACCAGGGCGCTGGGGCGGTGGGCTTGGTGGCGGGGGACGAGACTGGGCACTATCCTAGGTCATGCCTGGCCTGACAAGCATGAGGTACCCGGCGACTGTCTGCAGATGGCCACAAGCTCCACGCTCAGGCAGAGCCTTCCTGAAGATAGCAGAAAAGCAACACGACCCAGCTTCCTCCCCCAAACCCTGGCTGCTCCCCTGCATCTTGGCAGCTGCATGTAGGGCCACCGTGGCCCCCAGTGGGCACAGCCCAGGGAAAGCTTAGTGCTGTGAGCTCCCGGCCAGGGAGCACCGGAGGCCCCAAGCCCTGATGCCATGTGCATCCTCCATGCCCCACTGTCCCCCACATGAGGGACTCAGGGCAAGAGGGGGCTGGCCGGAGGGTTAGGAGGGACTCACAGTTCTGATCCGAGTCTTCTATTAATATCCTCAATTTCTGGACACAGAGCTGCCAAGAGAGACACCCTGCTCACTCCACGGCCAGCGACACAATGAGGCCTGGGCAGAGAAGCAGGTGCGGGAGGGGGCTGGGAGCCTCACATCAAGGACCCGCAGACCTGATCAGTGGACACACGGAGCCCACAAGCTGCGGACTGAGGACTGTGGGCACATGAAGCCCACGTGCTGCACACCGCGGGGTGAGGATGGGGGCACACGGTGGCAAGGACAGGGGCACGTGACGGTGAGGACGGGGGGCACACGGGAGAACACACAGCAGGTCCCCGCAGCGGCACTTGGATTTAAAGGGTTACTTGACACAGCAGCTGTGCGGCTAAGACAAAACGAGCAGGCAGCCTCCCCGAGGCCAACCAGGGCACTGAGGGTCCCAGGCCCGGAGGACCTGTCCTAGCGCGAGCAGAGACCCCGCTCAACCCTCCCCGCAGGCCCCGCCCGGCCCAGGGTACCTGGATGCTGGCGCTATGGTTGGGCATGCCCGAGGACAGGGAGATGAGCACTGCAATACAAGAGCCGGTCAGTCCCTCGGGGGGCCATGCCCACCTGTGTCCCGAGGCGCCTGCCTCTTGCCCAGCCAGAGGGACACACCACGGACACACGAGGCTGGGGACAGCTCAGCAGGCATCTGTGTGGAACAGAGCTGGCCCTGCAGCTCAGATGTCGTATCCTTACAAGGTGGTTGGCCATGAAAGTTGGGACCTGACCGAGGGGGGCACCCACCCTCCTCACAACAGAGGTTCCAGGGCCCAAACAGGGTGCTAACAACTTGGTTCACACCCTCCCTGCCAGGCTATGTTGAGGCCCTCCTCAAGTCCGGGATGCTGCTGGAGCAGGACAGTCCTGCTGGCCCCTGGGGAGAGGCCCCAGGCTCCTGCCTGGTCTCCTGAAGCCCTTGCCACCTCCCCACCCATCCTCAGGCTGGCCTGGGACTAACCCCGGCGTCAGAGATGCCATGCACAGACAGCACGGGTCACTGCAATCCTGATGTCGCACCCCCAAGCAGCCTTGGCACCGCACACTGCACCAGGCCAGATGCCGTGGAGCCGTGCTCCCAGCCTCCACACACGCAAGCAAGGTTTCAAGCTCTCTGTGCAGGGCAGTCTTCACACGTGCCAGGGCTGGGCCCCAAGCTGCCGTGGACACAGGACGCACCTCAACTCCCCGTCCAGCCTCAGTGCGCTCAGCGCACGCAGGTGCCACCCAGAGGCAGCCCAAGGCCAGTGACTTGGGAACTAGCGACAACAGAGGACCACTGTGGGTGTCCTCAGCTCCAGCAGGGACAGTCCCTCCTCCCCGGCCCAGCCGCTCTCACCTGCAATGACAGTGTTCACACACTCATAGAGCAGGGACATGGCGGATGTGCTAAGGGGACACAAAAGGAAACACTAAGGCAGTCACGTCCAACATGTGGGAATGCTCCACTAGACACGCGCCCACAGCTCATCCTGTCACCCAGCACCTAGCTCCGCTGGACACGTACCCACCCATAGTCCAGACCAGCACCCCATGGGAGGCATGGCCAGCAGGCCCACAGGGCCACCTTCCACACCCAGCCTGTCCATGGTGGCTGCTGGAACCACCTTCCTGGGGGAATCCAGATATCCTGGATCTCAAGGTCATGAGAGCCCACCCCTCAACATGACCGCATCCCCCTACTGTGCCCCAAACTCCACACCTGGGACAGACGCCCTGCCACAGGCCTGTCCCTCCGCCTATGACCAGCTTGACAGCTGTGAGCAGGCTCAGAGCCCAGCAGGCCCAGCTGAGGGATGGTGTGCAGCGGGCCTGGCTGAGGAGCAGCGGGAGGCAGGTGCGCGGGTGACAGGGCACTCACCTATGGATGAGGTTGGTAAGGGGCTCAATCAGCTTCTTGCCCAGCCTCGGCTCCAGCGGGGTCAGAGCACCGAACTGCAAGGAGAGGAAGGGTTGACAGGTGCTCGCATGCTGGATAGTGCCCCTCGACCCTGGCCCAGAAGCCCCAGATCCTGGTCCAGCACCCTGACCCCAGCCCGGCACCCCCGACCCCAGCCCAGCACCCCTGACCCCAGCCCGGCACCCGACTCCGAACAGGCCCCCTGACCCCGGCCCGGCACCCCAACCCTGGCCCACCCACCCAGGACGCCTGTACTTGCCAGCTTGATGATCTTGATGAGCACCCAGTTGTTGGTGGATGACGTCATGAGCTTGAAGAAGAGTGGGGCCAGGGACAGGTAGTTCTTGGGGTTGCGTCGGGCCAGCTCGCAGATGACGTTGACGGCCGCCGACTGTACCCCTGCAGGTGGGACAAGGGGCCAGCCCTCAGCGTCCTCGCTGCCCACGGGAGCCTCCTCCCTTGGGGCCAGCCAGATCCTGCCTGCTCCCACCCGCAGCGGCTGCAGTGACTGGTCCTCCTGGGGGGAACCCTGGGGTCAGCCCTGGCCTACAGCTCCCTCAGCAGGCTCCCAGGGCCCCCAACTCCAAGCCACTCAAGGACACTGTCACTTCCAGTCTAGGTCTCAACTGACCACCAGGGCTGTGCTCCCCCAGATCCCTTCCTCCACCCACACCACGACCCCTCAACAGCCCCAAGACTGCAAGAGACCGCCATGCTGGCAGCGAGGCGGACAGAGGTCCCTGGGACGTCATGGGCTCATCCGTGCCCCCTCCCATTCTTGCCGACAGCTGCAGGTCACGGTGAGCTGTGCCGTGGCTTAGACGACCTAGGAGCATCCCAGCTCCCACAGGACGGGATCTGGGGAAATTTCCAGGGTCTGGGGCCCCCTACTCCTCCAGGAGTTTCCTAGAACGGACTGGGCCACCCGCAAGCCACCCACCAGGGTCAGGGTCCTCCAGCTTCTCCTTCAGCCGGGGGAAGGCGGGGCGCAGCGACTCGGGGTGTTTCAGGAACACCTTGTACATGATAAGCACGGCCTTCTTCCTGATGTACGGCTTCGTATGCGACATCTGCGGGCACAGGTGGCAGTAGGCGCAGGGCTCCCCCGCACTCCCCCAGCCCAGGGACCACAGGACAGCATGCTGTACAGCTGGGACCAGGCCAGCACCCGACAGCGTGTGCTGGACAGTGGAGAGTTAGCTGGTCCTGGTGGGAACAGGCCTGGGGCTCTCAAGGTCAGAGCAGGAAAAAGGTGGCAAGACGCCCTCCTCAGCACCCACAGCCGGGGCACCCCCAGCTGGGGCCACCCTCTGCCCCAGCAAGCCTGCCCAGCCCGCGGCCACCGGGTCCAGGTCTCTGGCCCTAAAGGCCACAGCCAATGTCTCCTGCACAGGAGCCCAGACAAGCTGTGTGTGACCATGTGGCTCTGCCCTTTTACAGTGTCCTGCCCGGGACACCACCCTGTGGCCCCGACACCGCTGAGCGCGGCAGTGCTTCCCTGGCCAGGGACTGGCTACTCAAAGAGACCGTCCACCGTCCACACTGTTCCCATCAACCCCTTTCTAAGCGGGACCAAAGAGCAGCCCGCACTGCCCAGAAGCTGCAGCCTGGGGAGACGTGCATGACTCCGAGGCAGCCGGTCTCGGGCCGACAGGGACTGGGGGAGGCACGGACTGGGTGGGTGGAGGAAGAAACCACTGGCCGCCTGACAACCAGGCCACCGCACAAAGGTGAGCTCAGAAGCATGAAGGGGCGAGGCCCAAGTGCAGACCACACACGGTAACGTCACTAAGCGCCCACCTCATCCAGGCCAGGCGCCAACGAGCTTGGCCCAGGATGCAGGGCTGCGCTTCCTGTGAGCTGACCTTGGCAACGGCTGTGGAGCCAGGCGCGGGGGCAGCGGGCATGCTCGCCAACTCACCAGGGTCATGATGTCATTTGCCAGGTCTCTGGCAAGATCTGGGGTGACGAAACAGGAGAGACCGGTCAGGGCGACTCCAGTGTCGTGCTGGCTGGGGCTGCTCAGGTCCTGGGGAGGGAGAGCTGGCTCAGCGGCCCCGGGCAGCACCTGCCCGAGGAGCCCAGCCTCCCGCTCCTGCCTCAGGCCCCAGGAAGAGGGGACACTCCTCCCCACCACAGCCTGGCTCTGGGAAGGCCGGGAGCACTCACACCTGTGCACCCCATGGGCAGGATGAGCACTGATTCAGGTGTGCCAGCAGACACGACACCCTCGGCCAGGACAGGCCAAGAAGGGAGCAGGGAGCCGGCCCTGCACCTGCACCCAGTGGCAGCCCCGGAGCCTAGTCCCCACTCCAGCTCCTTGCTAACATGTCCCCTGGAGGACTCCTGCACCCACCACTGCACGTGGCTCATGGGACGCACGGTGGTCATGGGGTGTGGTGTGGACCCCGCAAGGAGAGCCGCCTACCTTCCCTGCATGAGGTTCATGGGACACATGGCGGCCATGGGGTGTGGTGGGGGCCCCCGATGGGGAGGCCCGCCTACCTTCCGGATCTGGTTCGTCGTCAGCATGATGACGTCAGTGCCCTCGTGGAAGCACTGGGAAGCAGCGAGGTAGCCAATGCGCTGCAAAAGCAGGGGGCGTGTCAGGGCTCCACGCAGGCTCCCATGGAAGGCCCAAGGAGGGCCCCACACATCACAGCCCTGGGAAGCCATCTGGGCCCACAGCCTGCGGAGCCCAGAAAGGAGCTTCTGCGACTTGTCCAGACATGCACTCGGTCACCAGCGGCTGGGCTTCCTGCCTCTGTCCCACATGGACGCTCACAACCCCCCTCAGCCTCTGGGTGACACGCACCCCCAACTGCTGAGCATACAGAGAGAGCCACCCGGGCTGGGCCATATGGACAAGACCAGAAGGCCCAATGACTGGGGCCACCCAAAAACAGCCGAACCTGACCGTGGCAAGGACCCACAAGCAAGCCAGGCGCCCCCTTCCCAGGGAACACCGACAACAAGCCCAGAGAAGCTTGCACTCTGACCCGACAAGAGCCCAGTGGACACACGCAGCGGCCCTGGCCGTGCAGATGCTGCTCGGGGACCCTCGCCACAAGGCCCATCATGTCCACAGCCCCCTGGGCAGACCGCGGGGGACACACACCGACCCTTGTCACACGGCCAACCATGTCCTTGGCCCCTGCCAGACGGGCTCTGTGAAGAACTACGACAAGCTGGGCTCTCATTCCAGCCAGAGAATCACTGGTCACCCAAGGGCCCACCACACCCCACCCTCACTGGACCAGAACTCCTCAAGTGAGAGCAGCGGGGCAGAGGATGGGGTGGGGAGGCCGTCTAGCCCCAGCCTGCTGGTCTGCAGAGCGCCCGGCACAGCTCAGCCGGTGCCCCAGGCCTGGGCCTAGCCTACGTGGTGGTGGGGAGGGCGGGCAGGGGTCACCCTCCAGGCCCCAGCACTCACCTTGAACGTGAACTTGGAGGCACTCATCACTTCGATTATGTTGAAGGCAGCCCAACTGATGTCGTATCCCAGCATCTGTAACTGTTGATGGGACAAGCAGGGTGAGGCCCAGGTCCCCACGGAGCCCGCCACCGCACCCGGGCTCCAGCTTGGTGCTCCCCTGTGCCCTGTGGCTTCCCCTTCTGACACCTGTTGCGGGAGCCACAGCACACTGGGACAGAACACCACCTGGGCTGGCTAGGAAGCCCTGCCGGAGCAGCCCTCACAGAGAGCGCAACAGGGGAGGGGGTGGCCTGTGTGCACCGCCCGGGCCCCCCGGGGTCCCCGGGTCTCACGTAGGTCAGCTTGCACACGGCGTTGGCCTTCACGGCGATGCTGTCCTGTTTGAGTTCCTGCTTGATCTCGTCGATGCACTGAGAGATGTACTTGGCCTGGATGGAGAGACGGAGACCAACGTCCCTGACCATCAGGAAGGACTAGCGGGGGCGCCCCCTGCCCCGACACTTTCCTGTCACAGGAGCCAAGAGGAGCAGTGCCAGGGGCACAGAGAACTCAGCAGTGCGGCACACAGCAACAGGCCCTACCCGTGCACTCCCTGCCAGTCGCGTGGGAGACCCCGATGGAGCTCCCAGCTCCTGGCTACCGGGCATGCAGGGAATGAACGAGTGGATGGGAAGATTTGTTACCTCTGGTTTTCAAATAAAACGACAACTAAAGCTTAAATGTGAACGAAAAAAAGAAAAGTGGCCCAGAACGCCACAGTGGGACTCAACGACAGACATGACCAAGACCAAACCAGAGGCAGGAGGCAGACCGGTGCTCGCAGGGTAGGCGGGACAGGGCCGCAGTGACACGGGGCCTCCCTCCGGACAGCACCGCGCCAGGGTGGCCCTTGTGGGGCCCGAGGGCAGAGCTCGCTGCTCCCTGCACCTGGCCTGCTGCCAGGGTTCTGACCCGAGCAGGGCCAAGCACAGTTCCAGGCTAGAGGTGAGGTGGGAAGTGCCCACAGCAGTGGGCTGGGGGGCTCTGCTTGCGCTGAGCCTGGAGCACAGTCCTTGTACCACAGGCCCCAGCTTGGCCTCAAGGCAACTCCATCTGCCTGGCTGCGAGGCCTCAAGGAGCCCCATGGACAGCAGGAAGTGGGTCTCAAGTTTCCTGAGGAGCACGAGAGCCTAGTGGCTGAAAGTCCTCGCCTTGCATGAACAGGATGCCATATGGGCGCTGGTTTGTGTCCAGCAACTCCACTTCCCATCCAGCTCCCTGCTTGTGGCCTGGGAAAGCAGTGGAGGACGGCCCAAAGCCTTGGGACCCTGTACCTGCATGGGAGACCTGGAGGAAGGTCCTGGGTCCTGGCTTTGGATCAGCTCAGCTCCAGCTGTTGCAGCCACTTAGCGAGTGAACCAGGGCAGGGAAGATCTTTCTCTCTGTATACCTGCCTTTCCAATAAATATGAGTTTGCTTTTTAGCAAACAAAAACCTCCCTGGGTTAATAAGGCTCCCATGGGCAGCCTTGTCCTGCTGCCCATGACAGCGGGGCCCAGGGCTCTAGAGAACTGCCACCTGCCCTCGCTGTGCCCTAGGACGCGCCCTGGCTAGTCCAGAGCCACCACCAGTAGAGACTCGTGGAAACGAGCCTGGGGCCACTTGGGGCTTCTCTGGGCAGAGTTGCCCGGTGGGTCCTGGGTGACCACGACTCCAGGCTTCAAGTTACCTAGCTCGCCGAGCAGCGCAGTCCCATCCCTGCAAGCAGCTGACCCTTGCCTGACCCTCAAGAGATCAGGGTTGTTAATGATTTAAAAGGGAAAAACAAAAGCTAAACACAGGCGCTGGGGAGGCTCACACAGTGGGTGGGCAGGCAGAGTGGGAAGGGGCAGCCGCACCAAGGGCTCCACTCGGTTAGCCTAGGATGTTCAGATCCCACAGGGGCGCTGGTTTGAGTCCCGGCTACTCCACCTCCCATCCAGATGCCTGCTGATACACCTGGGGAAGCAGTGGAGGACGGCCCAAGGCCTTGGGACCCTGCACCCGCATGGGAGACCCGGAAGAAGCTCCTGGCTCCTGGCTTCAGACTGGCTCAGCTCCGGCTGTTACAGTCACTTGGGGAGTGAGTCAGTGGATGGAAGATCTTTCTGCTGTCTCTCCTTTTCTCTACTTTTTTTTTCCTTTCTTTAAGACATAATTATTCTTCTTTTTTTTTTAACATTTATTTTATTTTTATTGGAAAAGTGGATATACAGAGAGGAGAAACAGAGAGGAAGATCTTCCGTCCGATGATTCACTCCCTAAGTGAGCGCAACGGCCGATGCTATGCCGATCAGAAGCCAGGAGCCTCTTCCGGGTCTCCCACGCGGGTGCAGGGTCCCAAAGCTTTGGGCCGTCCTCCACTGCTTTTCCAGGCCACAGGCAGGGAGCTGGATGGGAAGCGTGGCTGCCGGGATTAGAACTTGCGCCCATATGGGATCCCGGGCGTGCAAGGTGAGAACCTTAACCACTGCGCCATCACGCCGGGCCCAAGATGTAATTATTTTTGCTGGGAAGGCAGATTTACAGAGAGGAAGAGAGAGAGAAAGACCATCCACCCACTCGGTCCCCCTTCCTCTGCTTTCCCATGGGCATCTGTAGGGAACTGGACCCCAAGAGGAACAGCCAGGACCTGAACTGGCACTCCAGAGACACATGCTCAGCCCCTGGTCGTTCCAGGAAGCTGAGAGGAGGTGTGAAGGTAGTGGAGACGCTGGCCTTGGCCCCCCGGAGCAGCTGGTGGGGGTCTGGTGCTAAGGCGACCCTGGAAAACTTTGCCCAAAAGCCTCAGCACAACAGGCTGAGGCTCAGCAGAGTGGGGGTGTGGGCTGACACGCCAGGTGCATTCCACACAAAGAACCTTGTGGCAGGCTCTGGCTCAGAGGCTCCAGCCCCGACCAGCCAGGTCACACCTAGGCCCGGCGGTGGCACCCCAGGCCAGCACCGTCAAAGGCCCAGCCTGCAGGCCTCCGCAGTCCCTGGGGGCAGGATACAGGACAGCCAAAGCCACTGCGTCCAGGGCACTCCAATCTGCCCAGGAACGCTCTGCCACCAGCAGTTCAGGGCCACATTCACCAGACCGTTCCTGGCCAGGCCCCAGCTCCCACCATACCTGCCGACGGTGCCCGGCCCTCAGCAGGCTCCTCACCCAGCTGCCGAGACAGGCCATCAAGCCCAGACAGGAAGCCAGGACCGAGGCAGCGGCCGTCAAGGGAGCTCCCATTCGCCCGGCACAGGCTGAGGAACCAGCACTGGGGAGGGCGGAGGGAATGCGAGGACCCCAGTCGTGGGGCAGGGGGACCACTGCACCTGACCAGAGACCCCAGAAGGCTCTCAAGGTGGAGCTGGGCAAATGAAGAGGGGAGCACCACGACAGAGGCCACCAAGGACTGGGCCAGGTGAGGGCAAGGGCAGTGGGGAGGCCCAGCACACGACAGTGGCAGTCTCCGCTGTCATCCTGGGAGCCAACGGCTGAGCTGGAAGGCTGTCCCCACGGCATGAGCCTCGGGGCAGGTGGCGCCAGCCCGTGCCCACCCTGACCATCTGTGGACCCAGTCTGCCCAGTGGACTTTTTCACACAGTGCAGGGACAAGAAGCCAGCAGCAGCACATAGAGAGTCGATGGGGGGGGCGGTTCCCACAGAGGGGCCACGGAGGTGAGTGCCCCGTGGCATGGGGAACTTTAGGACCACAGAAGGTTCCCGCAGACAGCGATGGCCACGGGCGGTTCACAGCGCAGCACAGGTGCAGGTGGAAGTGTGAGTGCAGAAGATGAGGGGCAGGCAGAAGGTCGGGCAGGATCCCAAAGCACACTGCCTTGGTCCCAGGGTCGCTCCACCTGCCTCAGCGTGAGCAGAGCTAAGCCCTCGGGAGGCTCCCACGGCCCACACCCCAGGCTCGCAGCCTTCCTCTGTGTTCACACGCCCGGACCCTGGAGAATGCCCACCCCAGCACGCAAGACCCTTCACGCGTCCTCCACCATAGCCCTGCTGCACAGGGCCCTGGTCAACAGAGATAACATCTGCTCGTGCCAGCCTGGCACTGCACAGCTCGGGAGCTGCCGGTGAGCTGACCAGCCGAACAAACACCCTCACCGCCCAGGGAGGAGCCAGGGGGAGCAGATCAGCCGAGCACCCTCAATACTCAGGGACAAGGCTGGAGGCCGAGGCTTCCCGAGAGCTCAGTGCACTGGAGGCGGCGGCTGGAAAGCCCCGGGCTGAGGGAGGCGGTCCTGTGCACAGGTGCTGCCCGGGCTGGCCCAGACTTGGGACCCTGACCCATGGGGCCACCTGTGACACCTGCACCCCTCCTCCTTGGGCAATCTCTGTGGTCTGAGGTCCGGATGGGGCAACGGCCCGGAGACTGGGGATCCTGGCACCACGTGGGGGGCTCCGGCACAGACCCACCCCCACAGCCACTGCCAGGTCACCTGAGTGAACAGCGGGAAGACGCAGGGGCAGCAAGCACTCAATCACAGAAGGGCACATTAACCAGCAAGGCTCCCTGAGAACCCAGGATGCAGGCCACCCTGTGGCACAGTGAGTAAAGCCAGTACCTGTGACCACAGCACCCACAGACAGAAGGGCCCCTCTTGGCTGCTCTGCTCCCAAAGAGCTCCCTGCTACTGGCCTCCAGAAGAGACCGGACAGACCCCTTGGCACAGTGCGGCCCACTCAGCCGTCGGAGGTGACCCAGCAGACAGAAGAGCCCTCCCTTCCAAATACATAGATTGTCCAAAGAAACACACTACTGCTGTGCCCACACGTTTCAGCAGCAAGAGATGCCGGGCACAGCTGAAACATCCAGCAGGCTAGATGGCAGCAGCACACACACACAGATGTGCACGGGTCACACACACAGATGTTCACAGGTCTATACACACACACACACACACACACACACACACGGAGGTATCTTCACAAAATCGGTCACGTGGGTTTCCAACACCTATGCTGCAGAATAAACTCCCTTTTGCACAAGCTGGCTGAAATCCTGAGCTGGAAGGACCAGGAAGGCTTCAGAAATGAGGAAGTGGGGTGCCTGAGGTGGCGGGGCGGTGGTGGTCAGCCAGGCGGGCTCCTCCCACACCCTGCAGGACCCAGGTCGCAGCAGGCGCTCCCAGACACTGAGCCTGGAGCTAGCCTCAACCCGGCCTGGGGCAGGGGCCAAGGGGTCACCCCGAAGACACAGGTGGGTACTGTCAAGTCCACCTGCACCCCACGTCATGGACCCCCCCCAACCTGGGAGGAAGGCGGCACACATAGAGGAGCCCCTTGCTTGAGCACAGGCGCAGCCCTGTTCAGGTGGGCAGCAGGCACCTGCTGGCCAGGGGTCCACTCCTGCCCAAGTGCAGTCCCTGGATGGCAGATGTACCGCCTACAGCCCTGCTTCCCCACGACCACTCTCAACTGTCCCCATTCCTCCAAGATGTATGTAGGTCACGGCCAGGAACGGAGAAGACCAGGCGGCCCCCCACACCGCACCCGGTGATGACAACCCCACTTCTAGAACACGCTACGTTCGCCCCGTCTCTTCCCAAAGAGGACCCCCACTTCTTCACCGGGGACAGGGGAGTCCTCGTTTCTAGAACACACTGCGCTCACCCTGGCTTTTCCCAAGCGGACCCCTGCTTACTTGCAGGGCACGGGGGTTGGGGGTCCTGAGTTCTAGAACACGCTGCGTCCGCCCCGGCTTTTCCCCAGGCGGACCCCCCACTTGCTCGCAGGGCACGGGGATCGGGGAGGACAGAGGGGGTCCAGCAATGCAGCAGCAGCAGCCCCTGCTCCGGCCAGAGCCGAGGGTGGGGACCGAGTGGACACACCTAGCAGGCCTGGGACCAGGCGTCACTAACGGGGACAGCCCACCCCCAGGGGGCTCTCACCTCATCCTCCTTGTGGTTGCGGATACCGCGCACCAGGTCCTGCAGGTTCTTGTCAAACATACGGTCGATACTGCCCTTGACCATCCTGAGGGCCATCGCGGCGGTCCCCGGGAGGCCCGCAGCGGCCAGCCGGCGATGTGTGCGTCCGAGCGGGGACCGCCCGCGGAGCGCCGCGATGGCACGGGCCCCGGCCCCAGGCCAGGGCGCCGACGGACGCCGCGGGGTCCAGGGGGGCAGGGACGGCGGCAACCCCGCCAAGCAGGAGCCCCGCTCCCGCTGCAAATGGCGGACAAGATGGCGGCCGGTCAGCTGACGGCGGCGGCCTCGGCCGGGCCGGCCCGCCCCGCGGAAGCCCCGCCTCCCAGGCCTTGGGGAGCCGGCGTTTCCCTGACGCAGCGACGAGCTGCCCAATGGAAATGCAGCAAGGGCTTGCTGCGCTGCAGCTCGTCCCCGCCCCTTCCCGCTGGGAACTTTGTGCTGATTGGGCAACGCTGTGCGTATCCCCGTCCACCGTCTCGTTCCGGGATCTAACCACGCCCCCCTGGGCCGACCCGCTGTGTCACGCCCCTCAGCCGGGTGACAGCGCGGGGCGGGGCTCGGTGGGCGGGGCCTTTGGTGGGCGGGGCGCCCACGTGGAGCTCGCCCGGCCAATTTCTGCAGAATCCGGCTCCGCCTTCCGGGAATCTTTGTGCTCAGACACTTGCGACCATCTGGGAAGTGAACCTGCGAATGCAAATTTTTTTTTTAAATCATTTTCTTGGAAAGATTTTTCTATTTTCATTGGAAAGTCAGATATACAGAGGAGAGACAGAGAGCAAGATCTTCTGTCCACTGTTTCACTTTCCAAGTGGCCACATCTGCCAGAGCTGAGCTGACCTAAAGCCAGGAGCCAGGAGCTTCTTCCGGGTCTCCCACGCGGGTGCAGGGTCCCAAGGCTTTGGGCCGTCCTCCACTGCACTCCCAGGAGCATGAGCAGGGAGCTAGAGCATCCGGGACTCAAACCAGCAACCTGTGGGATGCTAACGCTGTATTCACAAGCTGAACTGGCTATGCCACAGCATGGGCCCCGAGAACTTGTTTCCAGAAATTCACAATGATCAGTGAAGACCTGAGTGGGCAAAATACAGGACGCACAATCCCACCTGCCGCATCGCAAGCGTGTTTTCCTCTGGAAACTTCCGGAAGAGGAAGGGGTGCAGGGTCCCAAGGCTTTGGGCCGTCCTCCACTGCTTTCCCAGGCCACAAGCAGGGAGCTGGAGGGGAAGTGGGGCATCAGGGGCACGAACCAGTGTCCATATGGGATCCCAGTGCATGCGAGGCAAGGATTTTTTAGCTAGGCTATTGCACCGAGCCTGTCACCGTGCATTTCAAATTTTACCGAGAAAGGAAAGCCATCCCCTGCCCTTGATCTCGAAATAGCCATTTCTGGAAGGATGGTGGCCTTTTGGTGAAAGCAATGAGCAGGCTGAGGGCAGGTGCGAATCTGACCTGCAGAGGGCGCCGGTGGGCCACTCATGTAAAGATAATCCTACTGGCCAGGGAGGGACACTGGCTGACCGTCAGCAGCAGCTTGGGCGGGGCCAGGCTGAAACCTGGAACCACAAAAGCCATTCCAGTGAGTGCAGGGGCCCACGCACCCCAGCCATCCTTCCCGTGTTTCTTTAAAGATTTATTTTTTATTGGAAAGTCAGATATAGAGAAAAGAGGAGAGGCAGAGAGGAAGATCTTCCACCTGCAGGTTCACTCCCCAAGAGGCCACAACAGCCGGAGCTGAGCCAATCCTAAACCAGGAGCCAGGAGCTTCTTCTGGGTCTCCCACGCAGGTGCAAGGTCCCAAGGCTCTGGGCTGTCCTCCACTGCTTTCCCAGGCCACAAGCAGGGAGTTGGATGGGAAGCGGGGCTGCCGGGATTAGAACTGGTGTCCATATAGGATGCTCCTGTATGCAAGGCGATGACTTTAGCCACTAGGCTACAGCACTGGGCGTTCTGGTGAATTTCTGTTTCAGAAGCTGCAACAGGCATCCCAGAGGCTCAACTCGCCGAGCTTCCTGTAGCAACAGCGGTTGTCCAGTGCTGGAAGGACAGCGTGGAAGCTCAAGTGGGACTGAAGAATCTGGGATCAAAGGGTGTGACCTCTGCACTTAGGATGGCAGTCCCAATTCCCTTCTGGGAACCCTAACTGGGCCCTCAAGGCCCGACCTGCTCGCCCACCTGCCAGGGTGCCAGGACCGGGAAAACAGATAATTTTATTCACCATTTAAGAGCATCTGCTAGGTCATACCCCTGAACCCCCACTCCAGCCAGAGCCGGGCCCAGGCTGAAGCCCAGAGAGCTCGGAGCTCTCACGGGGTCTCCCGGGGGACGGCAGGGACCTTCATCCTGCTTCCCACCCTGGATGTTCCATTCACAAAGCCAAGACTGGGCCCCAGGAACTGCCCTCTGGGGTGCAGGCATTGTTGGTGGGGCTTAAGGAGTGTCTGCGTGTGCCTGTGTGAGAAGGCCACTGCCCGAGGTCACTTGTGTAGTTCACAGCGGGCAGGCTGGCCTCCCAGTGTCCTGCCCTTAGGCTTGCTAATTCATTGCTTGCTGAAAGCACCTGGCTGAATGGAGGGAGTGGTCCCATTCGACCAGTTCGGAATGACCGCCATCCCGGAGCCTCAGGACCAGCCAGGAGCTCTGGGAGATTTCTACCCTGGGGACTGCAGATGTGCTGGGATTAACACTGGGAGAATAGAGCCTCCTGTTTTGTTTATTTTGTTTTCCAGGAGAACAGGACCACCTGCCGGTACCCCCCCCCCCCCAGGGTGCTAGAAAGAAGCCAGCTGTAGCCAGCAGGAGCACTGGACAGGAGCTGAACAGGCAGCTGTGACTCCCCCTGCCTTCAGTGCTCCTGGGCTCCCTGTGCTGCCCTTAGCAACCAAAGCCTGCTTGTTCTCTTCTGCCCGGAAGCTGGTTGGCTTTCCGCTGCAGGCCTGGTGAGCACACCTGGCCCTGGGGTTAAGTGGCAACTTCCCCGCAACTAGTTTTAGGGTGGTTCTACAGCACTCCCACACCTCCAGCCTCGCCAAGATGCTCTCCTTGCCTTCCATGGTGCGAGTGACCGCACAGGAGGGCAAGCAGGGCAGGTGCTGGGGTCCTAGAATTCATTTTGTAAACAAGGTTTATTTATTTATTTATTTATATTGGAAAGGCAGATTACAGAGAGAAGAGAGAGAAATATCTTTGATTCCCTGGTTCACTCTCCAAGTGGCCACCATGGCTGCAGCTGAGCTGATCCAAAGCCAGGACCCAGGAGCCTCTTCTGAGTTTCCCACGTAGGTGCAGGGTCCCAAGGCTTTGGGCCGTCCTCCACTGCTTTCCCAGGCCACAAACAGGGAACTAGATGAGAAGTGGGGCCTCCAGGACTAGAACCGCTGCCCATATGGGATCCTGGCACGTTTAAGGTGAGGATTTTACCTGCTAGGTCACTGTGCCAGGTCCAAAATAAATCTTAAAAAAAAAAAAAGTCAGGGGGAAAAACAGACCTCTCTCTGTCTCTTTGGCTTTTAAATAAATATAAAAGATAATAATGAATGACAAATAATCGGAAGAACTGTTACCCTATTTTGCTGCAGGGAGGTTGCCTGGATTCATGAATCACATAAACAAAACCCAATTAGATCTATTTTTAAACCTGAAAAGAAGTCCTGACGTGCGAGCCTGGAGCCTCCCAGCATCCCACGTGGTCGGCCGGCTGACTGTGGGAGGAGGCTGCCGTGGATTCAGGAAGAACCGGATTCGTCCTCCTACATTTGATCCCTCCCCTCCGCGTTTCCTCTGCCAGCCCAGCCAGCTGGCGTCACTCGGGGAACCTGGGCTCCTGGGTCCCAGCAGGAGGAGGAAGTCTGGGAGGGATTTCCCAGTGCAGTTCCCGTGGTCGAAATCTCCTGGAGCTCCTGCTTGGCCCTGGGGGTCCTGGATGGCGGTCATTCGGAACTGGTGGAAAGGACCACTTGGCAGAGGCGATGGGAGCTGGACGCCACAGTCGCCCGGGCGGTGGCCAGGAGCGGCCAGTGCTTGCCGTTTCAGCACCAGGGACAGCTCCCCCCACTGGGGCCCACACTGCACAGCTGGGAAGAGTCAGGGCGACCCCAGGAGGGGGACCACTCTAAGCTCTTCCACGGGGTCCTCATGGAGGTTGTGTCTCCTGCCCGCCGTGCCTTCCCCAGCCCCACCGGCTTCACAGCCTTCCCATGTACACAGCTGGCTGTCTATGGACCCTGTCTGTGCCCCAGCCACGGCTGCCCGTTTTAGTTTCTCGGGCCTGATTGGAGTCTCTGCTAAGCCAGTTCAACCACTGAGCATAAACTGGAATCCGGGAGCTTCTTCCGGGTCTCCCACGCAGGTGCATGGTTCCAATGATGTGGGCTGTCCTCTACTGCTTTCCTAGACCACAGGCAGGGAATTGAATGAGAAATAGAGCCGCCAGGACACAAACCAGCACCCATATGGGATCCAGGAGGACTTAGCCATTGAGCCATCACACGGGGCTCATTATCCAACCTGTAAGAATTACATTTCCTGGGCCCAAGTGCAGTGGCCTAGCAGCTAAAGTCCTCGCTTTGATTGTACCATCTTCTGTCTCTCCTCTCTCTATTTCTGACTTTGCGATTAAATATATAAATAAATCTTTTAAAAAAATAAATTAAAAAAAAGAAAAAGATGGAGCTCCTGGCTTTGTCCTGGCTGGGAACAAGGGCTGTTGCTACCACGTGGGGAGCGAAGCAGTGGCTGGAAGAACTTTCTGCTTTAGCTGGGTCTGAGTAGAGCACACCCCTGCTTGTCCCCCAACCCACCTGCGCCAAGCTGCAATCCCTTTCTTGTTTTCCCAGTGCAGTATGCCACTCCAGCTTCTCGGCCCTTTGTGTCAGCCCCTACTGACCCTTCCAGGGCACTGTTTGCCCCCTCACCTCAAGCCTTCTACTCTGAGCTGCCAGCAAGCCGGGCAGGGCGTTGAGGGGTTCTGAGTTGCCAGTGTTGTGCCGGATTTTGAAACCCCCAGATAATCATCAAGTCTTAAGTCAGTGCTAAGGCATAGAGGTGGTTTATTCAGGTTAACCTAGGTATCCCAGCTGGGCGGGGGGAGGGGCAGCTGCAGCTGGGGCTGCTAGGATCAGAAGGGAGGACAAAAAGAAGTGAGAGCCCTAAGAGAGAGAGAGAGGAAGAGGAGGAGAGAGAGAGAGCCCAAGCCCCCCAGTTCTTATACATTTCAGGCTATTAATTATACAGTCATGATTTAGCAGGCTTCTATTGGTGGGTTTGAAACAAGCAACTTTCAAAAAGTACAAATCGACGAGCTATTGGGCTGTGAATCTTATCAAATACCGGATACCTCCTTCCTGAGGAGTGGTCTGCCTACGTGACCTGCCAGGTGTCCTGCCGGGTGTCACGTAGACTATCAGGCCTGGAGTTCACACAGCCCCCAGGCAAGCCAATACGGCAGAATCACAAAAGGCAGAAAACGCCTAGGCTTGAACTGCCTTCAAGGGCTCTTTGCTAAAGACTGGCTGGGCTGGGATCAGGGCTGGAGGGCGCTGGGCGGGTCCATGGGGGAAGCAGCTTAGGTGGGACTGGATGGACGAACACGGAGCTGGTCTCAACTGGGTTGCTCATTTCCAAGTGAATGTGCTTAGCCCTTGAGGAAGAATGCTCAGGGGGATGGAATGCTGAGGGGGCGGGAGTCTGGCTGGTTCTGGATTATTTTCTGTAGGGATTAACCCTTGTGGTCAAGCTGATTTGGGACTGGCAGGATGCTATCTGCCTAATTCTAAAGTCTGAGCGAGGCAGGTGGGTGGAGGGGTGGGTTGGGTGAACGCCTTTTGGATTTGTAGCTTGCCTCTGGGGTGGCCTTGGGCCAGCGGTTGCAGTCCTGTGGGAGGAGGGCAGTGGATCCGTGGGGAGCAATATCTTTCTGTGCCGCTCTGCCGTGGACTCGCCGGAGCAGGTGCCTGAGGCAGCCTGTGGATGCATACCTCACATTTAAGAATTCCATTCCCTGACACCTCCAGCCTGCTCCCTTGGCAGTGGGTGCTGTCCCAAGCTTGGCGGAACCGTGCACGACTCTGTTGAAGACTGGAGCTGGGCGCCTGGATTTTTGTGGGGAAGAGGGATTCGAACTCGCGAACCCGCCGGCGCTCGCAGGATTCCGCCTCAAACACCCCCCCCCCCCCCCCCCCCCGGGTTCCCGCTTCCGGGCGGCGGGAGCAGGCTAGGGCAGCCCGGGACGCGCGTGCGTGCAAGCGTGCTCTCCTGACGTCCCCCCCACCCTCGCGTACGCCCGCGCCGCCGGGCGAAGCCAAGGGGCGGAGCTCCCGGGGGGGTGTTGCGCGCGGCGCGGCGGGCGGGGCCGTTGGCGCGCACCGCCTCCTCGCGGCCAATCCCCCCCGCGCTCGCGCGGGCAGTGGTTCGGTCCGCCCCCCGGCTCATTGTGCTCGCTTCACGCCGGCCCAAGATGGCGGCGGCGCTAGAGGCCCCGGGCCTGTGACCACAAAGAGGGAGCCGGGGGCCGGACGGGAGCGCGGCGGCGGTGGCGGCGGCCGTGGCCCACGCCAGGCGCCTTCCCAGCAGCCTCCCGCCCGCCCTGCTGCGCCCGCCCTCCCGCCGGCGGCCCCGCCCCTCCCCCGACCGCCCGCCTAGCATGGTGCGGCTGCCGCGCGCGCCGACATGGGCGACAAGCTGGAGCTGAGGCTCAAGTCACCCGTCGGGGCCGAGCCCGCCGTCTACCCGTGGCCGCTGCCGGTCTACGTGAGTGTCCGCGTTCCCCTCCGGGCCGTGACCCCCAAGGCGCGGCTGGCCACCGTTACCGGGTTCCACGGGGCCCCGCGTGGTGTCCGGCGCTGTCAGCGCGCACGGCGTCCGCCATTCCTTCCCGCTGGGGTCGTTTTTTTATATTATATATATATACTTATTTTCTGGGGGTGGGGTGGGGAGAATCCCCGACCGCGCGGGGAGTCTGCTTCGAGAAGCGGGGAGTTCCTCGGGGGAACCCCTCCCCTCACGTGCAGTGTTCGGGGGGGTCCGTGCGTTACGAGTTGGGAACTTGGAGAGAGGCAAAGGACTTGGAGACCCAAGTTGGGGGGTCCCTGGGGGAGGTGGCATGGCTGGGGTGGGGGCGAGCGCGGAGAGGGGCTCCCCTTTCCTCCGGAGGGGCTCCCAGGACGCGCGCGCCGGGCGGTGCGTGTCCGCGCTCGGCGTGTGCGGCGGTTCGCCCTTGGTTGCGCGCTGCGGGGCGCGGGCGCGCGTCCTCGGTGGGGGCGCCCTTGGGCGGGGTTGGGGGGTGCCTGGCCAGCGGTTTGCCGGAGGGGACAGGCCTGTCGGGGTTCCCACGCGCGTACTCCGTGTCCGTTTTCTGGGAGCGCGGGGGCGGGGCCTGGAAGGGGAGCTGGCGCGCGCGCGGGGTTTCCTGCGTCCTGGGGGGCGCACCGGCGTCCGTCTGGCCCCTGAGCTGGCCCGGGGCAGCTGGAGCGGGGGACCGGCTCGTAGGGGTGGGACGGCCCTGCCGGCTTTCCCACCTTAGATGGGGAAGCGTTTACCAGCGCACGCGTTCCGCCTTCCAAACACTTCCCCCATCCCCTCCCGCCTGGTGTACAGCTTTCCCCGCGCGCGCGCGCGCAGCAGGACAAGTTTTACGCTAGCTTTTGACTTAATTCTTCGTTTGGTTCAAATATGGTACAGTCGTCTTTTTTTTTTTTTTAATTTTTTTTAACTTGGGATTGTTTGTCTCGAAGCACAGCCTTCCCATTCATTGCTTCCTCCCCTGCTGTCTGCATCGGCCCGTGGGTGGCGGTGTGGGGACCTGGGCCAGGTTGAGTGGGGACTGGAAGTCCTTCCGGGTTTGCCCACCAGGTGGGTCGTGGACATGAGTGCAGTGGGCAGTGCTGTGTGCCTGCCAGCTGGCAGATCCCCTCTCACGTGCGGTGTGGCCCAGAAGTTCTATTCCGGGGATGGAAGGTGAGGTGGATCGGCAGGGGGCTGTGGGCAGTGGTCTCCTCCCACTGTCCGCCTGGCCTGACCTGAAGGAGGCCTGGTGTGGCCTACTGGCCCGCGGTCACGGCGTCCGTCCCACGGCGGGCGCAATGTGTGTGGGACCCAGCCCATTCATTCATGAGTCACTCGGGAAGCGCCTGTGAACTCCTGGCCCTGAGTATGCTGAGGGCAGCAGCGTGCCTGGAGCAGGAGAGGGAGGGAGCCGGCGGCGTGGCCCTGCGGGGCGTGCCTGGCGTGGGGACAGCGGAGTCGGCTGCGGGGGCTTCGCCCGTGACTCAGTGCTGCCGGGGCTCCTGGCCGCGGAGCTCCCGCTTGCTCACGCCCCGGCGCCGGGCCAGCCGTGGGCGGCCCGAGGGAGTAGTGGTTGTGGGCGGGCTGAGCCATCCCTGGCCGTCTGACTCACGCGCTATTTCGGTGGCTGAGCGCAGGAGAGGAGTGTCCCTCCGCTGTGTGCCTGGCAGGGGGTGGACTGGCCTTCAGCTGGCCAGCGTGGGTAGGGGGGCGTTGTGGCTCTTAGCCTGGAGTGCTGGGGGGGGGGGTTCCCCCAGCCTGGCTTCCCGGTGCAGCCCTGTTGTCTTACTGATAGGTTTGAAAGGCCGGGCGGGGGTGGGGGGGGCCTTTCCCTGAAGACCAGAGAGCCCAGAACTCCAGCTGGGGGGCGGTTGTTACCTGGCCCGTTAGCTGGGCCTCCCACGAGCCAGGATTATAACCGCTTATTATTAATCTTCTCTTTTTCTTTTTCGAAGTTACTTAAAACAGAGTCCCAGAAAGGGTTGCGTCTAACACTCACTGAATCCCCTGCCATATAGGTGCAAGGAGTGGGCTGGCCAGCTGAGAGCCAGGAGCCAGGTGTTCCATTCGGGGCTCCCGCAGGGGTTGGGGCCCCAGCCCTTGGGCCATCTTCCTCTGCTGGGCTTCTCAGGTGTACCAGCAGGGAGCTGGCTGGGACATGGAGCAGCACCCTACCTGAAGATGAAGACTCAGGGGACCCTACTGGGCCAGCCAAGTCCCTGCTGGTGGATTTGTTCAGGGGCTAGTACCCAGTGAGCGAGCACATCAGATGAGGGGAAGCTCCGAAGCAACTGATTCATTGATTTAACTTTCAAGATTTATTTTACTGAAGTCAGAATTACGGAGAACAGGAAAAGCAGAGAGAGGTCTTCCATCTGGGAGTGCGGGGCGATGGCTACAACAGCCAGCCCGCCTGCAGCCCTGAGACAGGAGCTTCCTGCAGGTCTCCCAGGCGGGTGCAGGGTCCCGAGGACATGGGCCAGCCACTGCTGCTTTCCCAGGCCATTGGTAGGGAGCGGAGTCTAAAGTGGAGCCCTGGGGACTTGAACTGGCACCTCGTGGGGTGCCGGCACTACAGGTGGAGGAGTAGGGTGCTGTGCCGCTCTGCTGGGCCCCCTAACAGTGTCTTCAACCAACAGTAGGAGGACGTTCTGGTTCCAACACAGACTTTGCCGAGAGCGCCCTGTCTGCCAGGACCCCAGTGGGGGCTCTGCGTGGACCACGTCATCCTGAGGACGGTGCTGGTGGTCGTGCTGCCACGTGCGGTCCAGAGAAGCTCTCTGCATGTTCTCGCTCCTGGGGAGTTGGGCCTGCCCATGCAGCAACTGCCTTCCTCCCCGCCCCAGGCCAAAAGCTAGTAGAGGGCCGGTGAGGGGTAAGCTGCCCCGCTGCCCACCCAGCTCCTTGCCACTGGCCTGGGAGGGAGACAGAAGGGCACAGCCCAGCCCTGAGCTCCTGGCACCCAAGTGGGGAGCCCGGTGCAGTCCTTCGTCTTTGGCTCAGCTGGGCTGGCTGAAACCCGGCTGCGGGACTGTCTAGGCAGGCCTGTCCCTTCCCTCGCTGATGCTCTTCCGGACAGAATGAGTCTGTCTTTAACGAAGTGAGATTGAGTGACGTCAGTGAGGAACAGCTTTGTATGAGAACAGTGTGTGAGTGTGTGATTGTGAGTAGTGTGTGTGTATGTGTGTACTAGATCTGAAGTTGCGTGGGTTGTCGTCCCTCCCAGCATGTTAGATGCCTTTGGTCCTGTGTGGACCTGTGTGCCCCGCAACCGCTGCTTGACCCCTCTGCCTCCAGGTGCCCCCAGCTCATGCTCTGGGTGGGTGCGCGGTGCCAGGCAGAGCCCCTGCTTCCCCCCTCCTGGCCTGGGGGAACTCTCCCGTGCCAGGCCTTGCCTGGGAGCTGGCTTGTCGCCTGCCACATCAGGCCGCGTCACCAGGCTGCGTCACCGTGTGACTGGCGGGGTATTTTTAGCGGTGGGTTGTGCTGTATGCAGCTCCTCCTGTGTCTGAGCCCCCGCAGGTCAGCACTGGTGTCGAGTGGGGGGGCCGGCTTCCTGTGAGTCACCTGCCTGGCTGGGGCACTTGCACCACGCGTGCCTTTTTGTGTGTGGTCTTGGGCACTGCCAGCGCTTCTCACAGGTGCGTTGGCAGAGCCTGGCTCGCCTCCTCAGCCCAGCAGGGCACTGGTGCCCCCCGGAGGCCGTGTCTGCAGGCTTACTGCAAGGGAGTGACCGGCCCCTGTCTGCTTCTGGGCTGTCTCCCCCCCAGGCCCAGCTGGGAGCCTGGACCTGCAGGCTTGACAGCGGATGGCTGCTGTGCGCAGCGCGTGGTGGGCGCTTGCGCAGAACTGTGGGTGTGGCGTGGGCCTTGGGGACCACAGGGGGCCTGTCTTGCGGATGGCACTGGCCTCCACAGGAGGTGTGCCCAGCAGGAGCTGACAGCGGCTGCTGCCCTGTGGGGTGGCAGGTGGCTCCAGCCCTGCTGCTCCCGGCAGGCCTGAGGCCGCCTTCTGCCTCCCACTGCTCGTGTGGGGGTGCCAGCTGCTATGAGCCTGGGGTGCCCCTTGGTGTGTACTGGGCAGTGATTTACTGACGCAGTCCTCCACCTCCCGTCTCCCCTCCCTGTGGGTGTCCTTGTGTCGCGTGCTTTGGGCCGCCCTTCTGCCCACACAGAGGGCACGGGCAGCTCTGGGCTGCAGGTGGGGCAGTGCGTGTGCAGTCCATGCTTGGGGCCTGGGAGGAGGTTGTGATGAGCGCAGCCGGGGAGTGGACCTGGCCTGCTGTGGGTGCCGCTCTGCCCCTGCTCTCAGTCTCATGGTCCTGACCCAACCCCACGGCGGTCACAGGCTGGGCTTCACATAGCCCTTAGACTGGTCAGTCTATGAATTGGGCCACAGTCACCTGCTCTCAGGGTCCTTTCGGGCTGGCCGGGTGGAGGGTGGCCCGCGGCCCTGACCTGTGGCCTCTCCTTTCTCTGGCAGGACAAGCACCACGATGCTGCTCATGAGATCATCGAGACCATCCGGTGAGTTGGCGGCTGGGTGTTCTGTCGGCCGGTGCTGCTGCTGGGGGTCCTGGCCAGTTGCTGCAGCCTTGGCTTCCTTCCTGGGGACTGGGCCTTTGTCAGGGGGAGCCATGGGCTGGTTGCTGCCATCCATACTCCTTGGCAGCCCACTGGGGTTGGCAGGTTCTGCGTTGGCCTTGTGTTGCAGTTGGGTGGGGGCAGCTTGGTCAGGGAGCCGCCCCTCTGGGCTCTGTTGCCCTGAGAAGTGGGTATGGAGGCCCACCTGGAGCCCGTGCGCATGGAGGTTCTGGGCTGGCTGTGCCACCCCACTGACCTGTTGCCTGTCTGGGTGCCATGGAGGGAGACCTGGAGGAGGCCCGGCTAGTCAGTGTGCCCAGGCCTCAGCCGTGAGGGGTGAGCCGGACTGCATGCCGAGCTCCCGGGGTGGTAGGCAGCTGGCAAGGCTCTGGAGGTTCCAGGCCTGTTTCAGGATTGGTTCCGTGTGCCAGGCCTTCCCGAGCCGTAGCCCTCACACAGCCCGGTGAGACACCCAGGGAACCTGCTCAGCTGGCTTGGGGCATGGCTGCACCAAGCACTCAGTCAGCTGGCAGGGCCATGCCTCTGTGGGGCCCAGTCCTGAACAGATCCATCTTTAATGTGGATTAGGGGAGCGGGCCGGGGCAGCCCATGGCCATCCAGCACCCGCAGTGCTCCCAGTGTTCCCACCACCTAAGATCCCAGCTTTGGTTTCTCTCATCGAGGTCATGCTGAAAAAGTTCTTGGAGCATTAGCGTAGGTGTTGGCAGGTGTCAGGGAAGCCGCCGGCATGGGGGGTCCTCGTGGAGGGGGCTATGGAGACCCACTGGGTCACTTCCCAAATGGTCACCGCAGCCAGGCCATGCCCAAGCCAGGAGCTAAGCACTCCACCCAGGCCTGCCATGTGGGGGCGGGTGTGCTAGTTTGGGGACCCTGGCCTGCTGGTTCCCAGTGTGCGCCTTGGCAGGGAGCTGGCGTTGGGGTGCATGTGCTGGAAATCGAAGCAGGTCACCTCATGCCCCATGAGATGCTGATCTAGCACTGGCAGGAGATGCCAGGACGCGCCAGGGCCCGTGTGAGCGGCCTGGTGGCTGTCGGTGCCTCGCAGCGCCTGTTGGGGACGCGGGGCTGTGGGTGCTTGTGTGCTGGTGGCTCTCAGAGCCGTGCTCTGGGCTGGCCTGTTCCCCTGAACCTGCCTGTGGCGTGGGCCCCCTTTGCTGCTGCCTGAGGACTTGAACTTAGAGCAGCTGGGTGAGTGCTGGCCAGCGCTTGTTGGCCGTGTCCCTCTCCTCTCTCCCAGTGACAGCCATTCATTCTCGTTGGCCTGAAGGGCACAGCAACAGAGGCAGGGCTTGTGTCATGTGCTAGCTCGCTCCCCAAATCCCTGCCCTAGGCACGGGCGGACCGGGTCAAGACCAGAACTTTGAGTCTCCCCATGTGGGTGGTGGGGCCCAGATCCGAGCCGTCATCTGCCGCCTTCCCGGGGAGCTGACCGGAAGAGAAGCAAGAGTACTCCAGCTTGGCCTTTGATCCGGGGTGCCCTGGCACCTCACTGCTCGTGCCTTGCCACATTCAGAAGGTTTTATTGATTTGAAAAGCAGAGAGACAGACAACCTGTCCACGTGCTGGCTCCGGTTCGGAACGCCCCACGACAGACAGCCAGGAGCGGGGAGCCCCCTGTGGGTCTCCGTGGGGGTGGCAATCCCACACAGCCTCACCGGAGCAGTCAGGATGGACCTCCAGCTGTCTCCCGCATCTCACCCCCTGCCCCCTTCACGGTTACACTCAGGCTGGGGTGGGGAGTGTGGGTTTTTGTTTAAGATTTATTTGTTTTTTATTTATTTGAAAGGCAGGGTTACAGAGAGACAGGGAGACAGATCTGCCGGTCTACTCCCGGATTGGCACAGTGGCCTGGGCAGTGCCAAGCCAAAGCCAGGGGCCTGAAGCTTCTTCTGGGTCCCCCCTGTGGGTCCAGGGCTCCGTGGCTTTGGGTCTCTTCTGCTGCTTTCCCAGGTCACAGGCAGGGAGCTGGATGAGAAGTGGAGCAGCCGGGCAGACGCCCCTGTGGGATGGTGGCAGGTTAGCTTGTTGAGCTCTGGTCCAAACACCCACCCTAGCCTGCCGTGCCTGTGTTGCAGGTGGGTCTGCGAGGAGATCCCAGACCTCAAGCTCGCTATGGAGAACTACGTACTCATCGACTACGACACCAAAAGGTAAGAGGGTCTCCCTGCTTGCTGCCCCCAGTCCTCCCGGGAGTGTGCCCAGCCTGCCCTGTAGCTCTGGCAACGGGCCGGGCGGGAAAGTCGGTCAGTACGGCCCAGTGGCCAGCAGCTGTTCGTGTCTGCGTTCCCTGGCCTGACCTCTGCCTCCCGGAGCCCCAGGGTCTCTGCAGTGCCTGGCTGGAGTGGGACAAGGGCCCCTCTCAGCTGGTTTCCTGTGAGAGGAGAAGCTTGTGGGGCATGCCTGTGTCAACCACCCCACTGCCTGTTCAGGACCTGACCCCCTGTGAGTCTCACCTTGGCTCTGCCTTGAGCCAGGTGGCCTCCCGGCGAGATCCCCAGGGCACTGCAGGGGCAGGACCACCCCGCTGAGCAGGTGCCACTGTAGGCTCTGCTGTGGGCAGGCAGGGACCCTGGTGACGTGCGCAGCATGTTGGGGGATCCAGGTGTGAGGCTGTGGCTGGGGTGTGGTCCTGCTGCCTCCTGTGTGCGAGTGGACGTGTCCTAGCAGCCTGAGGGCCTCGGACCTTGCCCGGGTGGGGCCTATTTGATGATTGGGAGGCCCGGACAGCAGGACGGGCAGGAGCAGGAGGGGCCCTGCGGCACCCCACGTCTCCTTGCACAGACCTGGGCCAGAGACCCGCATGCTCGCTGATGAGTGCTGGCTCCTCATCTTGTCAGGCAGAGGGTTGGGGGGGAGGGAGACCCCCAAATGCCCACTAAGCTGGGGCTGGGCCAGACCAAGTCCCAGAGCCAAGGGAGCTGTGAGCAGGAAGCTGGGCAGGTGGCCCCGGGAGGACTGTAGGCCACACCTGAATAGGGGCTGTGGGCATCCCACGGGCCTGCCCCCAGACCCATCTATTGATGTTTCCTGCTTTGAAAGATGAATTCTTTTATATATTTATTTGCAAGGCAGAAAGGCAGAGCGATCTTCAACCCTCTGGTTCACTTCCCAGATGGCGTCAGGTAGGTCCGGGCCAGGCCAGAGTCAGGAGCCGGCAGTCCAGTCAAGGCCCCACGCAGGATCGTCCACAGGGAGCAGACGGGGCCAGATAGGCACCCTGTGCTCCAGCCCCCAGGTCCCCGAGCGGCACGCCTGTTCATCCTCCACAGATGGCCCCACAGGGATGGTGGGACGCTAGCATGGTCATCCGCTGGGTGGTTTGTGGGCATTTAAAGATGCAAAACCCTTGCCCGGGCCCAGAACTGCCAGGCAGGATGCTACAGTTAGGAGCCAGCCTCCCTTCCTGCCAAGAGGTACCACTAAGTGAGGAAGCAGCAGGGACCTTGAGGGCAGGTACCCCAGGGCTTCTGCGAGTCCATGTTGCCTGTAGGAACGGGTCCCCAGGAAGTTGACAGTGGGGGTGAAAGGTGGAGCATGGGCGAGCGAGAAGCGGCCCGGGCACCAGGGGTGTGGCTGGGTGGCTGCTGCCCAGCTGAGCAGTGTGGACGGGTGACTCTCCCCAGGTCTGAGCGATGGATGGAAATGGAGCGACTCCAGTGTGGGTTTCTGATGGGCTTGGCTGCGGCCTCCCACTGTCCTGGGGCTCCCGTCAGCCTGTAGTGGGGTCTTCCCAGATCGCTCAGGCCTGTTGCCCAGGTTCTGTTTTTAGCTGCAGCCACCACAGAGCGGGGCGTGGCGGATGGGCCTTATCCCTCAGCCCTGGAAGGACCGTGGCGGGCAGGATGTGGGGGGCGGGCTGCCTGCAGGAAGAGGCACTGACTGCCTGGCTGTTGTGTGGGGTGTCTTCTGGGCCCTGGTGCCTACGGAAAAGTCACCCCGACCCCTTCCCTGCCCCTGTGGCCTTGGCGTGTAACTGGGCTGTTCCCCGAAGGCCTGTCGCGGGTGTGTGTGTGTGTGTTGACCCCAGGAGAGCTGAATGAAAAGGAGTGGTCAGCATCGTTGGTGACCAGGGAGCTGAGCCCTGTTGCTGTGCGGGAGGGCTGCTTGGTGCCCCAGCTTCTAGCTCCAGTCTGGCCCTGCTTCTGGCTGTTGTGGCACTTGAGGAGTGACTGGGCGCTCCGGTGTCTCCGTGTGTCGAGGTGATGGCCTGACATCTTGGGGAGAGAGAGTCCTCTGCCCTCAGAAACGCATCCTCACTGCAGGTCTGACACTCAGAGCTTGTTCAGCCCAAAGGGCCGTGCCCCGTTGATGCTGTGGGACCCCAGGATGGCTTCTGAGACCCCCTGACCCCTGGGGGACCCCAGCCTGGGGTGAAGTCTCCTCTGTGGGCCCCGTTGATCCAGCTGCTTGGCCGTGGGGGAGCTGTGTGGAGCCTTTCATACCTGGAGTTTGGCTCAGGGCTTGTACCTGCCCGCCAGCCCCCGTTCTCCATCACAGTCAATGCCACGTGGAGTGACTGCAGCCTGAGAGCTCGGCCGGGGCCTCATGGTCCTGGGCTGTGCATTGGCCCTGAAGCCCCCTTCCCCGGGGGAAAAGCCGGGGCTCCTGTGAGGTCTGGCCGTGTGGGGGTGCCCGTAACCAGCGCCCTCCCCTGCTGTTTCAGCTTTGAGAGCATGCAGAGGCTGTGTGACAAGTACAACCGTGCCATCGACAGCATTCACCAGCTGGTAGGTCCTGTCCCTGCCCCTGGACATGGCAGCTCTGGGTAGAACCCCTGGCTGGCAGTGTGGGAATCTTGGCAGCTGGTCTGTGACGTGGCCTCGTCCACTTGCAACTCAAGTGTGGCTGCACAGTTCCCGGTTGCGCTGTGTGCTCTGCGGGCTGCCCCAGCCAGCCAGCCTTCCTGTCTTTGGGAGAGCTACTACAGTGGACTTGGAAGTGCCCTGTGGTGCTGCGGGGGGAAGCTGGCCCGGGGTTGTGCCTCCATGGCCTGTGGGGCCCAGGCTCCTGGGCCCCCTGCTCCATGCCCAGCCTTGACGGCCTCTCTGACCCACTGGCCACTTTCTCGCTGCTGCCGCCTGTGACAGGATGGTGGAGGCCAAGCATGGAGTCTGACAGCACAGCGTATCGAGCTGCTGTGTGAGGCAGTGATAGCTTGGGCTTCCTTGTGGCTTCTGGCGCAGAGGTGAGCCCAGGGCTGGAGGCCTGGGCCAGCTGTAGCCTGCTCCGCACTGGGCAGCCATCATGCTGGGAGCCCCGTGGTCCTGACCACAGTCGCGGAGGAAGAACTTGCCTGCAGTCCTGGGTGCTTGCTTAGCTGAGTGAGGGTTTGTGCTTCTGGCACACAGCACGGCAGGTGGCACCCAGAGCCTTCACTGGAGCTGGGCCTCACAGCACTTGCTGTCTCATGGACTCCACTCTCCCTAGGCCCATGGGACTTGGGCCGGGGCAGGGCCTGACACTGGGATTGTCCCAACAAGCAGCTGTCCCGGGATGTGGGAGATTGGTTAGCAATGAGTGGTCCAGTCAGCATCTGAGGAGGGGCAGAGCTGTGGGTGAAACTGGCAAGCCATGCTCGGGCACTGGCACCTACTCCCTGGGGCGTCCCCAGGCTGTGTGTGACAGCTGCGTCCCACACCCCCTGTCCCCTAGTGGAAGGGCACCACCCAGCCCATGAAGCTCAACACGCGGCCGTCCAATGGGCTGCTGCGGCACATCCTGCAGCAGGTGTACAACCACTCGGTCACCGACCCCGAAAAGCTCAACAACTACGAGCCCTTCTCCCCGGAAGTGTACGGCGAAACCTCCTTTGACCTGGTGGCCCAGATGATTGACGAGATCAAGATGAGTGAGGATGACCTGTTCGTGGACTTGGGCAGCGGTGAGTGCTGGTCCCTGGTGCCTTTCTGGAGGGGCCAGTGGCTCCTTGGCCCGAGCCCTGGGGTTGAGTGTGGTTGCCCATGTTGGGCACTGGCTGGGCGTTTCTCTGACGTGGGCCATTCAGGACCTTGTCACCCAGGACCCAGAGGCACAGCCGACCACACAGGGCACGCAGCCGTGCCTATAATGTCGATGTGGCTTTCTCCCAAGCCCCTGACCTGCGGGCCTTCCCTGTCAGGGCGCAGGTCACATGGGGTGGTGCCTGTGAGCTTGTAGATGAGTTGTGTGAGGGTGCTGTTGGATGGAGCTGGGTTTGGGCAAGGGGTCCCGAGCAGGGTGTGGTGTGGGGGCCGCGGAGCGCCATCTGCGGATGGCCAAGTGGGGCCTTGCTGCGCACCTCGCCCCGAGGCTGACGTGCACCTGTCTGCCTGAAGGTGTGGGCCAGGTTGTGCTACAGGTCGCCGCGGCCACCAACTGTAAGCATCACTACGGCGTGGAGAAAGCGGACATCCCGGCCAAGTACGCGGAGGTGAGTGCCCCAGAGTGGGTGCCCGGGGGCTTGAGGTGGCCAGCCGGGTCAAGGGCGTGGGCATCCCCAGCCCGCCAGGGCAGGTTGCTGGTGCCCCTGCATTGGGGCCTCTGCCCTCCCTTCAGGCCCTGCCCCCTCGCCTCCCCCTGTGCCTGAGGGTGCGCTGAGTGGTAGGGGATGTGGCGTCTGTGTGATGCCCCAGGTTGCAGCGTTGCGTGTTGAGCGGGACGACTGAGGGGGGCTCCTGTGAGCTTCCCCTGTCAGGGCCTTCTAGAACTTTCTGTGTTTTTGCAGACCATGGACCGAGAGTTCAGGAAGTGGATGAAATGGTATGGAAAGAAGCATGCAGAATACACAGTGAGTGCCCTCGCGTCATGCCCCGTGGCCACCACTGCCCGCCGTGTAGACCTCACAGTGCCCCACCCCCAGGGCCTCTCCTGACCAGAGGTCACGTGGCCAGGGGCAGCCGAGGCTTCCCAGCAGCATTGGCCTCATGGTGTCTCCCTCTGTCCCCCTCCAGCGGCTACCTTGCTGGCAGGGATCAGCTCTGCTCGGGGCTCTTCAGGAACCAGAACTTTTGGGGGACAGGCAGCCAGGGGCTTGTCACATCACTTTTGTGGTTTCTTTGTAAAAGCCCCCTAACAATGTCCTAAAACTGCTCTGTTGGCGTCCGCCTTCCCTGGCTCGGGCCGCCTTGCCTCTCCGAGTTTGCAGTCCTGTGGCATGCAGCCTCTGCAGATGGTCTCTTTGTGCCCAGGCACTTGACATGGCAGCTGCCTCCGTGTTCCTTAACGCAGGTGGATGGGAGTGGAGTGACAAAGACAGCTTCCACCTTCTGCCTCTTCCCCAGGGCCTCCCGCGTGGGTGCCAGGCACCCCTGGCACTGGGACCAGTGCCACTGCCTCCCGGGACCCCAGTGGGCCTTGGGAAAGCAATGGCCTCCCCAGGCCTCAGCCCCATCGGGAGCTGGGAGGGTGGAGCCTAGCTGTCCCTGCCCTCCTCTTGGGTGCTTTGTGGGCTTGTCTGGACTGTGCCTGGTGGGTACACGGGCCTACGGCTAGTCCGAGGACATGTGCTGGTCAGGGCAGCCGGGCAGGCCAAGCCAGCCTGTTGGCTCACGTGTGGCTTGGGTTCCCAGACACAGTACTGCTGGATCCCCGAATGATTCTCATGTACTGAACAGACGTGGCTGTGGGCCTCCCCGGGCCAGCAGGGTCAGGGTGTACGTGGTGGGGAATATTTGGCCCTGCTTGGGGCCCTTTGGATGTCTGATCTTGTGAGGTTCAGGGGTTCCCTTCTCCTGCCATTTGGGTTCCGGCTAAAGGGTTTCATTCCTTGTGGTCTCAGCGAGGGGCCTCGTCAGGAGTTGGCCCCGTGGACAGCCCCCGTGAGAAGCTGTGTCCCCAGTGGAAGCCTGTGCAGCGGGCAAGCACTTGTTCCCTTCCCCACCTCCAACTCCAGAGATGACAGAAGGCCAGCAGGGACCACAACCCTTCCTGTTCCCCTATCAGGGTCGTGCTCCCCCAGCCAGGTGCCCCTAGGCTGGCTGCCCTCGGCCCGAGCTGGGTCTCCTCCGGGCACAGCAGCGACCTGCAGGCTCACGGCTAGACACTTGCCGCGCACTTGGCCCTTAGCAGGTGCTCCATGCCCGCCATCCGGCTGAGGGTCCCTGGGCACCCTGGCCCCTCAGTGCTGCGGCCACACCTGCAAGCTTGTGGTCCTCTGGTCCTGCAGCCCCAACATGCCCCTAGCACCCCACAGTCCAGTTCTTGTCCCTGTGGAGTGGCCTGACCTGGACACCTCGTATCAGTGGCCCATGGGGCCTGTGTGTCCCCTAGTGTGTGTCCTGGGGTCTGCACGCGCTTTTGGTGTGTCTGGGTCGGTGGATGTGTTGTCATTTCTTCTGATGTCTGCTGTGGCGTGGAACGTGCTGGCCCTTGAAGCTTCCCCTGTTTTTCAAGGCTGCAGCTTGCGGCAGGGCGGACGACAAGAACTCCTTGGTAGCCTTGAGGCCACTGCATAGTGCTAGTCCACTAAGGGAGCCCCTGTGAGGGTGGGCCCGGGGCTGACAGACAGGCTCACCTGGTGTCAGCAGTTCTGTCGTGTGGCGTCCCCTGTCCCCCATCTCCTCAGCCACTGGCATTCCCTGTCCCCTCAGCCCCCTGGTCCCCATCTCAGCTCCTGATGTCCTCCATCCCCCAACCCCTCAGCCCCGGCATCCCCCGTTCCCTCATGGCCCACGAAGGCCGTGCAGGAGCGAAGCTGTTCGTCTTGTGTCTTGCAGCTGGAAAGAGGCGATTTTCTCTCAGAAGAGTGGAGGGAGCGCATTGCCAACACGAGGTACGGGCTGCAGCTGCCCCTCTGTGGCCTGCTGGGGCTGAGCCCCGGGCTTGGGCTCTGCTGTGTGGATCGGGCGGCCCCTGTGGGGGGCCGGGGCTCTGTGCCATGTGGCCCTGGGTGCAGGCACACTCACCTGAGCCTTGTCTTGCAGTGTCATCTTTGTGAATAACTTTGCCTTTGGTCCCGAGGTGGACCACCAGCTGAAGGAGCGCTTCGCCAACATGAAGGAAGGTGAGGTGCCCGCGTCCGTCCATCCGTCCAGCCCCCTGCCTGCTGCTTTGTTTGGGTTTGAAAGGCAGAGTGGAGCGAGAGCTGCTCTCTACTGTTGGGGGAGAAGGCTGTGGCGGCCAGGCCAGGTGCATCAGGCACTCCTCGAAGGTGTCCCATGGGTGCTGGGGCTGCCACCTGCTGCCTTAGCAGGTGCCAGGCGGGATGTGTGGTGGCACCACTCACCCTCTCCAGTAGGACACCCGGGAGCATTTGAGGTCCCGAAGAGTCTCCGGATAGCCTCTGATGGACTGTGGCTGTTTCCGTGCACTTGCATGTTCTGTTTGGCCTTGTGTCACGTGGTTCTCAGCTTTGGGGTGTCCATAGCACCCAGGGCTGCTCGCTGGGGCTTCTTCCTTCCTGGTCCTGCAGGGACCCCAGCCTGCCCCAGGCCTCCTCCTCCTCCAGTCAGCCCTGTACCCTCCCACCCGGACACACTGGACAGAGGCCTGCCCAGTCCTGGGTCAGGGGCCACCCGGGCACCCACACGCTGACTGGCGGCTCTCCCTCAGGTGGCAGGATCGTGTCCTCAAAGCCCTTCGCGCCTTTGAACTTCAGGATCAACAGCAGGAACCTGAGTGGTGAGAGCTGTCGCTGTGCCCGCCCTGGGCAGCGTGGGCACTGCGGGGCAGCCAGGGGGCAGGGCCCTGAGCAGCCAGGGCTGAAGGGCCCGCACCTCCCCTCACCCAGCACCCCTGCTGCCCGCAGACATCGGCACTATCATGCGCGTGGTGGAGTTGTCCCCCCTGAAGGGCTCCGTGTCGTGGACAGGGAAGCCAGTGTCGTACTACCTGCACACCATCGACCGCACCATAGTGAGTGGCCACGCGTGGGGAGCCTGTTGCCCTGTGCCGCGCCAGCCAGGGACCCTGTGCCGCGCCAGCCAGGGACCCTGCACGCCGCTGTGGCCCATTTCCCTCCAGGGCCTGGCCTCATTCTGTTTCTTCTTCTTTCCTTTCAGCTTGAAAACTATTTTTCTAGTTTGAAAAACCCAAAACTCAGGGTAAGTTCCTCAGCCTTCCCCTGTTGTAGGTGTGGGTGGGACGTCCCCAGCCCTTGGCATGCCACCTGCACCCGATCTGGAGTCTCGGCCTAGCAGCCCTCCCCCAGCACCGGTGCACGAAGACACATCCCTGCGTGTTTCCGCATCACACATGCTTCTCTGTCGCTGTGTGTCCGTGTCCCACCTTGATAGCTGGGGTGGGTGGCCCCCCTCTGTACACATAGCTGTCTCCGTTAGCTGGGGTGACTACTGAGGTCTTGCCTGCTCAAGTGAGGGTTGTGAGCTGCCTGGTGCTGTGTGGTGCTTGGGGACCACCTCCCCCAATCTGGCTGCTGCCCTCACACCCCTCACGTTTTTCTGCTGTGTCCCGTGCGCAGTGCCCCAGCACTCAGAGCATCCCTCCTGGCTGTTCCTGGGCCGTCCTGTTGAGGCAGCCTGCCCCAGGCCCTGGAACAACCTTGCTCTCAGGGTGCAGGATGCAGGCCTGCTGGTCTAGCTGCTGTCTGTTTCATTTGGGATTGGAGGTTAGAGCAAGGGGCGGTCCTCAGGTCCCAGTGCCTGAGTGGCCTGCTGGTGCCTGCCCCACTCACCAGGAGGAACAGGAGGCCGCTCGGCGCCGACAGCAGCGGGACAGCAAGAGCAACGCTACCACCCCCACCAAGGCCCCCGAGGGGAAGGCGGCTGGCCCAGCGACGACAGCAACAACGACAGGGGCTACTGCAGCGGAGGCCCCTGCGGTGAGTACCATGCATAGCCCTTGTGGCCCGCTCTGTGCCCAGCCCTGGCTCCCTTGCCCTCATGGCCCTGGCTTCTCTGCCATCATGGCCTGGCCTGGCCTGCGACTGGCCCCGGCTCCCCTGCCCTCACAGCCTGTCCTCTGCCCGCCCTATGCCCAGGACTTTGGTGCTGAGGATGAGAAGGCAGGGGTGACCACTGTCAAGAAGGCCTCTCCCTCCAAGGCCCGCAAGAAGAAGCTGAACAGGAAGGGCCGCAAGATGGCCGGCCGGCGGCGTGGGCGCCCCAAAAAGCTGAGCGCCGTGGACCCCGAGCGCAAACCCCGCAAGAGCCGCGCCGTGTTGGATGCCCTGCACACCCCGGCCGCACCTCCCACCGCCCCTCCCTCTCCCCAGGGTCAGTGGCTGTGCCAAGCTCATGGCTCTTGGTTTTTCTTTTTTTAAAGATTTATTTTTAAATTCTTATTGGAAAGTCAGACATAGAAAGAGGAGGACGATCTTTCTTCTGCTGAGCCAATCCGAAGCCAGGAGCCAGGAGCTTCTTTCTGGGTCTCCCACGCGGGTGCAGGGTCCCCAAGGCTTTGGGCCGTCCTCCACTGCTTTCCCAGGCCACAGGCAGAGAGCTGGATGGGAAGCAGGGCCACCGGGATTAGAACCAGCACCCATATGGGATGCTGGCTCATGCAAGGCAAGGGCTTTAGCTACTAGGCTACTGCCAGGAATTTGGATAAGTTGTGTTGTATTTCTCTGGAAGGCATCAGAATGAGGGCACTGTATCCCATGGTGCCTTGTCCTCCTGAGCATAGTGACCGCAGCTGGCCCATTTCACCCAAGCCCCCAGCCTTATCCAGGTCCCATGAGGGTGGCTGGGAGCCATGCATCTGGGTTGTGAGGGTGTCTGGGGTCCAGGGTTCGGGGCTGCAGCAGGTCCATGATGGACGGGTTCCTCTCTCCCGCACAGAGCCATATAGGTCCCCTCACAGCCCGTTCTACCAGCTACCTCCAGGTGCGCAGCGACTACCCCCAAACCCGCTGCTCACGGCGCCCACCCCTCCCGCGCTGCAGAAGCTGCTAGGTGAGCTCTTGGGGTGGGAACACTTGGGTGCCAGGAGGGCAGCCGGGGCTCCAAGCGTGCCTGAGGCAGTGGCTGTGGCCACGCTAGCTCCCTGCCTTGCTCAGGACTGCCCCGCCGCCATGGGAAAGGCCCACGGAGGCCCTGGTGCTGGGCTTGCTGCCTTGGGGTCGGGGGGTCCTGTGCCCTGAGGGGCGGAGTTCTCGTAGGGCTGGAGGTTGTGGGGCCCCACGGCCTGTGCCCTCTGTGCCTGCTAGTAACTTGCCTGTCTGTGCAGAGTCCTTCAGGGTCCAGTACCTGCAGTTCCTGGCCTACACCAAGACCCCGCAGTACAAGGCCAACCTGCAGCAGCTGCTGGACCAGGAGAAGGTGGGTCTGGGTGCAGCGGTCTCCTTCTGTCTGTGCCCAGCTGCGCCCAGGCCATGGCCGCTGGTGGAAGGGGCCCTACCCCAGGGCTCACCCCTGTTGCTCCTGCAGGAGAAGAAGGCCCAGCTGCTGGGCACGGCCCGCCAACTCTTCAGCCACTGCCAGGCCCAGAAGGAAGAGATCCGTAGGCTCTTCCAGCAGAAGCTGGACGAGGTAGGGGCTGGCTCCCGCAGGGCCCTGACCCCGGCGGGGGCGGGTCGGTGCGCCACCCCTGCTCATGTGTGTGTGTCTGTGTGTCTAGCTGGGGGTGAAAGCCCTGACGTATGATGACCTGATCCAAGCCCAGAAAGAGATCTGCGCTCACAACCAGCAGCTGCGGGAGCAGTCGGAGCAGCTGGAGAGAGACAACAGCCAGCTCCGCAGCCAGAGCCTCCAGCTGGTTAGTGGGTCGCCCCGAGGGCCTGCTGGGGCCTGCTGTGACAGTGCCCCTGCCCCTGGGCCGCCCCCAGGGTCTGCTGGGGCCAGCCTGACCATCCCTGCCCCTGTTCCTGCAGCTGAAAGCCCGCTGCGAGGAGCTGCGGCTGGACTGGGCCACACTGTCACTGGAGAAGCTGCTGAAGGAGAAGCAGGCCCTCAAGAGTCAGATCTCAGAGAAGCAGCGGCGCTGCCTGGAGCTGCAGGTGGGCGTCGGCCAGCTTCCTGGGGCACGGCTGGGTGGGGCCACGGCTGCTTCCTGCTTGGCCAGACTTCCTCTTTCCATGGGACACCTGTGTGTGTGTGTGTGTGCTGTGGGACACAGGCCCTGGTGGTTTAGGTCTGGCCCCGCCCCAGCCTCTGCGGCCAGCACCACACAGGTGGTTACTGAGCAGCGAGGGCAGGGAGGGACCCACAGTGCAGGCCGGTGTTGGAACCTGGAATGGGAGGCACCTAAGTGTCGCCTTGCCCCTTCTCGCCACAGTTCTGCGTGTGACCGACATGTGACTGTGTTGTTGCACTGAAAAGGTGGACCTTTTCACATATCGATCCCATATGTGCCCAGTAGTCAGGGGGCAGCTGGCATCTCCTGGTTTCTCATTTGTGTGGGGCCAGCTGGGGTCAGGGGGGCAGCTTGCCTGCGGCCTCAGCAGCCCGCCCCTCCTGCCGCAGATCAGCATCGTGGAGCTGGAGAAGAGCCAGCGGCAACAGGAGCTACTGCAACTCAAGTCGTGCGTGCTGCCCGACGACGCTCTCCCCCTGCACCTGCGGGCCAAGGGCCCGCTGGGCCGCGAGCTGGAGGCCGAGCCCAGCCGCCTGCATCTGGAGCTCGACTGTGCCAAGCTCTCGCTGCCTCACCTGAGCAGCATGAGCCCTGAGCTGTCCATGAACGGCCATGCGGCCAGTTACGAACCGTGTGGCGCCCCGAGCCGGCCTTCGTCCAAGCAGAACACGCCTCAGTACCTGTCCTCGCCTCTGGACCAGGAGGTGGTACCCTGCACCCCCGGCCTCAGCGGCCGGCCCCGGCTCGAAAAGCTGTCAGCGCTGGCCCTACCTGAGTGCACAAGGCTGTCCCCAGCCAGCGTGGTGCTGCGGAGGCACCCAGGCCAGGAGCACCCGGGGCCGGCCAGGGCTGCTGCCAGTGAGGCCGCTCCAAGGTGAGTGCCCAGTAGCGCCCACCTGGGATGTCAGGCCAGTCCGGCCCAGGGTGGGCGGGCCTCCCTGAGAACCTGGCCTCTTGTTGCAGGGTGGAACATGCCAAGGAGAATGGCCTCCCCTACCCCAGCCCCTGCCTGCCCAGCGGAACCAAGCTGAGCCCTCAGGACCCACGGCCGCCATCGCCTGGGCCCATGCCACTCCTGACTGAGAAGAGCAGTGAGAAGGTGTGGCCCTCCCCTCGCCACCCCCTCTGGGACCTGGGGTGTCCTGAGCCAGGCAGCAGGATTAGCCTGGGTGGGCTCAGGCTGCGGGGGCCCCAAGCCTCGTAAAGGAGGGATCCTCCACCAGAGGGTGCTGTGGGGTACAGGTGGGGCGGGGCCTGGCTTAGGGGGCTTGGGGAGGGAGTCCTGGGCTGTGAGGGGGCTCCGCCAGCTGGGCTGCAAGGACTGGCTGAGTGCGGGGCCTGTGGCACAGGGCGTGAAGGAGCGAGCCTACAGCAGCAGCGGGGACACCATCACCAGCCTGCCCATCAGCATCCCACTGAGCACCGTGCAGCCCAACAAGCTGCCCGTCAGCATCCCCCTGGCCAGCGTGGTGTTGCCCAGCCGCGCCGAGAAGGTGGGTGTGGGTGGAAGCGCCCCTCGGTAGGCCTGATTCTGGCCAGTGCCTCTACTGCCAGAGAGTGGAGGGTAGAGTGAGGGATGTGGCATTAGCATCCTTCCGCTGGGCCCCTGCCGGTCTTGCCTCGGCCGGGCTGGCTGTAGGTGTCTTGTGTGTTCTTTGTTCAGGGTCTCCCTGGGTATGCTGGGGTGGTGAGGCAGGGTCCCTGGGAGCTCCTGTGCCCCGAGTCACCCAGAAGGGAGGTCCATGTGTTCACAGTGTGGACGCGCACCCACCAAGGCTACCATGTGCTTTGCCCCGCAGAGGAGCACCCCCAGTCCCGTGTCGGCACTCGACAAGCAGATTGGTGCTAATACCCACAGCGCGGGGAGTAAAGGCCTGGGCCTGGCCCCGACAGGTACTGTTCCCAACCCTGGCTGGCCAGCAGGACCAACGCCTTGGGGTTTTCTGACATTCAAGATGTGTGCGTCAGGCATGGTTGGGGAGTCATAGGCAGAGAGGCCTTCCATCCATCAGGGCACTCCCCAGATGGCCACAGCGGCAGAGCCAAGGAGCCAGGAACTCTGGCCGGCTCTTCCACGTGGGTGCAGGGGCCCAGCCTGTGGAGCTACCCTCATTGTGGCTTCATGCCTCTGTGCCTAGGAGGAAGTGGCCCGAGGCACTGGCTTTGCTGCCAGCTGGTAGTCCTGCTCACCCCAGGCCACAGCTCTGGTGGGGTCAAGACGGGAGGCGCCACCATTGGCAGCTGGTCCTACCACCCTGGGACAGCTGCTAGCATCCCTTTTCTTGTGGGACCTCCCAATTCCAGGGGAACCTGGAACATTCCGGAAACATTTGCAGGGTGGCCTCCCACGTCCCCATCTGCTCTGAGACCACTATCCCTGTGCAGGTTTTGCCTATGCGGGCTCGGTGGCCATCACAGGGCCCTTGGGCGGGAGCCCAGCCCCCCTGGTACCCGGAGGAGAGTCCGCTGCCTTCGACGAGTCCTGCAGCTCCAGCAGCCTCTTCGTGGCTGTGGGCTCCCGCAGTACCACCCCACAGCATCCGCCCCTGCTCGGCCAGCCCCGCACCTCTGGTCCTGCCTCTCCCGCCCACCAGCTTGCTGCCAGTCCCCGGCTTGCTGGGGCTGCCCAGGGCACTGTCCCCGACCCCAGCAAGGGAGAACTCCCCTGTGACACCGGCTTCTCAGACCCCGAGAGCGAAGCCAAGAGGAGGAGCGTGTTCACCATCTCGTCCGGCGCGGGCAGTGCCAAGCAGTCGCCCTCCAACAAGCACAGCCCCTTGACCTCCGGCTCCCGTGGGGACAGCGGCCAGGGCCACGGGCAGGACAGGCGCAAACGTGGCCGCAGGAAGCGCGCCTCAGCTGGGACCCCCAGCCTGGGGGTGTCCCCCAAGCGCCGGGCACTGCCATCCGTCGTGGGGCTCTTCACCCCGTCCTCAGGGTCCCCCCTCAACCTCAGCTCCATGGTGAGCACGCAGCAACACCCAGCATCCGGCCAAGGGTTGTGGATGGGCGGGTCAGGTGTGCTGCCCAGCACCAGGCCCCGTGTAGGCCTGGCCTCTCTCCCAGCTTGCCTTATCCCCAACATCTCAGGTCAGCAACATCAACCAGCCCTTGGAGATCACGGCCATCTCGTCCCCCGAGAATTCCCTAAAGAGCTCCCCGACCCCCTACCAGGACCACGACCAGCCCCCCGTGCTCAAGAAGGAGCGGCCCCTGGGCCCCCCCAATGGAGCCCACTACTCCCCGTTGACATCGGACGAGGAGCCGGGCTCCGAGGATGAACCTGGGAGTGCTCGGTGAGGGGCCGGGGCAGCCAGGCTGTGCTCAGGTGGCGGGTCGGGTTGGCACAGCTGTGCCCAGGGTGGTTCCGGGGCTCTGCACCCACTGGGTGCAGCCCCTCACGTGGTGTACGTCTCATGCATGGAACCTCACATCCTCAGAGCTTCACTCATGCCCTGGGGTCAGCCCCTTCTGGCCACTGTGACCCTCGCTTACACATTCTGGTTGGGTTCCACGTGCAGCCCACATCCCCCCTTCCGACCCCTGCTCCCCAGCTCTGAGCTAGCAGTCCGGGAGCCTGCCTCCACTCACAGGTGGGGCTGGACTCCCTCTCCATGTGCTTGGAATGTGCTGGGAGGAATTAGGCAGATTGTTTGAAAAGCTCCCCAGGTGCTGGCGACAGCCAGGCGGGGGCTGGCCAGGTGGAGGCCAGGCATGCCGGCAGGGTCTCCCCAGGGCTGCAGGGGCCCTGGCCAACTGCCTGGGGATGAGCCTGCCCCCGTGGGTGTGTGGGGTCAGCCGCTGAACATCTTCCTTTGCCTTAACAGAATTGAGAGGAAGATTGCGACAATCTCCTTAGATAGCAAATCTCCCCCGAAAAGCTTGGAGAATGGTGAGTACCGAGCCCTCCCTGCCTCTGGCCGGCAGCAGTGACAGGGCTGGGCCTGCGGTCGCCCACAGCATGCTTGCTGCTCCTGCTGCGGATGCACCCCGGGTCCCCAGGCACTGGGGCCTCACGCCCGCGGCCTGTCTCCCCAGGTGGTGGTCTGGCGGGGAGGAAGCTGGCTCCCGCCAGCGAGCCGGTCAACAGCAGCAAGTGGAAATCCACCTTCTCGCCCATCTCCGATGTGAGCCTGACCAAGTCGGCCGACAGCCCACTGCAGGCCAGCTCTGCCTCAAGCCAGGCCTCCCTGTTTGCCTTCCGCCCGGCCCTGGATGAGCCAGGGGCCGCTGAGCCCAAGTTGGCTGCCCACCCAAGGAAGAGCTTCGCCAGCTCCTTGGCAGGGGCCGACGGACACAGCCCAGGGGCCCACCCTTCCAACAGCTTCGCACTGGGCCCGGGCCTGGCCTCGGAGCTCGGCCTGCATGGTTTCAGCGATGGTGCTTCCCTTGCCCACAAGGTCCCCTCGGAGGCCAATCCTTTCTTCACCAAGAGGCAGCTGGAAGGCCTGGGCGGCCTCAAGGGCGAGGGCGGCCCGGCCAAGGAGCCGGGCGAGCCGGGCCTGTCCCTGTGCGGGCCCATGGACAAGGCCGGCCCCCCCCACGGCAGCAGGGCCAGCAAGGGGCGGGACCGCGACCACGACGGCAAGAACGGCCACAACCTCTTCATCTCGGCAGCGGCGGCGCCCCCCGGTGGCCTCCTCGGCGGCCCTGGCCTCGTGACGGCAGCTCCGGCAGCAGGCAGCTCGGCACCCGGCGGCCAGGCGCACCGCCCCTTCCTGGGTACTTTTGGGCCTGGGCCACAGTTCATGGGCCCCATGTCCCTGCAGGCCAACCTGAGCTCGGTGGCCGGCTCGTCCGTGCTCCAGTCCTTGTTTGGCTCCGTGCCGGCCGCCGCGGGCCTGGTGCACGTGTCCTCCGCTGCGGCCAGACTGACCAACTCCCACACTATGGGCAGCTTCTCCGGGGTGGCAGGCGGAACCGTCGGAGGTAGGCAGTGGCGCCGCCGTGCCCCGTCGCTTTGCTTCCTGCACAGGCGGTGACGGGGCCGGCTGGTGTTCGGGCCCTGTGCCCGCCAGCCCCTCTCTCCATAGTCTGGACGACTGACAACGGCTGCCGGTGGTGGGCTCTGTCCTAACGTGTCCCTCTTGTTTGCAGAAGTCTGTGCCGCACGTAGCTAGGGCAGCTCGCGGTCCTGGCTTTCCTTGCCCCCCCACGGGCTCCCCAGGACCGCGAGCCACACCCGCCCCTCCGCTGCCCTGGGTGCCTTGTGTGCGTGCGCCTCGACGCTGACTCTCTGTCTCCTGTCTGCAGGTGTCTTTAACCACGCGGTGCCTCCCGCCTCTGCTCATCTGTTTGGAGCCAGTGTCGGCAGTGGGGCTGTGTGTGGCAGCGCCCCGCTGGGCCTGAGCCCGCTGCAGGCCTCCTCCTTGCAGGCCGAGATTCGGCCTCCCCCTCCGCCAGCCCCGCCCCTGGCCCCCGCCCCGCCGCCCCCTAACGTGGCCTTGCCTCCCGCCCCGACGCTGCTGACCGCTAACCTGGACCCCGTGCTGCTGCAGAGCCTCACGCCCGTCCCTGTAAACATTAACCACGTCTTCCTAGCTCCTGCCTCCGCTGCTTCTCTGTCTCCCACTAACCCCTCTCTCTCTGTCAAGCTCACCCCACTCTCGCACAAGGTCTCCCACCCGCCCTTCTCGGTGCACCCGCAGCCCCTGCCCCGGCTGGCCTTGGCACAGACCGTGCCCGGCATCCCGCAGGCCAGCTCCACGGGCGCGCCCGCTGTGTGGGTTTCTCTTGGCATGCCGCCTCCTTATGCCGCGCACCTTTCGGGGCGTAAGCCGCGCTAAAGAGCTTGCTTAGCTAGCACTTCCTAGGTTGTAAGGTAAGGCTGGAGCCAGCCCAGGTGCCCCTCGACACTCCCCGGCTCCCTGTACAAGGAGGGCCGGCGTGCGGCGCGCCTGCTGCGCCAGGGCAACTAGCCGGGGGGATCCCGGGGCCCCAATGGGCAGCAGGCAGGTGCCAGGCTGCATGGCAGCCATGCTCCTGGGACACAGACTGCGGGCAGGAGGAAGCCCTTTGGCCCATGAGGCTGTGGGCACCAGCAGCCCCTCACAGTGACCAAGGGTCGGGTGCAAGGGAGGCACAAACCACCAACAGCATGGGCAGCTGGAGTGCCCCAGCAGGACCTGTGCTGTGGTTGGTGGTCACATGATGGTGGCCTTGGAGGATGGCCCTGGCCCAGCCCACGCGTGGCGCTGCCTAGGTCTCGTCCTGGGTCTCCCTGGTGAGGGGACCTTTGTGGATGAGTCCCCACCCAGCGGGGCAGGGTGTGTGGGAGCCAGGCTCCCAGGATCGTGGCAGTTCTGGGTCAGTGCTGCCTCTGGGCTGCGCCTGCCAGGCCTATTGGAGAAGCCATGGAGGCTGGGTGGCTGCAGGTCCGCTGACCGCGCAGAACCCTCGGCAGGGAGCCGGCCATGGAGCCTGGCGCTGCCCTGTCAGGGCCCACGTCCACACTCACAGGACACTGAGCATCCGGGCCTGGGGCCCGGGCCCTCTGCCAAGCCACTCACGGCCTCTTCCCCTGCTGTGCCTACCTGCAGGTAACTAAGAGTTCTACCTCAACTGCGACCTATGCAAGGATGGTGTGGACCAACGCGCCCGGCGGCTCTACTGTGAACGGCACCGGCTGCAGTGGCACCGGTGGCCCAGCGTGTACTGTCGATCGTTCCTAACGTGCATCCACACCCCGAGGGACCGGGTCCCACTGAGCACGCCCCGGATGTGCGGGAAGGCCGGCAGCCCACCCGGTGCTATTGCCACGGCTGCCCCGCCCCCTTGTCCCCCAAAGCTGTCCCACCCGCCCGCTCCTCCCGAACCAAAGGCTCCCCCTCCTGGGGAGGGGCTGCTGGCCACCCCGGCCCCCTCCCCTGGCGGGCAGAGTCCCTGGGTGCCTAGGTGGGCCGGGCACCCAGCTTGACCGTGGTGGCGTGGCCGGCCTGTGTACAAGTGCATTACTTGCGGTTCTCGCTTCCCGGGCGGGGGGGCGGGGGTGCCGCGAGGTCCCCAGTTGGAGGAGAGAGTCACTGCAGGTGACAGTATTTTATAGAGATGGGATGAGAGTTTATACATTTCATAGGCTTGACCGCATTTATTTTTAGATTGTATAATGCACAGTGAACTTTAAAGAAAGTGTAAAGATGTAAAGAAAAGGGGAAAAATACTTTATTTATTCAAGTGCACAAACACGGTGCTGGCCTCCGGGCCGGCCCCCACCCAGCCCCCTGCCTGGCGCCCCAGGGGACCCCCCCCTCTGTCCCGTCCCCAACCCACTCCCCCGAGCAATAGTCAAGTTCTGAAGATGGTGCTGGTGGCGCGGTCTGAACCGGCCCCCCACGTCGGTGCTCTCGGCTCATAGGTGCTGCGCCCCGCGCCTGCCCTCCCCCGCGGTGGGGTGCCCCACCTCGGACGTCCCAGGGCGGGCAGTAGCAACGTCACATGTGGCAGGGCCCTGGTCTAGAACAAAACACTGTACCCCACCGCCAGCAGCGGCGTGCCCTGTCCTGTCGGTGGCCAGCCACACGTGGGTGACCTCCCTGGCCACCAGGAGCCCTGGGGCTGCGCTGCGTCCATTGCCACCCGGGCCCCGGCCCCTGCTCAGGGATCGGTGGGGAGCCCCTGGTGGCCCAGCCCCCTGGCCTCAGGGAGCTGCTGGTCAGTAGGAACTCTCGCTCTGTCCAATTTATTTAAGACCCACTCCCCCCCTTATTTATCTCCCGTGCTGGGAAGCCCTCCTGGGTATGGCGGCTGTTTCCGCCTGGGCTCTGTGGTCTCGAAGCCCCGTCCGTTGCCCCACCCCCACTGCACTTTGTCGTGTAGCCGCTGTTAATAAAGATGGTTTTCACTTGCGTCTGGCCGGAACACAGCTTTGTGGGGGCCTGGGCAGAAGGAAGCTTGCCAGGTGCCTCATTCAGTCCATCCTGGGTGGGCTTGGGAAAGGTCCCTTTATTGGAACATAAAAAACTGGGGACCCCGGGGTAGGGGGCCTAACTGGCCCCTTCACAGCACACTCTGGCATCTACATTCAGCAGGACTTGGGTGCACACGGCACACCAGGGCCTGAGGCATTTGAGGGGGCCGGGAAGCCAGAGACCCCCTCCTCCCCAGGAGTCCAGGCAGTCAGCCCAGCACATCCAGCTGAGAGCTGATGCCTGCCGGCCGCCCGTCCTTGGGCAGGCTGCTCAGCTGGAACCGGGCCTCCTGGGATATGCCGAACTGCTCCAAGGGGTCCTGTGGGGGTGGGGAGGGGCGGTGGTGAGCCCGGCTACAGGGACAACCCCCCCAACACACACACATACACCCACCCACCCACCACCTACCTTGCCTGTCATCTTCTGGATTTCATTCCTGTAGAAGATGAGGCTCCTTCGCATGAACTCGTAACTGCAGGAGAGGGCGAGCAGGGCACTGGGTCTGACCCTGCTCCTGGTGCCACCCCTGGCCTGCCCTGCCCAGTACCCCTGGTGCCCCAGAGCCTCCCAGCCCCACCCATGGCCCTGCTCCCCGCCCCTGGCCCTGCCCACTGGTTCCGATGCCCCCGGTGTCTCCTGTCCCACCCACGGCCCCCACCCTGCTCCACCTGGCCCGCCGCAGGGCCTCCGTCCACTCCTGGCACTGCTCCTCGCTGCAGCACTCGAAGTGGTACTTCCTCTCCGGGTCCTCCACGAAGCCTGCGAGGGAGTGGCCTCTGCTGGGTGCCCGCTGGGCCCCACGCCCCCAATGCGAGCCTGGCTCCGGGCCCTGTGCACACTCCCTCCCCATGCTGTGCCCCTTCCCACGCTGCACCCCTTCCCCATGCTGCGCTCCTTCCCATGCTGTGCCCCTTCCTCATGCTACGCCCCCTCCCCACGCTGCGCCCCTTCCTACACTGCACCCCTTCCCCATGCTGCACCCCCTCCCCACACGCTGCGCCCCCTCCCCACACTGCGCCCCTTCCCACGCTGCACCCCCTTCCCACGTTGCGCCTCGCCAGACCGCTGCGGCCCTTCCCACGCTGCGCCTCCCCACGCTGCGCCCCCTCCCCACACTGCGCCCCTTCCCACGCTGTGCCCCTTCCCACGCTGCTGCCTCCGGCGCACTCACCGAGCGAGAAGCTCCGTGGCTCTTCGCGCGTGACCCGGCAGCGTTCTAGAAGCAGCGCGCCGACGGGCTGCAGGGAGGACGCGCGCGGGCCCGTGAGCGCAGAGCCGGGGCGCCGCCGCCCTCGGCCCGCGGACACCCCCACGCCCGCCCCCCGGGACCGACCTCGGCCTCGTCCGGGCGGTAGTAGAAGAGGAAGTTGACCACCAGCTTCACCAGGCGCCGCTTGAGCACTGCGGGCACACAGCGGGCTCAGGGCGGCCGCGGGGGAACCCTGGCGTCCCGGCGCGCGCGCCCTGGGCCCCCCGCGCGCCCACGCTCACCGCTGCCCTTCTTGGGGCCCCGCATGCCCAGCTCAGCCGCCATCTCGGCCGGCTGCCGGGACAGCGCCTGCAGCTCCTTCTCGTTGTAGCGCATGGCGCCGGGGACGACAACCGGGAACGCAGGGCACGAACGCACGCCTAGTTCCGGGCCCTCCCGGCCACCGTCCGCCCAGAGTCCGGACCAGAAAAGTCCCAGTGTGTGGTCCCGGCCAGCACCAAGGCGCCTGCGCGCTGCGGGCCGGCCATTCTCCACTCCCCTTTACCCCACCCACCCGTGACCGCGGCGTGGTGACTTCCGCGCGTGCGCAAGCCGACGGGGAGGGCGGAAGGCAGGACAATCACGTGTCACTCGGGGAACCTACCCCGAGTTCACAGAGACCGCTATGCGCAGGCGCACCTCGGGCACCCGCCCGCCCAGCAACCTCGTGCATGCGCACACGCGGGAAATCGACGCTTGGCGGCCTCCGGAAGTGCTTCGGCCGCCTGCGACGCGCCTGCGCACCTAGGAGTCGTGGCGGTGGGCCTAGCGGTGCGGCGAAATCCTCGGGCTCGAGTGAGGCTCCGGGCGGGCCGGTGGTGGTGGGTGCCTAGGAGCGGGTCCCGCGGGGCGCCGGGCAGGTCTAGCGGCGCGGCGGAGGCCTCGGGCTCGGGTGAGGCACCGGGCGGGCCGGGGATGGCGGATCTCCCCCGAAGGCCTCCGGGCGGGCGGCCCCGGTGCCCGCAACCCTCCCCAGTCTCCATCCCTCCCGGTGCCCACACCCTTTCTCGGGGTCCCCTATCCCTTCCCGGGGTTCCCTTTCCCTTCCCGGTGTCCTCTCCTGCACCCCCGGATCCCTGCACGGGGACACGTTAGGGCCACGCTTGCCCCCTTCCCGTGGCCCCGGGGCCGCCTTGGCAGGCCGGCTTCGGGGTGCTGGGGATGCCCGTCACTCCCATTTCCTGCTGGAGCGGGGTCCGGGATGCAGAGTGCAGCTCCCCGAAGGTGGCCCCGGTTCCCGCCAAAAAAAAAAAAGAAGCCAGCTGTGGGGGCTGCGCCGGCTCCATTGTCCTGCTGCCCGCTGGTTCGTGGGCCATGTCCTTGGGGTCTGGAGAGCGCGCCCAGCACCCGCATGAGGGTCCCGGTGGGCAGTAGGGTCGCGCACACCCCCACACACCAGCTTGTGAGGGACAGTGGGGAGCAGGGTGCGGCATTGGGCACAGCAGCTGCGACCCCCAGACAGCCTGGTACCCCAGGAGGCTGTGGGCAGGGTCCCCACAATGCTCCCACCCCCCGTCCCCTGGTCCCCACTCCTCCGCAGCTGGGACGAGGCACGAGGAATTAAATGTCCGGGCCGTTTCTGGGATGGTGGTCTAGTCAGGTGGGGTCCTGGGGTGCCCACCAGCTCCTTGCTGATGTGCCTGGGAACCCCCAAAGGTGGCTGGAGCTCCAGGCCCCCCAAGCTCTGCCTGGCCTGACCCTGCTAGAGTAACAGGAAAAGGCTTTTTGCTTTCTAGCTCGTTCCCCAAATGACGCCTGTGACCAAAGCTAGGCCGTGTGAATCCAGCTCTGCGACGGGGGACACGGGCAGGCCAGCTGAGGGAACACCCTGGGCCAGGGGTCCCTAAAGCAGCTCCGGAAGGCGCTGCTGCCTCCAGCTGCTTGGCCAGGAAAGGCCGCTCCGCTGCCTGAGAACCCGCCCCACGTTCCCACCCTGGGCCGCTGCGGGTCCCTCAGAGTGGCTCCGTGTCCGTGTCCACACTGTCCTGGGGTGGAGCCTGCAGGGATGGCCTTCTCTTCCCAGCTGTCCCAGGTGTCTGTTGTGCTAAAGTGGCCCGGCCTTCACCATGGACTTCCAGCACCGGCCCGGGGGCAAGACGGGGAGCGGAGGCGTGGCCTCCTCCTCGGAGAGCAACCGGGACCGCCGGGAACGGCTCCGGCAGCTGGCCCTGGAGACCATTGACATCAACAAGGTGGGTGCTCAAGGCCCCTAGAGGGGCGGGGAGGGCACGGGCAGGGCCCCCATGCCATCTGACGCTGACCGTTTCCCCTCAGGACCCCTACTTCATGAAAAACCACCTGGGCTCCTACGAGTGCAAGCTCTGTCTGACACTGCACAACAACGAGGTGCGTGCACAGCTGGCTGGGGTGCAGGGCTGCTGGCCAGGGCACAGGGCGACACAGGGCAGGTGGCCAGGGCTCAGGGGAACGCAGGGCTGCCAGCTGGGGCCAGGCATGCAGTACTGGCCTGCTGGCCCCACCTGAGCCGTCCTCTTCCCGTACAGGGCAGCTACCTGGCCCACACGCAAGGGAAGAAACATCAGACTAACTTGTGAGTACTCCCCTCGTGGCAGGTGGGTGGGGTCGGAGCCAGCCCCTGCAAGTCCTGTGCACCCCACCCCGTCACGTTGTAGACAAGCAGCCCCTCGATCACCAAGGGGAAGGCCCTGCCCGGGCACCTGACCAGCGGCCTGGGAGGCCTTGCCCACCTGCTTGCACAGGGGCTGCAGCGCCGGCTCTGTGCCTCCCACAGGGCCCGGCGAGCGGCCAAGGAGGCCAAGGAGGCCCCCGCCCAGCCAGCACCTGAAAAGGTCAAGGTGGAGGTGAAAAAGTTCGTGAAGATCGGCCGCCCGGGGTACAAAGGTGAGCATCAGGTGCAAGAGCCCCTGCCCTGGGAGGGGGCTGGCTCCAGGGGACAGTCCCCCCGCGGGGGTGGCCCTGCCCTCAGTGCCTGCCTGCTGTCTTGCAGTAACTAAGCAGAGGGACACGGAGGTGGGCCAGCAGAGCCTACTGTTCCAGGTAAGGGGGTCCCCAAGCCTGGGGGGACGGGGAGCTGGTGCCCAGGGTGCTGCTGACATGCCTGCGTCCCACAGATCGACTACCCCGAGATCGCTGAGGGCATCACGCCACGGCACCGCTTCATGTCGGCCTACGAGCAGAGGATCGAGCCCCCGGACCGGCGCTGGCAGTACCTGCTCATGGCCGCCGAGCCCTATGAGACCATCGCCTTCAAGGTAACGTGGGCTGCAAGGCTGGGCTGTCCCCGGGGGGCCCTGCTGGGCATCGCGCCAAGACCCTCTGTCTCCCCAGGTGCCGAGCAGAGAGATCGACAAGGCCGAGGGCAAGTTCTGGACCCACTGGAACAGGGAGACCAAGCAGGTCCGTGAGCAGCGCCGGCCCCACATCCCACCCGGGGACCCCACGGCCCTGCATCCCCCACCCGGGCCCCCCACCCGAGGGCCTCCTGGCTGATCTCTGCTCTCCGATTTGGTCCCCCAGTTCTTCCTGCAGTTCCACTTCAAGATGGAGAAGCCGCCGGCCCCGCCCAGCCTCCCCGCTGGGCCTCCCGGAGTGAAGCGGCCCCCGCCCCCACTGATGAATGGTCTGCCCCCTCGCCCCCCACTCCCAGAGTCTCTGCCCCCACCCCCACCTGGAGGCCTGCCCCTACCCCCCATGCCACCTGCAGGGCCTGCACCCTCAGGGCCTCCTGGGCCCCCCCAGCTGCCCCCACCAGCGCCTGGCGTCCACCCTCCTGCCCCAGGGGTCCACCCGCCCCCTGCCCCGGGGGTCCACCCTCCAGCCCCAGGCGTACACCCACCAGCCCCAGTGGTCCACCCCCCAACATCTGGGGTCCACCCCCCAGCTCCTGGGGTCCACCCTCCAGCTCCTGGGGTCCACCCTGCAGCTCCAGGAGTCCACCCTCCAGCACCTGGCGTCCACCCGCCTGCCCCTGGGGTGCACCCACCCCCAGCTGCAGGGGTGCACCCCCAGGCCCCTGGAGTGCATCCCCCGACGCCCGCAGTTCACCCCCAGGCTCCAGGCGTCCACCCGCCGGCCCCTGCAGTTCACCCCCAGGCCCCCGGTGTCCACCCCCCGGCCCCCGGGATCCACCCACAGCCTCCTGGGGTTCATCCTGCAGCTGCTGGAGTCCACCCCCAGCCCCCTGGCGTCCACCCCTCCAATCCTGGGGTGCACCCTCCGACCCCCATGCCCCCAATGCTGCGGCCCCCTCTCCCCGCCGAAGGGCCGGGCAACATTCCTCCCCCTCCCCCAGCCAACTGAAAAGCCGCGGGCCCCACGTGTTCTGTCAGGCCCTCCCCCTGCCTGGCACCCCATTTGTACTGCCCCCCAAGGTCTCATTAAATGTCTCCTATGTCAAGCCAACTGGTGCGTCCTTGCTGTGTCGGGGGGATCATGCCCACCAGCCAGGAGCTGAGGCCCTTCCCCAGGGAGGGAGTGGACACAGCGCACTGGCCATGCTGCCGCCTCTGCCCACATCTGCGCTGCCTCCAGCCCACACTCCCCCTGTTTTCCCACCCAGCCCCTGGCCAAGGCGCATCTCCAAGGTCACTGGCACGCCCAGGGCCACCATCGGGGCAGATAGGCACCTGCAGGAACAGAAGCGACCCTGTGAGGAGGCCACTGCCCACTGGGCTCCCAGGGGTGCTGTCCCCCAAGGTCACTCCGTGAGCCGAGGCTCCAGCCTTCCCCCCACATTCCACCCTGGCCCATAATAATCGCAGCTGCGGGCTCTGCAGCACTCACCATGCCTGGCCTGCCCCTCGCCCTCCTGCTGCTGGCCCCAGGGACGCTGCTGGGGGCTGGGAGCCCCTGGACAGAGTCAGCCGCCAGCCCTGGGGCCCTCAGCCTGGATGAAGGCTGGGGCTGGCCACCCAGCAGCGCTGCCAATCCCCGGTGCCTGGTGGCACTGAATGGGGGTGGCAAAGGGGACCGCAGACCCCTGCGGGTGGTGGGTGCCCTGAGCAGCTACGAGACAGCCTTCCTGGAGGCAGTGCGGGGGGCCAGCTGGGGCCCCCATGACCTGGACATCTTCGGCATCTGCAGGCCCGGGCCTGAGCAAGCCATCATGGCCGCCCTACAGCAGCTGGCAGCCTGGCTTGAGGAGCCCAGGGCTCAGCCGCTGCTGGTCTTGCACCTGGAGGAAGGTACAGGGTGGGAGGGGGGACTTGGGTCTCCCCTGCAGAGCAGGCTGGCTGGCCCCAGTGGCACAGGTGACCCCTGTCCCCCACCCCTGCTGCAGTGATGTGGGAGCCAGCACCCACCCTGAAGTTCCAGCAGCCCCCAGCTGAGGCTGTTCCGCCTGGGTTGGCACTGTTGGTGCTGTATCCTGGGCCCGGCCCTGCAGCCACCATCACAGGGACTGGACTTCCAGGAGCCCAGGTAATCAGGGACCAAGGGGACTGGGGTGGTGGGAAGGGTGTGGCAGCACCCTAACCCAGCCGTTTGCGTCCCACCTGCTCAGAGCCTCTGCCCGTCCCCTGACACCCGCTTCGTGGCACTAGTTGTGGCACAGCCTGCAGACGCCTGGCGTGGTTCTGGCCTCACCTTGAGCCTGCGACCCCATGGAGACGGTAGGGCTATGGAAGAGGGCCGGAGCGGCTGGCTGTGGGGGCAGGTAGTTCTCAGGGCTCCGTCCCCTGAGCCAGCCTGCATCACTGCCCAGGGACGCCCCTAAGCACGCCTCAACTGCAAACACTGCTCTTTGGAACGGACCCTCGCTGCTTCACACGGATGACCCCGGTTCTGCTCCTGCTGCCTCTGTTCCCGGCGCCGCTACCTGCTCACGGCCAGCTGGACACAGCCCCCCTCCTGCCACCCAGGTGCGCCTGGGTCCCTGGAACAGGAATGCACAGACGGGTGGGAGTGCTGCTGCCCCCAACGCCTCCCTCTGGCTTCTAGGCTGGCCCTGGAGTCCGAGGAGCCGCTGCCCAGCGCTGACCCCTTCCTGGAAACGCTCACGCGCCTGGTACGGGTGCTGCGTGGCAGCCAGGTGCCAACCTCCCCGCCACGGCTGTCCCTTGACGCGGGTGTGCTGGCGGGCTTCCCGCAGGGCTTGATCAACCTGTCAGACCCCGCAGCGCTGGAGCGCCTGCTGGAGGGTGAGGAGCCACTCCTGCTGCTGCTCCCACCCTCCGACGCCCCCTTCCCGGCCGCCCCAGCCCAGGTTCGGGGCTCCCCGTCGGTGGCGCCTTGGGCCGAGGGCCTGGCGCGACGCGTGGTAGCGGAGCTGCAAGCAGCAGCCGCGGAGCTTCGAGGCCTCCCGGGGCTGCCGCCCGCAGCCGCCCCACTGCTGGCCCACCTGCTGGAGCTGTGCCCAGGTGACCCGCGGGACCCCGGCGGGCCCAGAGGTGCCCTGCGTGCGCTGCTCTTGCTGAAGGCTCTGCAGGGCCTGCGCACCGAGTGGCGCCGTCGAGAGCCCCGCGGGCAGGCACGGGCACAGCGCAGCGCCGGGGCAGCTGCAGCTGCCGACGGGCCGTGCGCGCTGCGGGAGCTCAATGTGGATCTGCGCGCCGAGCGCTCCGTGCTCATCCCGGAGACCTACCAAGCCAACAACTGCCAGGGCGCGTGCGGCTGGCCACAGTCTGACCGCAACCCGCGCTATGGCAACCATGTGGTACTGCTGCTCAAGATGCAGGCCCGAGGTGCCTCCCTGGCGCGCGCGCCCTGCTGCGTGCCCACGGCCTACGCGGGCAAGCTGCTCATCAGCCTGTCCGAGGAGCGCATTAGCGCGCACCACGTGCCCAACATGGTAGCCACCGAGTGCGGCTGCCGGTGACCCTGGCGTCATGCGTGGACTCCTGTCCTTCCCCAGGGGCCCAAGTGAGCGCTCCCAAACATATTTATTCGGACCCCACCGTCGCCCCCTCCCCCCATAAAGATGAGCAAGCATCCAGCTAGGGTCTCCGTGCGTGTTTGGGAGCCCGTGGGGGGGGGGGGGTCTTCACTGCCTGACGCCCGCTCCCTCCCCCGTCCCCGTGGTTCAGGTGCCGGATCCCAGGGTGCACGGGCTAGGGAAGCAGGCGATGGAGGGAGCGGTCTCTGCACGCGCTTTATTTTGCGGGAGTCCAGATGGCGCCCTGGGCTACGTGCGGCACGACCAGGTCGGGCTCAGTCCCGCCCCTTGCCTGCGCGGGGCTTCCGGCGGCCCGGGAGCCGCTCCTCCAGGTCGGATCGCCTCGGGGAAGGCCGGGCCTGCCTCTTCCGGTGTCCGCGGTCTTCGGAGTCGCGCACCTCCCAGCGCCGGGGCAGGGCTTCGCGGGGCGCGCCGCTCTCCCTGCGCGACCTCTCCCTGCGCGGCTTCTCCTCTCTGCGCGGCCTCTCCTTCCCCCGCTTGTCCTTGGGCCCTCGGTGTGCGAGAGGCGTGCGCGTCTCCCCCGCAGGCCCTAGCTCGGCAGCGCCCGGGCTGCCGGGAACCTCGGGTCCCTCCTCCGCCTCCGAGTCGGCTTGGGGCGCGGGCGGCGCCGTTGGGGGCACCAAGACGGGGGGCTTAGGCTGCAGCAGGGACAGTATGATCCCAGGCTCAGCGCCCACCTCCGCGCTCCAGCCCCCACCCGCTCACACCCCGCGCGGTCACCGGAGGGAGCGGCTCACCGAGGTCACCGCTGGCTCCTTCCTGGGAGGGCTCGGTGGGACCCAGGGCGCAGGGACAGGCGCTGGGGCAGTGGCCTCCCCAGCCACGGCATCTGGAAAGGGGTGGGGTTGGGGGATCCCCGTGGCAAAACGCATCAGCAGGGGCACATAGCCTTGGTTCATCCCAGCCTGGCTGGCCCTTGCCAGAGGTCGGCAGGGGCGTCCTCCTGAGACTTTTTTTTCCAAACGAAGTGGTCTGTGTTCTAATTCCCTCTCCGAAAGAAGGGGTGCAGGCCCTCCCTAGGGCTGGGTGTACCTGGGGACCCAGGGGGATGCAGAACCCCCCCCAGCCTCCTGCCCCCGGGACCCGCGCGCTCACCGCGGCACAGCTGCAGAGCCGAGCCCAGCAGCGCCAGCAGCGAGGCGAGCGCCAAGCACTTGTTGATGGACACATCTCCCCAGGGCAGCTCCTCTCCGCTGGGCACGGGCGGCGGCGGCGGCGGCTCCGGGGGCGGCGTGGCCTGCGCCTTCTTGCGCGCGGGGGCGCTGCGCGGGGCTGCCGGGACAAGCGCGGGCTGTGTGCCGGTGTCTGGGCCCGGGGCCGTTCTGGGGACCCCCCCACCCCCACTCCCGCCCACGTACTTGTTCCACCTTTCGGCCTCTCCTTTCCGGGTCCTAGGGCGCCCCTGACCGCGGACTCCTGGTCTGTTTTCTTTATTCTATCGTGCGCACCGCTGTCCGCCCCCAGCTCCTGAGAGACCTGGGGGAAACAGCCCGATGGGGGGGGGGGGGCCGCTGGTTCCTGGCCCCTGACACTTGGAGGCCCCAGGAACCTGGAGAGTGGAGCAGGGAATGGGGGAGGGGCCTCTCCGGGAGTTGCAGATGGAGCGGGGGGGGGGGGGGTCCCCTGGAAACCCCATCCATGGGTCCCCGCCACTCACCGGGGGACAGCTGCCCGAGTCAGCCCGCCTGCGGGACCCTGTGGCAGGAGGGAGCAAAGTGGAAATCAGGCTGGGAAGGTGCCCGCAGCCCTGCCATCTAGTACGGATTGGGTAGGGCGCCAAGGCACCTGCAGCGTTGGCGGGTAGGGCAGGACTCCTTCGCAGAGTCAGCCTGCCCACTCCACCTCCCCAAGGTGGGCCACCTGCCTCAGCGCCGGAGTTAGGGTACCTGAAGCCTTGTTTTCCTGAGCTATGCCCGGGTAGGCCTCAACCAGCACAGAGAGCTCCTCCCCGGCTGGGCAGCTGCCCAGGCCTCCATCCAGCTCGTCCAAGGCTCTGGTTGTCATGGAGACTGGAGCAGCACCGGGGGTCCAGGGCCACCTGGGGGAGTACAGCAGGGGCTCAGCATCTCCCCAGTTCCTTTGGATAAACCAGCTCCTCTCCTGGACTGGGGGCTTCTGGTGCCCTTGCACTTGGCCCCTCTGCTCACCAGGCCCAGTCAGGCACCTGCTGGGCTACTTCCTCCCCTCCCGTCTTATCAGAGAGACCCTCCGGTGGCCACACAGCTTTAGCCAGAGGCCTTGGGCTCTCTTGGAGGCCAGGGGTTATTTTTATCTGGTGCCCAAGGCCAGCAGGCCGGCTGTCCAGAGGGTGACCCAGCCCTGCCCAGGCCTCTGCTCCCAGGAGTCTCCTCCCAGACCCTCCCCTCTGGGACCCTGTAAGCCAAGGAGTTCAAGTCCCCCATACCCAGAACTCACCGGGTTCCAAACAGGTGAGTCCCTGGAGCCCTCCACCCAGGCCCCCACCCAGCCCCTCTTACCCCCACAGACACAGCGCCGGGCCTGATGAACTGGACAGAATGAGGAAGGGTGGCCCTGACACTGACCGACAGCAACAGGTGTCAGGGACAGCTGAGCGCACCAGCCAGGGAAAGCCCCAGTCCCATGGCGGGGAGGGGCCGGGGGAGCGGGAGGGGCAGACTCAGGCCTAACCCAGCACACATGGGTGGCCCTCCACTGACCACTGCGGGACTGAGGGGAACGGGGCTGGAGGGTCTTAGACTGCCCCTCCCCCAACTCCCTCCTCAGCCCCACCCCACCCCCTGCAGGTGGGGCTGGGCTAACCATCCTGAAGGGTTTTCTGGAGGGAGTGTGGCTGAGTGGTGACCACAGTGAGGTGGCAGACACCTACTGCAGCTCCAGCTCCTCCCTTCTGCAGTCTGCCCCCAGTCTTGGAGAACCCGTTCACTCTATTCGCCCCCAACTGCCAGCCCAAGGGGATGCAGCCAACTGGGGAAACCCTGCAGGAGGAAGCAGCAGGCACGCGTGCTTCCTGGTGCTTCCTGGTCACCACCATGGTCCTCGCGTCCTTGCTGACGCCTGGACAAGGTAAGGTCAGAGCACCTCGAGCTCTAGCCTGGATTTCCCTGCTCCCGTAGGGACGACGGTTCGAGTCCTGGACTGCTCCACTTCCAGCTGCTTGCACTGGGGAGGGGAGGGCAGCAGATGCTGGTCCAAATCCAGGGTGGTCCCTGTTCCCCTGTGGGAGACCGGGATACAGCTCAGGGGCTAAACCTTTGCTTTGTACATGCCTTATACAGCACACACACGCACGCAGGCAGGGTGGAGCCAAGGCTGAGATAACCAACCCCCACCTCCCCTTGACAGCAATGCAAAGTGAAGTGAAACCACCCCATGGCTGGCTGGGCGGGCCCTGTCCCCTTGGGGTGGTGTTCTGAGAGAGTGAGGGAGCCCACTGGGGCTTAGGGCTCCTGGCAGGCAGGAGGTACGGCCCAGGCCTTATCTACCCGCAGCAGGTGCGTGTGTATGTGTGGCCCAATGCCGGCCGCTGGAAGCCTGCCTTGATTACGGTGCCAATGGGCCACCCTGTTCACTTCCCAAGTCGTGGGCCCAGTTTTGTCAGTTACGGGGCTCAGAGCCGAGTGGAGCAACTGACCAGCTGACCACCCGTGGGATATGCCCTTAATTGTTCACTTTTTAAAAAGTATATTTATTTCGGGGCCCGGCGCGGTGGCGCAGTGGTTAAGGTCCTCACCTTGCACGCCCGGGATCCCATATGGGCGCCGGTTCTAATCCCGGCAGCCCCGCTTCCCTTCCAGCTCCCTGCCTGTGGCCCGGGAAAGCAGTGGAGGACAGGAGACCAGGAAGAGGTTCCTGGCTTTGGTTCAGCACAGCTCCAGCCACTGCAATCACCTTGGGAGTGAGCAGACGATGGAAGATCTTTGTCTTTCCTCTTCTCTGTAAATCAACATAAAGAAATAAATATACTCCCAAGAGCCGATCGAGCTCTTGATGGACTCGGGGAGCCCAGAGGGGCCCCCAAACCTGAACCCCCCTCCACGCCCATGTGGATACGTTATCCACCCACGACCCCAACCACAGGCCTGTCCCAGGGTGGGGAGCCTGCTGGCAGGTCACTCCCTGAGCTGGTGGCGGGGTCCCCCACCCACCCAGCCACCCATGTCCATGCGAGCCCCTCCCCCAGGGTGCCCTGGCTGCTGTGGCATCACGGCTTTTTTTTTTTCTTAATCTCTGCTTTTTTAAAAAATCTTTTTAAAGTAAGTACGTTTCCTAAAAACATAAAGCAGGAAGTGAGGTATTTGCACATGAGCCACCTTGGGCCCCGGGATTGCTTGGGCTGAGGGGACTCAAGTTTGCCCCCCACTCGGAGTGTCCTGCACCTGCAGCGTTTGTGAGATCTTTCTAGAACACTGTCTACTTCAGTCTCACGAAGCCCCAATGTCCTCACTCCTACCGAAAACGCTTTATGTATCTTTTTCTTCACTGAAAGGCCGAGCCAAGACAATTACTATCGATGACGACAGAAAAGGGGGTCTGTTGGGCTTCGAGAACGGGGGGTTCGGGGCTGAGGCGGCGCGCGGGGCAGGCCCCTAAGTGTGACGGGGTCCAGATGGCCGCCAAAACAAAAACACACAAAATAAGACACAAAAACAACAAAACGGGGCTCTCGGTTCCACAGCGGCCGTGGGGGCGGGGCGCGCCGCGCGTCCCCTGCGCCTCGGAGGCTCCGCCCCCGCGCGCGCCCGATGACGCCAGCGGGCAGGGGGCGGGGCCCGCCGCGTCCTGCCCGCCAATCGTCGGCGAGCATCGGCGCCCTCGGCCAATAGAGCGCGCTAGGGGGCGGGCGCCGCGTGTCGTGCGGCCGCGTTCCCGGCGGCGTGCGGGGCGGGGCCTGCGCGCGGCGCCTATAAAGGCGGGCGGCGGCAGCGGCGCCATTTTGCGGCAGCGAGCGGCGCGGCGCGGAGGGGTTGAGAGTTCCGGATCCCCGGCGGCCGGATGGTGAAATCCTCCCTGCAGCGGATCCTCAACAGTCACTGCTTCGCCCGCGAAAAGGAAGGGGATAAACGCGTCGACGCTAACCGCACCATGCCGCTCCTGAGCCTTCACGGCAGCAGCAGCGGCCGCAGCAGCGAGAGGTGCGCGCCCCGCCCCCACGCGAAGCTTCTAGAAGCTCAGGCCGCGGGGGGGGGGTGGGGAGCGCGAGGACCGCCCCTTGGGGGTGGGGTGCGGGGGGGAGCCCCGCCCTGGATGGAGGGAGCCTGGCGGGGCTCTTCCGCGGTGCGACTCCCCGGGAAAAGGGGTGAGGTCAGCTCGGGGGTCGGGGGGTTCACACTGGGTGCGAGCTCAGGGGATGGGGGGGAATCCACGCTGGGATGCTCAGGATGGAGGGGTGAGGTCAGCTCGGGGGGCGGGGGTCCACACTGGGGCGCTCAGGATGGAGGGGTGAGGTCAGCTCGGGGGGCACTGGGGTGGGCGCACTGCACCAGGACCCTCCAGGGACGGGGCGGGGTGAGTCGGAGCTCGGAGGGGTGCAGGGGTGAGGTTAGCTTAGGGTGCATGCTGCTCCGGCAGCCTTGGGGCGGGCACCCCGATAACTGACCGCGCCCCCCGCGCAGGGCCCCCGTCCCCGGCTGTCGTCACCTCGGTCCAGGGCCTCGGTGGCGTTCCTGATGTCCCTCACCCACCGCTGAAGATCCCAGGTGGGCGAGGGAATAGTGACAGGGATCGCAGCCCTTCGGCCGAGCTCTGCTACTCGGTGAGTGCCGCGGGGGTCCTCCTGGGACGTGCCAAGATGCAAAGGTCCGCTCCCTCGGGGCGTGTCGGGGTGCCGGGGTCGTCCTGGGGTGTGCCGCGGTCCCCCTGGGTTGTGTTGGGGTGCCGGGCCCCCGCGAGCTGAGCCACCCCCGCAGGACGAGCGGCTGACCGTGCGCGAGGAGGAGCCGTCCAGCGGCGCGGCCCGGGTGCTGACCCTGCAGACGCGCCTGGCCGAGGCCCGCGTGCTGAGCTGGCGTGCGGTGCTGAGCGCCGACGGGCTTTTCGTGGAGCTGCCACCCGGAGCTCTGCCCGAGGGCAGCAAGGACAGGTGGGCCCGGCCGGCCTGGGAAGTGTGAGGGGCTGGGGGGCCGGGTGGCGACCCCTGACCCAGACCTGACCTCTGATCTGCGCCCCCGCAGCCTGGCGCTTGTGCTGGAGTTTGCGGAGGAGCAGCTGCGCGTGGACCACGTGTTTATCTGCTTCCCCAGGAGCCGAGAGGACCGAGGTGCGGGGCCAGGGGCGGTGGGCAGAGGTGGGCCCTGAGGACCCAGGTGTGGGGCTGGGGGCAGTGGGCAGGGCTCCCCATGCCCCGGTGCTGACCAACCCGCCCCGCAGCTACCCTGCTCCGGACTTTTGGCTTCCTGGGCTTCGAGCTGGTGAGGCCGGGGCACCCACTGCTGCCCCGCAGACCGGACGCCTGCTTCATGGCCTACACCCTGAACCCGGAGGAGCCGCCCGGGTGAACGTCCCCTCCCGCCTGCGGGGTCCTTGAAGTTTAATATTGTGTTTGTGATACCGAAGTGTTTGCTTTAATCTAAATAAAAGTTTATATTTTACTTGGATTGATCTCTGGTGGTGATGTCATCGTGGATGGTCTCCCTCCAGTCCTGGGTGGGCACTGTAGGCCCCTAGGGGAGACCAGGAAAGGGGCGTCCGGCCATGGGATGCCCCAGGCTTTGCTCCAGCCGGGAATGGGGTCAGATGTCCAGGAGCCATCGCAGGGCCGCCCCAGGACAGGACAGGCTTGGCGGGGAGAGCAGGACCCTGGGCTCCTGAGGGCAGCAAGGTGCGTCCACCCAGTATGGAGACAGGCCTTAGTGTGCGCCCAGTGCAGGAGCTGGAAGTTGCCTTTCAACCTTTTGGCTGAGTCTGGCCCTGGGACTGAGTTAACAGGGGTTGCGGGTTCCAAACGCAGCTGGGCCAGGCCTTTGGCTCAGGTCAGTCCACCAGCAGCTCCAGGGCCTGGGCCAATGACTCCTCTGTGGCCTCGGCCAGGTACTCGCAGCACAGCCAGTCCTGCAGGTCGGGCCCCTGCCCGCAGGCAGCCATCTCCGCCAGCTGCACCAGCATCCAGGCGCGGCGCACCTGCAGCCAGGGCCCCAGCAGCACCCCGGGGCCACGCAGCTCCAGCCCGGGGCCCCAGAGCAGTGTCTGTAGCGCACCCCGCGTGCGTGCCGCCGAGGGCCGAACTCGGGGCAGCCGGGCAGCCAGGTCCTGCAGGCCCCTGGCCAAGGGTGAGGCCGGGGACAGGGTGGGGCTCAGCAGGTCGCAGAGCAGGCGGCCTAGCTGGGGTGCGTGGGCACCCGGGGGTGTCGGGGGCAGCTGGTGGACGCGGCCGAAGTCAGCAAGCAGCAGGCGTGGTGGCCCCGCGGGCGCACAGCCCCTGGGCGCCGCCAGCAGCAGGTTCTCGGGGCGCAGCTCAGCCAGCACTGCGCCCCGCGCTTCCAGGCACTCTAGGGCGGCGGTCAGCTGCAGCAGGAGCAGGGCCACCGACCTGGCCAGCTCCTGGGGCTGCCGTGCGCCCACTTCCTGCAGCCACCGAGTGGCCGTGTCCTCGGGCACCTCGGCCACCAGCGCCACGGAGCCTGTCCAGGGTGCTGCGGGCAGTGTGCCCGCGGGAAGCAGCCCACACAGCCCCTGCAGGTTGAAGTGAGGCGACAGCAAAGCCTGCAGCTCCAGGCCTCGCGAGTGGGCCGCCTCAGCCCCCGGCTTGGGCACCTGTGGGCGGATGGAAGGGACCATCAGGGCCTCAATGCAGCCTGCACCCCATGCCCCCCAAGTCCCTGTAGGCCGCGTGTCACATGCCCTGTGTGCCCAAAGGCAGCCTCCTGCTGAGCACTGCGGAGTGGAGAGAAGCTCTCCAGGCATTCTCTTAAGCTTGCTTTAGGCCAGGTTGGGGTGGGGAGGACAACAGGTGGGCATGGCTCCACACGGCAAGGTCAGTGTGGGAGACCACATCAAGCAGCCTGGTGGATGGGCAGCAGCCGGACAGTAAGGCCCCTCAGGAGGAGGGACCTGGGGAGTTTGAGGCTCGGGACAAATGCAGCAGATGAATCCATCACCCGAGCTGTAACATCTAATAAGCAAGCAAGTTCTAGTCCCGGCTGCTCCACTTCCCCTCCAGCTCCCTGGTCATGCACATGGAAAAGCAGTTGAGGATGGTCCAAGGTCTTTGGGACACTGCACCCACGTGGGAGACACAGAAGAGGCTCCTGGCTTCCGGTCAGCTCAGCTCTGGCTGTTGCAGTCATTTGGGGAGTGAATCAGTGGACAGAAGATCTTTGTCTTCCCTCCTCTCTGTATATCAGACTTTGCAGTAACAACAAATAAATCTTGATATATTTAGTTCTGTGGAAAAGTGATGGCATAAGGGAGGGAGTGTGACACCTATCCATGGTTCACCCCTTAATGCAGCAGCCAGGGCTGGGCCCGAGCCATCCGGGTCTTCCATGTGGGGGCAGCGGCCTCAGCACCTGGGCCATCCTCCACTGCTTTCTCAGGCACATGAGCAGGGAAATGGAGCCCTCAGACGCCTATAGGAATGCTAGCACCACGAGCTAGCTGCTGCTTAACCCTTTGGCCACAGTGCGGGGAGGCCCCCAAGCTGAGTTTTCATCATGGCACCGCCCCCCCTGACTTACTACTTAATGACTTGGTCGGGTGTGGCAGCTCCTGGGGTGGACTGCAGGACCCCCAGAGGCATGGGGAAGGGTAATGGCAAGACCCCCGGAAACTCACCTTGGCTGCTACCACGTGCCAGGCGTCCCCCAGCACACGTACCACACGGTAGTAGCAGGCGTCACCGCTCTCCAGGCAGGGCGACGTGTCCAGCAGGCGGAAGCTGTGGCTGGGACTGCAGGGTCCAGGCCGGCCCCCCGTGAGCCGCGCCCGCAGCTGCGTGTGGATGCCACGGAGACCGTGCAGTTGTTGGGCGGTCAGCGCCGCGTGCACAGCCACCGGGCTGTGCAGGTCCTTGAGGTGGAGGCCCAGTGCCAGCTCGGCCACACTGGATGTCAACTCCACAGGGGTCCGCACCACTGGCCCTGCCTCGGCCTGGCTCTCATCCACGCTGCGAGCTCCCAGCAGGGGCCTCTGGGCGTGTCCTGCTCGGCTGGAGCTGCGACCAGGGGTAGCGCCTGTGGGCAGGGACTGGGTGCGGGTCAAGGCCTTCCTGGGCAAGGGTGGGGGCTGTAGGTTGGCACCGGAGAGGGATCCGGGAGTCCGGACACGGCCAGCCTTGGAGGGCAGCAGGTGGGCCCGCACCTCTCCTGGGGGTGGGTAGGGGGACAGGTGGTTCAGCCCAACCCAGCTGTCCCCCACTTGTATGGCCACTGGGCTCCCCACCCACACCTAGATCAGCTCACCAAGGTTACCGTAGGTGGGTTCTGACTGCTGGGTGGGGCTGCTGGCTTCGGGGGTCTGGGCGTCGCTCATGCTAGAGGGGTTGGGGAGAGCTGGGCTTGACTGCTGCTGTGTCACCCCTCAGAACCCAGCCCTCGCCCTACTGGCCGCTGCTTGCCCTCAGTCCTCCCCACCTAGGAGCCCCTACCTGGCACACACCAGTAGCTTTGCAGACTGACGGTCAGCAGGGCCAGCCTGGCCGGGCGGCCCCTAGAACAGCAGCCGGTAGGCAGGAAGCTTATGCAATGCTGAGACCGCAGGGGCCAGGCTGGGCACGGCACTTCCCCATCACGTCCCCACAGGGCCGGATGGTAGCCGGGCACTCCTACCCCCAGCCCAGGGCCCCTGAGCCTGGGCCCTCCCAGCTGGCTGTGTGCCCCCGCGTGGGCTTCCACCCCACCCCCACTAAGCTCCCCACACTCCACTTCCCTCAATGCATTTGTTTTAACAATTCCTGGGGAGAGGGTGTTGATGCCAACATCCCATAGGGGCACTGGTTCGAGTCCCGGCTGTTCTAATTCCCGTGGTCCAGCTGGTGTGAGCTGGGCCTGGTCCTGTTGATGCAGAATGGGAGAGCAGTGTACCCCAACCCCACAGCGGGATGGATGGCAGGTCTGTGGCTCAGGGAAGCCCATCCGAGACTTTGGGGTGTTAGGATCCTAAACGCCCAGGCCATGGCTTTTATTGTCAGGGAAGCTTCAGGGTGTCCAGCACTAGGGGTGCAGTGGACAGGGCAGCGGCTCCCCGCTGGTCCCGGCCGGTGTCAGCCTCGGCACGGGAAGACGAGGAGTACCTTCGGCCTCCGTGCACGTCCATGGGTCCCACCGTCTCTGCTCTTCCCAGCTTAACATGGGGGAGGGACTGGAAAAGCGTTTACCCCACACACGCCCCGCCCAGCCCCACCTGTGCGGGGGGCACTAAGGGCCTGGGGTTTTGCTATTAAATCATTATCATCTTTATTTGATTCCAATCACAGCAGGAAAGGAGAGGATCAGGGTAGAAGGCTGTGGTTCACACAGGGATGGGGGTGGCCAGGGGTGGGGACACCCCAGTGTTATGCCAGCTCTCCCCTGCTCGCCCCAGGTTCTCATGCGGCTGAAGGCACTTGGATGTCATTTGGGGGGGGCCCTTGGGGAGCTGCAGCCTCCAGGTTTGGGGCACAACCAGTTGATCCCCGGGCAGACCGTAGGGACCCAGGAGGCTAGGTGACCTGGTGCAGCCTCCGACCCACTCTTCAAAAGAAACCGATGTTCCTGTGGGTGGGCTGCCCACTGAATCACAGGGCATGGAATGGGGGGGGTGCTCTGAGCCTCCCATGGTCCCTGGGGGCAGCCAGGACCCTTCCTGTCCCCCATTCCAAGGCCGGAATCCCACACTGCCAAGGAAGGGCTGCTAGACCCCAGACTGGCCCTGCCCACTCACCCCCCAGTGATGGGAGCGGGGCTCAGCAGTGATCCTGTGGGCATCCCCTGGGCATGAACTGTGACCCCCTATCCCTGCAGGGCACCTGGGCTCCGCCCAGCCTTCCTGTGGGGAAGTCTGGCACCAGGCATTGCTTCCCATCCCTGATCCTGAAAGGACCCCCACACGCAGATAGGTCAAGTGGGGGCTTGTGGGGACCATTCAGGGTCAGGATGACCATGGGGATAAATGGACATCTCCAGAGCTGGCCTGGAGAAGGGGACACCCCATTCATCTTGCTCCTGGGCCAATACAAAGTGGGGCTCACCTCAAGGTGGCTGGGGGGTGTGGCTCCTCCCCAGGGCAGCCCCAGTGGAACAAGGACCTAGTGTGGACCACACGTGTCCCTGGCATGAATTATGTGTCCTTGGCATGCACTATGGTCCTGGGCCACCCCACCTGCCCCCCCCCCATCTACAGTGGCAATCTGGGCCTGGCCTCAGGGCCAGCTGGATGTGAGCTGTGTATGGTGTGTCCCATGCAGAGTCTGCGTGAGCCGGTGTGGGTGGCCAGAAGCCACTTCCTCATCTGGACTGCCCCAGGAGCGAGTTTAAGGGGAACCAGGGTGGGGCAGCAGCTTGAACCTCCTGGGTGTTGTCAGCCTGGGGGTGGCAGAGGTCTCTGGGCGCAGCCCCCCAATTTTTCACTGCCCCCACCCCAGCTCAGGCTCGCTCAGGGAACCCTGGCAACCAGCAGCTGAACCCGCCTCGGAGCCCCAGGCGCCGCCCTCTCCTGCCCACCGGGGGTGGATGGGACAATGCCTAGGTGGCTGCGGGGCCCCTCAGATCATCTTCATGTTGAACTTGCGGGCGCCGCCCTGGCCCGCAGCGGCGGCGGGGCCATCCACCTTACGGAAGGAGTACTCCACGGAGAAGTTGTTTTTGTGCTGGCCGCGGCCGCGGCTCCAAGCAAAGAGCAGCAGAAAGCAGAAGAGGACGACGCCCAGGAAGGTGATGCAGCCCATGGCGGTGGACACCAGGATGGTGGTGAGGTCCAGCGGGAAGCGCGCCGCCAACGCCTGCGTCTCGTTGGCACCCTTGCCCAGGCTGCTGTTGGCGGTCGGCTCCGGCTGCACGTCCAGTGTGGCAAAGTAGGTGTCGTTGCCGCCCGCGTTGCTGGCCACGCACGTGTAGGTGCCACTGTCCTGCGGCCGCACGTCGGTCAGCTCCAGTGTGCCCCCGGGCAGCAGGCGCACCCGGCCCACACTGCGCGCCGTCACCACCCGGTGCTGTGGTGTCACCCAGGCCACGGTGGGCGTCGGTTCGCCCTCGGCGCGGCACGCGAAGCGCACGCGCTCGCCCGCCGCAGCCGTGACGCGCTGCAGCCGTCGCTCGCGGATCTTGGGCTTGTGGCACACGAAGTACTCAAAGAGCTCGGCGTCGGGCAGGCTGCGCAGCGCGTCGCCGCGCACCTCGGCCGGCGTGGCGCAGGCGGGCAGGCGGCCGTCGAAGTTGAGCGTCTTGCGGCGCTGCACGATCCACAGCAGGCGGCAGTCGCAGGCCAGCGGGTTGCCGTCCACGCGCAGCGTCTCCAGCGTGTTCACCGAGTGGAACGTGCTCTCCTCCAGCGTGGACAGCAGGTTGTTGGAGAGGTTGAGCAAGCGGATCTGGCGCAAACCCACGAAGGCCTGCGGCTCCACCACGGCCAGCAGCGCGCCCGCCAGGTGCAGCTCGCGCAGGCGCACCAGGTCGCGGAAGGAGCCGCGCGGCACGGCGCTGATGGGGTTGTGCGACAGGTTGAGGCAGGTGAGGTGCACCTGGTGACGCAGCGCGGCGGCCGGCACGCGGGTGATGTTGGTGTGCGTGACGGACAGAGAGGTGAGGTTGAGGCCGTGCAGGCTGCCCGCGGCCACCTCCTCCAGCAGCGGCCAGTTGTCGATCTCCAGGTGCAGCAGGCCCGGCAGTCTCTGGAAGTTGTGGTCCTCCAGGGCAGCGATGGCCAGGTGGCGCAGGCGCAGGGCGCCCAGGCCGCGCAGGTGGCCAAGCGCCTCTGCCGACAGCGCCGTGAGGTTGCAACGCTCCAGGGTCAGCTCCTCCAGCGCCAGCAGCCCCGCGAAGGCGCGACGCGAGATAAACACCAGGTGGTTGTCGCCCACCTCGAGCCTGCGCAGGCTGCGCAGGTCCTGGAACGTGTAGTCCAGTAGGATCACCAACTTGTTCTCGCTCAGGTCCAGCAGCGTGAGGTTGTCCAGGCGCGTGAACACGCCGGGCGGGATGAGCTTGAGCTGGTTGCCGCGCAGGCGCAGCACGCGTAAGCGTGGCAGGTTGGCGAAGGCGCCCGGCTCCACGTGCGCGATCACGTTGAGGCTGAGGTCCAGCTCCTCCAGGGCGGGCAGCGCGGCCAGGTCACCCGGGTTCAGGCAGCGGATGCGGTTGCGGCTCAGGCCCAGCACGCGCGTCTCGGCGGGGATGCCCTCGGGCACGGCGGTGAGGCGGCGGCGCGCGCACGCCACAGCGCGGCTCTGCGGGGCGCACTCGCAGCGGGCCGGGCAGCCGGCGGCCGGGGGCGGCGCGGCGGGCAGCAGCAGCAGCAAGCGCAGGCTCAGCAGGTGCAGCCAGCAGGTCATGATGCGGAGCCTGGGCCTAGGGCCGTGCCAGCATCCTCCTGCGCACCTGCGGGCGGAGGCGGCGTTAGCACCGGGGCGGCCCCAGGAGCCCCGAGGATTGTATGATGGGACCCTGGGGACACCATGTGTAAGGAGAGTCAGCCACAAAAGGCCGTGCTGCGTAGGCTCCACAGGGACAGGAAGTGGATCTGTGATCTTTGGGTTGGCTCCTGCTTAGGGATTCTTTGGCGTGATGGAATGTTCTGGAATTAGTGGCAATGGCTGTGTAATCTTGTAAATGCACGGAAAGCTATGGAATATTCGGCTTTAAAATGTTGGGTTCTGGGACCGGCACAGTAGCCTAGTGGCTGAAGTCCTTGCCTTGCATGCGCCAGGATCCCATATGGGCACCAGTTCTAATCCTGGCGGCCCTGCTCCCCTCCAGCTCCCTGCCTGGGAAAGCAGTGGAGGACGACCCAAAGCCTTGGGGTCCCTGAGGTCCCTGAGGGGTCCCAAAGCCTTGGGACCCTGCATGCGCGTGGGAGACCTGGAGGAAGCTCCTGGGTCCTGGCTTTGAATCAGTTCAGCTCCGGCTGTTGTAGCTACTTGCAGAGTGAATCAACAGATGGAAGATCTTCCTGTCTCTCCTCCTCTCTGTGTATCTGACTTTGAAATAAAAATAAATACATCTTTTTTTAAAAATAAAATAAAACACTGGGTTCCAAGTTGGGCGTTTGGCCTGGTGACTAAGACGCCCAGGGTCCCACAAGGCCTTGAGAAAGAGCTGGGGTGGGACATGTAGTGGACAGGGGGGGGTGGGTAGTGTGGGAAGGTCGATTGGGAGGGTCGTGGGGGGCAGAGGGCAGGGGGCCATGTCAGGGTCTTCACTGCCGGTTTCTGCACAACCCTGGGGATGGGGGTTGGGATGGGGTCGGGGCAGTCGGGCACAGCTGCTGGCCCTGCTGACACCCCTCTGCAGAGCTGTGCCCTGGGGCCAAGTGACAGCTATTTCTAGCATAGTCATTGCTGAAGTCCCCTCCTCCGTCAGCCCAGCTGGGCAGCAGAGGGCCAGGCCGCGGGGTACCCATCTGTTATAGCACCCCACTACCACCCTGACCCCCAACACAAGGGCAGAGTCTTTGTCCGTCCTGGGCAGACACGGTTCAAACCGGGCCACACTGGAGTAAGTGGGGGTCCTGAGGGCACAGCCAGTCCTCCGGGTCCCCCAGCCTGTAGCTCCCTTCCTGTCCTGACCCTCGCCCAGGGTCAGGAAGGGGTCAGTAACAAAGAAACAAACCCAAAACAGAGCTGAGCTCCGTCAGTGGGGGACCGGGCAGTGATCTGTCCCCCTTAACTGCTGGGGTGCAGGGAGGGGTCCCAGATGACACAAGGTGTGAGGGAGGCGGTCAGGGAGCTAACCAAGGTGTCCATCAGGAGGGGATCCAGTGGGCCATGGCTCCTGCAGGAACTGGGGTGCAGAGGGGTGGGGAAGCTGTGCCAAATGCAGCCGGAACTTGGTTCTGTAGGGATGGTAGCAGGGCCTGGGGTGAACCTGAGGGCCATCAGCAGGAGTGGGGTACCCAGGAGAGACACAGTCCAGGAGAACACCAGGTGAGATGGGGGGCGGGGGTCAGGAGACGCCTGCGGGAGGAGCAGCCTCCAGCCACAGTTGCTGTTTTCTAGGTCATTCTCTGAGAACAGCCCCAGGCCCCTGGCTCCCTGGCATCCCCCATCGGGTCATGTGTGGTCTCCGGGGACGGTCCCTGTCACTCACTTGCCCCCAAGGGGCAGCGGCCACTCAGCCCCCAGGGCTGACTCCTGGCAGCGTGGCAGCAGCAGGGCTGGCTTAGCTCCCGTGTCATGCCTTGTCCCCTGAGTGCAGCAGACAGCTCTGGCAGGGCCCACCCCTTCCTCCCGCCTCCTTGTTCTCAGGCTGTACCCAGTTCTGGGGGCAGGGGTTGGGGCGGGGGGGACACCTTTCCTGGCCCTCTCAGTTTTGGCTTCCCCTGGACGGCCCACTTTCCTGCCTGGCACAGGCTCTGGACGGCTCCGGGAGCTCTCGTCCACACTGCCCCTCTCCCGAGCCAGCGGTCACCCTGCTCCATAGATAGGGACGTGGAGACCCGATGGAGCTCCCAGCTTCTGCTAGGCCCAGCCCTGGCTGCTGAGGGCATCTGGGGAGTGGGCCAAGGGCAGGAGATTGTGTGAAACCAACAAACATTTTAAGACATGCACTAGGGCCCAGCACAGTAGCCTAGTGACTAAAGCCCTCGCCTTGCATGCAACAGGACACGGGTGCTAGTTCAAGTCCTGGCTGCTCCACTTCCCGTCCCGCTCCCCGCACGTGGCCTGGGCAAGCAGTGGAGGACGGCTCAAAGCCTTGGGACCCTGCAACTGTGTGGGAGACCCAGAAGAAGCTCCTGGCTTCAGATCGACTCAGCCTTTGCGGCTACTTGGAGAGTAGACCAGTGGAAGGAAGATCTTTCTGTCTCTCCTTCTCTCTGTAAATCTGACTTTCCAATTAAAAATAAACAAATCCCAAAACAAAACAAAACAAAAAAACCCCACAAACTAGGCACAGGCTGTGTGGCAGGCAGGCGCCCTCAGAGGGGGGATGGCACGGGTTCACGACAGACCCAGCCTCCCTTCCTTCTGGGCCTGGGGGACATAGGCAGAGTTCAGGGTGTGGGGAGGAGCTGGGCTAGGTGACTGGGGGTTGGATGCCCTCGGATGGGGGACCCTGACACCCACCCGAGCCATGGCGATGGCGATGGGGCTGTCCTGGCTGAGTGAGGTTTCTGGTGCAGGCCCCGGCTGGGCGGCCTCATCAACAAGCCTTTCAGGGATAGGGGCCTCTAGTTCCAGAACATTCTGTCACCCCATAAAGGAGTCTCTTGCCTGCATCCCATCCCCCAGCGCATGTACTGCCTCTGGACATGTTCTGGGTCCACTTCCTGTTCCCTCGGCTCACCTGCCGTGGACAATGGAGCCACACCCATGTGCCTGGTGATTGCCCAAGGGTCATGCCAGCTGGACAGAGAGCAAGCCCACAAAGACCCATTATGCCTTATGCCCTGGGTGTGAGCCAGGCAGGGGTGTGAGGGCACAGGGCAGAGTTTGGGGGTCCATGATGGGAGAGCAGGAGCCAGCAGGGGCTTGAGGGTGTGGGGAGCCCCTGGGAAGGCCACGAGAGGGTGTGACCCCAGCTCCATATGCACACGTAACCCTGTACCCACCTCCCCCAGACACACACCAGCCTGTGTGGAGTGGATGCCAGTGGGGTCAGGCAGAGAGTCAGGGAGGATGCTGCTGCGGGGCAGGGAAGGGCAGGGCAGGGCAAGGGCTGGGGACCTGGTTGGGTTCTGACCTGGGACAACGGCACGCCCATTGCCCAAGGTTCAGGCACCGTGTCAGCCAGAGCTGGGTAGTGCAGGGTTGGGACTTGACCCGGAGCAGGGATGGCGGGCCCCTCTTCTGCCACATTTGCCAGGAAGCTTGGGAGAGCAGCCGGTGTGCCCTCCTTGACAGAGGCAGACTCCTCTAGGGTTCAACCACACAGTACCTGCTGTGCACCCCCAGGCCATGTGTGGGATGGGCCTCCCTTCTGATCCCACCCCAGGGCAGGGGGCTCAGGAGGCCGGGGAGCACCCCCCAGCCCCACACCCAGCTCTGTCCCCAGGCCCACAATCTGGCAGTGGAGCCAGGGGCGCAGTGGGAGCCTGCCTCCTCTGGCCCCCACATTTGAACTTCTCTGTGGTATGTAGGAGTCTGCTTTTGGGGACACACCGGCCCCCCAGGACGGATGTGCCTCTGTCCTACATCCAGGTCCCTAGGGGGGCTGCCAGCCGTGACAATTCATTAAGCCCTAATTAGTTTCCATCTGCTGTGGGTCTCAGCCAGCTCTGCGGGGAGGATGCTGGGGGCTCCGACCCACTTTCCTTGACAGCATGTTCCAGTGGGGGGGGGGGGGCTTTGAAAAGGGGGACAGTATGTCAGACTGACCAAGGCAGCCTCTGGAACCCAGATCCCTCCCACACATCCCAGCCCCCGCTGCTCCAGGATCCAAAGGCGGGGTGGTGGGTGGCTTGTGGGGAGCGCTGACTCAGGAGGCCCTGGGGGGTCAGCACCTACAGGAGGGGCGTGAGTGTGAGCCTTGGGTCAGTGGCATGTTCCCTTGTGGTTAGGAGGTGCGTGGGAATACCCACCAGGTATGTTTGTGGGTGGATACTCTGGCTCGCCCACTCCACAGATGGAACACTGAGGCTGCAACCTCGCAGCACCTGCTGGGCACTGGCTCTGGGTGGGGGTGACTGCGCCTGGGCTCCCGCGAACCTTCAGAGGGTGGGCAGCTGAAAGCCATGGAGGTGAGGGGGTGGGCAGTGTTCAGGTGTGGAGGGACCCCACCCCTGCCCCAGGCACCTGCCCCTGTGACACCCACATGGCTCCACTAAGGGCTATTTGTGAAAAATGCAGATGCCCGGGCCCACCCGGTCAAGTTCAGATTTGGCAGAATGGGGGGAGCGGGGACACATGGTGAGAAGGCGGGGGGGGGGGGTTGGAAGAGTAGCGCAGCTCCAAGGGTTGTTCTCGCACCCACAGTCCCCCAACTTGTTGAATGGGGCTCCAGAGGGCGGCAGTGCCCAGGCTCAGCCTCCGGGGTGGGGAGAAGGGCTCCCCCCCCCCCCAGTCCTGCTGTTACTTGGCCCACAGAGCAGGGGGCTGGCCTGTGCAACCCCAAATCGCTCCCCACTACGCGTCCCCAGCGCAGGGGCGCAGGCACTTGTGCTGCGGACCCGACTCCCCAAGGCTGGACAGGTGACAATGAGGAGCGGGGCTGCGCTACACCCCCAGATCCATTCAGCTCTCACGCCCGCCCCCACAAAGAGGGGCGCACCAGCCCAAGCGTCCCCGCTGCTGAGGGGGCCGAGATGGCCACAAGGCTCCGTAACCTAGGGGAATGTGGGGATCCTGGTGTGGGCAGTTGGCCCCCAAACTTTCCAGGGGTGAACAGGGCAGGGGGTTGCTGAGGAGGGAACGACACGCGCCAGAGGGGCGCGCGGGCGATTCACCCCCTCCCCGCCCGGGGCTGCGGGTGCGCGTGGGGGGCTGCGGGTTCAGGAGCCCGGAACGCGGACTCTGGGGTCCCCCCCGGCCTGCAGGTGCGCCCTGCATCGGGCCTCCCGCCTCCACTCACCTGAGCGGCTCCGCCGCGGACTCGGCGCGGGCTGCGGCGCGGGGCCGCCCGGAGCCGACTGGAGCCTCTGCTGCCACGGCCACGGCCGCCGCCGCCGCCGCCGCCTCCCGGCTCCGCCGTGCGCGCCCGCGCCGCGCGCCCCCGCCGCCTGCCTTCCCCGCGCCCGGCAGGGGCGCGCGCGGGGGCTGCGTGCTTGCGGCCGCAGGTGTGCGAGCACACGTGGGCACAGGTCGGGGCTGCGCGCCCCCAGTGGGGCTCCTTCCGGAGCGTCCCCCTTCCGCCACTGCACCCCAGACCGACTCCCACCCCGCGTCCCCAGCCGCCTGCCTCAGTCCTGTCCCCAGGTGGCCCCGGAACTTGTTCTCAGGATCCAGTCTGTTCCCATGCCTGGGGGAGTCCCTGCTGTTGTTCAGAGAAGCAGCGGGGCCCTCCCAGGCTGCAGGGTGCTTGGCACCCACGCGGTTCCCCGACTGTACTGCCGCCCGCTGGCCCCAGGGCTTATCAGCTTTGCGAACCTCAATGTGTGTGTGACCACAGGAACCCCAGGACGCAGCCTGCCCAGTGTCCTATTGGGGAGTGCTCATCTCTGGGAGTTGGGGTGTTGGTCCCGGATAGGGGGTGCGGGACGAGGGCCTGGCTGCTGCTGCTGTTGCGGGAGCACCCTGTCGTCCCCCCCTCGCCCTGCGTCCTCCAGCCGCTCCCTCCGCGGCACTGGCCCGGCATCCGCGCAGCCACCTGTGACTCAAGCCGCTCCGCTCCCAGACTGTCGCGTTGGCCCGAGGCCCAGACACCGCATCCCGCAGGCCGCAGGTCTGGGCCCTGCTCCCGGCCCTGCCCCCAGCACCCCGCGGGAGGCGCTTGCCCCCCACGCGCCTGGGCCCCTCTCCTCCAGCCGGAGGCGGGTGGGTGGGCAGGGCAGTCACTGCCCCTCCAGCACACCTGCCTCCTCCCCCTCCCCGACTGTCCGGGTACGGCCTGGCCTGGCTGTGCAGCCGTAGTGTGGGGGTGCCCTGCAACTTGGGGCTCCCTCTCCGTGAAGTGTGGCTAAGTGGAGTGGGGCTAGGCTGCTGCCCCCAGGCGTCTACCCAGCCCGCCCCTACCCTTGCCTACTTCTGTCCCAAGGCTTGACTGAGGTCCACTGATGTTTAGGAGGTGCCCTGTGGATGCTGCCCCAGCAGTGGCCTGCCCAGGGACGGGCACTTTGGTCCTGGGAGGGTGGGAGGAGGCCCCCACAATCTTGATTTCCGCCTGGCCTGATGGGCCTGCTTCTACAGCGGGTTCCTAGCCGCCCTGGGGGTATGTGTGGCTGCCAGCAGGGAGAGTGACTCTGGCCTGGCCACCAGCTGCTGGTGACCTTGAGCTGTCCCTGGCCCCCCCACCCTGCTCCTGTGGGTGAGTACCTCCCAGAAGGCTGCCCTTCAGCAGGGAGAGTATGTGTGTGGGCAGGGGTGGGGGTGTTGCCGCTAGAGGTTACAGCCTGCCAGGCTGGCACCTGGTTGCCAAGGTTACGACCACCTGGGCTGGGACGTTGCCATAGAGACGGGCCACCTTGGAGGAGAGGCCGTGGGAGGGGCGGGGAGGTGGCTGCCCTTTCAGAGGGCATTGGGGGTACGGGTGCAGTGGGGCTGGGCTCTCCCCAGCTGGAGTGGTTGCCACTGCTAAGATGGGGACCCCCTCCAACACCTCTGGCCTGGCAGAGGGGGTTCCAGGCTGGATGTCTTGACAAAAGCCAAGGACCATTGGGCTGGTCAGCATGGACAGAGCTCCTGCACCCCCCTCTACCCAGGTCACGTGCCATGTGGGGTGTTTATTGTGGAATGGAATGGGGTGACAATATGGTAACCCCCAACTGCAGCCTGGGCCCCCGTGTTAGACAGTGGGGTTCCAGTACAGCAGCGTGTCAGTCACCCAGGACACCCCAATCCTGCCTTGCAGGATTTGAGCCCCGGGTCCTCTGTAACCTTGGGCCTTTGCACCCACGGGGGAGACCTGCAGATGGGGGGCCCAGGCCCCGTGGGGAGCTGCCCGGCCCACCGGGGCTCCGGCCAGCTTTCCTGCCATCTCCCTTGTGCGTGGGGAAGCTGGCGGCCGATTCCCATGGGGCTCGTTGGCTTTGGGCCAGGTGTGCCTCACTGCAGGATGGAACCTCCTCCGGCCCCCAGGTCAATCCTGAAGGCATCAATGGGACGTGGAGTGAGAAGACGGGGTGGGGAGACCCCAGCATTTAGGGGGGTATAGCTGGGGAGGCATGAGGTAGCAATGTGGACATTGTCAGGTACGAATCGACAGGGCGTGGGAGAGGGTCGGCATGTGTGGGCACCTACCTCCCACCCCTGTGCCACACTGTACTGCCACCGGCTCCTGCCCCCTTGTGGGCACAGACAGCCTCCTGGTCAGTGCTGCACACCTGGTGGCCCAGGGCCGTCACTCTGGACACATCCTGACCCCTGCTGGCTGTGGCTGGCACATGCGGGGCTGGGGAGCTGACCTGGTCCTGCACATCCTGTCACCAGGGGCCAGCTGCAGGGGCTGGGGTACGGCCTCCCCGAGTTGGCTTGAATGGGAGCAGACCTGAGACAGGAGGGCAGCCTCCTCTCGGGTCCCTTCCCTGGTCCAGGTTTCTGCACCCTGATGGGGTGTGTGGGAGGAGGTGGCGGCCCTGGCTGAGGCCTGCAGGGTGCCAGGCCCTCTCTGGCCTGGGTTCATGTCCCTGTGGCCTGCGGGTGGCGAGGATGACAGCCACCTGGGGGTGGGGCTGACCGGCAGCAAGGTTCTCAGTAATGGACCTGCAGTGGGGGTGCTGTCCAGGGTGTCTTGCTTGGGTACGGGGTCCTGCTGGGGTCTGTCTGCCTCTCCCAGTCCGTGTGGACTTCCCGTGACACCTCTCAGAGCGGGCGCTCCGTGGACAGCAGCCAAGGGCTCAGGCCAGCACGTGGAAGTCATGTGCTGTGACCGCGGGCATGTGCACAGAACTGAGTCTTATCCCAAAGGCTGTAGCCTTGTCCCAGCCGGAGGGCAGAGGCCTGCGCTGACCTGGGCAGGGAGCTGGAAGGATGCAGCCAGGACAGGGTCTGGAGGCCGTGGTGGGCTGCCTGGTGGGGGATTAGCAGTGTTGCCATGGCTGCTGCTGTCCCTGCCCCCAGTCTCCCGCCCAACCTCCCCACCCCCCAACATCTTTTTCTGGTTCCAGTTCTCTGGCTCCTTCTAAAATATTAAAACTCACAATGGAATATTAAAAGCAAATATGAAATATTAAAACCTCTCCTCCCATCCCCAACCCCTGGACCTGGTTTCCCCTGTGGGGCCGGATCAGAACCTTGGGTGCACACACTGGGTTCATCTGAGAACGGTCCCTGGCTCCATGCTGTCCCCAGCCCTGGGCAACCCGGGTTCCTTGGCCAGCCTCTGCCCCTCACCATGGGGCCAAGCCTTCCCACAGCAAGGAGTCATTCATGTCTGGGGCTGGAGGGACCCGGTGGCCAGCACAGGTGCTGCTAGCAGGGGTCCAGCTGTGCAGAACCCCTTCCGGCATGCTCCCCACTATTTCCCCGGGGTCAGGGGTCTACCCCGGGCAGCCCTGTGCCTTTCCGGGAGACAGAGCCCCCTGTCCTAATCCTGAGGAGCAACTGACGCAGGAAGCCCAGTCAGCAGCGTGAGGCTCTGACGGTGAGCCGAGACTCCCAGGGCCAGGACCTTAGCAGGTCTCTGTGCTAAGCCCAGCAAAGCTCTGGAAGCCTGTGGCTTCGGTTTCTCCAGGGGCCGGTGGCCTCTCACATGGCCAGACCCTACCCCTCTGCCCAAGAGCCAGGGTGGCCCTCCAGTCCCCACCTGCCCTGTCCCAGGAGCCAGGGTGGCCCTCCAGCCCCCCGCCCACCCTGTGGGCTCATCCAGCCGGAGATGAGCCGGGGCGGTCCTTTTGCCCCCACGTACCCTGTCCCGGGATCCGGGGATGAGCCAGGGTGGCCCTCCAGCCCCCGCCCACCCTGTCCTCCAGCAGCACCCTATCGGGGAAGGTGTCCCAGGAGTCCTCAGCAGGTGTCGCAGACTGACAAAGTGAGAGCCAGGCCAGGCGGCGGGGCTGTGGGTTTACTGGGAGGCTGGGGCGGGCAGTGGGGCGGACTAGGTGTCCTGCTGCTGGACGAAGGGATTGGGGATGGCCTCCATGCCGTCCTGCGGACAGATGAGCACCACCGAGGTGCCCCGGCACACTACCAGGCCCAGCTGCCGTGTGTCCTCCGTTAGCTTGTACTGGTCATCCGGATCTGATGGGGCGAGAGGGGGTGGAGGCTGAGGCAGTGCTGGACGCCCCCCCACCGCATCCCCGCATGCCTCCCCTCACTGTGGTCGCTGCCCATCAGCTCCACCTTCTCGAGGAGAGCAGTGCCGGTCCACATGGGGCAGGGTGGGATGGGTGCAGCTCACCTCGCATGTGCTCAATGGTGCCGTCCAGCACCAGGTTCAGCAGCGGGTCGAAGCCCTTCAGGACCCCGCTGGCTGTGGGCACAGGGTTGGAAAGAGGGATCAGCAACCAGTCCCCGCTGGGGGCAGCCTGCCTGGGGACCCACGGGCACCCTCCTTGAGCTGGGGGCACCCTGCCTGGGGACCCATGGGCACCCTGACTCGCTTGCACAGCATGCACCCCACCTATGGACCCACAGGCACCCTGACCCCATGCACAGCGGGCACCCCGCCTGTGGACCCACGGGCACCCTGACCCCCATGCACAGTGTGCACCCTGCCTGTGGACCCATGGGCACCCTGACCCCATGCACAGCGGGCACCCCGCCTGTGGACCCACGGGCACCCTGACCCCCACGCACAGTGTAAACCCCACCTGTGGACCCACGGGCACCCTGACCCCCATGCACAGTGTGCACCCTGCCTGAGCTGGGGACCCCGCCTGGGGTGTGTGGGCGCCCGGATTCCCAGCGTGGAGACTGCGTTCCCTCCTGGACAGCACCCTAACTCGGGGCGCCCCTGTCGTGTGGCCACGCACCCTGCCCCGCAGCGCCCGGGAGTGGGGTGCTAGGCAGGGCGGCCGGCCCGGGGCCTGCTCAGGGGTCGCCCCGCGTTCGCCCGCGTTCTCCCCGGGACCCCGCTGCCCCGAGCCCCGTTGCCCTCGCGGTCCGCGGCGGCTCACCCTCGCGGCCCCCCTGGAACTTCACGCGGATGGTCTTATCGATGTATTTGGACAAGTCCAAGATGCTCTCCTTCTTCTTCTTCTCCTTGTCCTGCGGGGAGAGCCGCGAGCATGAGGAAGCCGGGCCGCCCCCCTCGTGCGCCCCAATTCGGCCCGCCGCGCGCGCGTGCGCTCACCGCCATCTTCCCGCGTCGCACCGCGCTGCGCCTGCGCGCGCCTGGCCGCTCCCCGTCACCCGCCCGTCAGCCGCCGGCGGCGCGCAGGCGCAGCGCGGCGCCCCGGGAAACATCTCGCGCCGGCGGCGGTTGGACCGGCCGACATGGCGGCGCTGGCGCGGCTCGCGGTGGCCGCGCTGCTCTGGGCGGCCCAGGTGAGGCTGCACCGGGCCGGACAACCTGCTCCCCGCGCCCACGGCCCCCCGGACCCGCCCTTAGGAGCAGCGGGACAGAGGGGGCGCTGTCCCGGGGAGACCCCCCGTCCCTCGCGTCCCCCCGGCGTCCTCGTCCCCCGCCGCCTGTCCCAGGGTGTCCTCCCCAGTCCTGGGGCCCCGGGCAGAGTGGACATGGAGCTCCTGGACACCCCAGGCTTGTGGGCCGGGGGGCGCGGCCCTAGGGGACGCCCGTGACCTTGGCTGGAGGCGGGTGGCCGGGGAGCGCCTTGAATGGGGTCATGGCTGGCCAGGGTCCGCCGGCCCAGGCTGCCCCTGCATACCCGCTCTTCCTCCTGGCCCGAGGGGGTTGGCAACGTAGACGGGGTCCCCTTTTGCAGCCTACCACCATCCTCCCCAGCTGCGGTTGTCAAACGGGCACTGCCCCGTCCCATGGGGCATCCCAGCGTGGACAAGGGGGTGGGGTTGAGAGAGCTCCGGAAGCCAGCTGGCAGTGACCTGGGGGGCCATGGGAGAGGTTGGGGTGCTGCAGGCTGGCCAGGGCTAGCAGGGAAGAACCCAGGGCCCTGGGGCTGGAGTACTGGGAGGGGACCCTCAGCTGGCCGATGGCCCTTATCCTGGGCACGGGGTGCGGTGCCCGGCAAATCGGAACCCTGATCCCACAGCTGTCCCATGCCCGTGCTGCCACCCGCAGCTGTCGTACTTTATTTTGTTTTATAAGGACTTGATTTTATTTGGAAGGTAGATTTATATAGAGGAGACACATCTCCCACCCACTCCCCAAGTGGCCGCATCGGCCAGAGCTGAGCCGATCCGAAGCTAGGACCCAGGAGCCTCTTCCGGGTCTCCCACGCAGGTGCAGGATCCCAAGGCTTTGGGCCATCCTCCACTGCTTTCCCAGGCCACAGGCAGGGAGCTGGATGGGACACGAACTGGTGCCCACATGGGATCCCAGGAGCGGAGTGGGAAGATGTCCATTTCCCACCCGTGGAGCCCCTGAGGCTGGGCTGGCAGACAGCTGCCCTTGCCCCCCACCCCTGCCCCTCTGAGGGAGCCCTAAGTACTGGCCCAGCAGGAGGAGACGCTCGGGTTCCAATAAAGCTGTATTGATAAGCAGGAGGGCTGGTCTGGCGACAGATCCCTGGTCTCTGCAGGAGGGACCTGAACGAGAACTACTCAGCCTTGGGGACTTCCTCCAGTCCTCTGTCCCCGCAAAGCACTGGGGCCCGGGGCCCTGTGAGCCCCCCTGGCTTCCCTGTCACTCCCAGGGCCGTGAATAAAGCCAGCCCTCTTCCCACCAGGGCGGTGCCAGAGCTGCTGGGCCCTGTCACCTGGGTGCGAGGCAGGTCCACGTGTGTGGGCTGAGGCGTCTCATGTGTGGGTGTGGGTTTGTGTCATGTGGACTGAGGTGGCTCACGTGTGTGTCATGTGGGCTGAGGCAGTTCACGTGTGTGTCATGTGGGCTGAGGCAGTTCACGTGTGTGTGTAGGTTGAGGTGGTTCACGTGTGTGTTGTGGGCTGAGGCGGTTCACGTGTGTGTGTATGGGTATATGACATGGAGTGAGCCAGCTCTTGTTGGAGTTGTATATGTGTCTTATGGAGCCCAGGTCATGATCCTGAGTGGTCTGCGTGCCCCGTGCAGCCACAGGTGGGCCTGCAGATGTCAGGTCTGGTACTGTCCCCGCTGGGGTGTCTGCCACAGGTGTCGGGTTCCCAGGTGTCCTGGGTGAAATCCTGCTTGGGGTCACAGCAGGGTCTGTGTCCGAGTTCAGGTGTGGCTTTGGGGAGTGTGAGGCCTTCAAAGTAGGTGCCCACTGGCCTCTGGCCCACGCGTGGCTGCCGTGAGGTATACATGGCTTCCTGAGGCGCAGAGCTCATCCTGGGGCCCGTGGCGGGGATCAGGCAGCTGTGGGTGTAGGGTGCAGGGGGCCTGCTACCTGGTGCTCAGGGTCGCCTGCTGGGTCCCCACGGGCCCTGCTGCAAGCGGGACAGGGGCCATGCTGTCCTGCTGGCTGCGCCTCGGGACTTTACCTTGGCTGGCCTCGGGTGCGGCTGCCAGGGTGACACTCTAGCCCCTTGTGGGCCCACTTTCTGTCCCGCCATCTCGGGGCACCTGAGAGGGCCTCACCCCAACCTCGGGTGTCCTCTCAGGCTGTGGACAGGTCTCCGACCACTGTGTCCGCATTAGTACCTGAGGTCTCACGTGAGAGTGTGTCCCTGGCGGGGTACCCAGTGGCTCCTCAGCGTCCTTCTCCTTGCTGGATCCCTGACCCCAGGACAGGTTTAGGCCCCGATGGCTTGGGGTGTACGCCCGTGGCACAGCGTGTGCCCGTCCGTTTGCGTGCAGGTGGCCGGGGAGTACGGGATGGTGCGCGTGGTGTCGGAGACAGAGGTGCTGCAGGGCAAGGATTACTGCGTCCTCTACAATCCGCAGTGGGCACCGCTGCCCCATGACCTCAGCAAGGCGGTGAGTACGCCCGGCCCTGACGGCCCCAACTCCATGTGGTGTATTCACTTCCTCTTTATGCAAATGAGGACACGTGTGCCTGTGTGTGTGTGTGTGCAAGGCCTGCTGTGCGCACACGTGTGCTGGCGAGGTGTGCCCCATTTGTGTGTAGTTGTGTGTGTGTGTGCGTGTACTCGACACTTCCTCTGCTCGTGGTATCGGGGTGCCCCCTCCAGCCCCGCAGCCTGGGCCCCCCAGATGGGTGGGGTGTTGGCTGGGGCACCCACAGGACTCACGCAGGGCGCGTCCTCCCGCAGTCCCTCCTGCGGCTGCACGACTGGACCAGCTCGCTGCTCTGCTCGCCTGCAGACCTGCCAGCTGATGGCTTCAGCAACCAGCTCGCCCTGGTGGCCCGCGGGAACTGCACCTTCTATGAGAAAGTGAGGCTGGCCCAGGGCAGCGGGGCGCAAGGCCTGCTCATCGTGAGCCGGGAGAAGCTGGTGCGGACCCGTGGGCACATGGTGGGGGGGGGGTCTGAGCAGCTGGGTGGGCCAAAGTGGCCCTGGGTGAGAGCTGTGGGCTCTTGGAGCTGGTCCTGGTGCGGCCTGCCCTGCAGCGGGGTGAGGAACCAGTGCCGAGCCCCCTGCCCCATGGGCATTGGTTGCACCTTGTGCAGAGCGGGTGGCCTGGCAGGTGAGGGCACTGTGTGCCTGCCAGCCTGCTCTGAGTGGGGGCACTGCGTGCCTGCTGGCCTGTACTGGATGGGGAACCTGACTCACCTCTCCTGTCCCAGGTGCCCCCTGGTGGCAACAAGACACAATACGAAGAGATTGGCATCCCCGTGGCCCTGCTCAGTCACAGGGACGTGCTGGACATTTTCCGGGTACGCTGGGAGGGGGCTCTCCCAGGGGTGCTGTGGCAGGTGGTGGGCAGGGTGGGGGAGATGGGCCTTTCCCGTCAGGCCTTGTGGCCCCGTGGTAGCTCTGCCTCTTCTCCGCAGCGCTTTGGGCACGCCGCGAGGGCGGCGCTCTACGCCCCCAAGGAGCCCGTGCTGGACTACAACCTGGTCATCATCTTCATCATGGCTGTAGGCACCGTTGCCCTCGGGGGCTACTGGGCAGGGAGTCGGGACGTGAAGAGGTCAGAGCGCTCTGCTGTGTCTGTGTCTGTGTGTCTGTGCGTATGTATGTTTGTATGTGTGTCTGTGCGTGTGTGTGTGTGTGTGCGTGCGCTCGCGTACGTGCGAGGTGGGTAGGGTTCCCGCCCAAGGGCTGCCCCCCAGTCATGGAAGGTCCACAGAGGTCCCCTGGAGCCCTTGCCCACGTGCCCTCCCTCAGGGCTGTGGGGGCATGCTGTGGGGAGAGCTGCTGGGTGGCCTGGCCTGGGCACGGTGGCACCCGCACAGCTGGCCCCTAGAGTTCCCCACAGTCGCTGGCCACCCCGAAGGCACGAGCATGAGCCCTGCCAGGGACAAGTGTATACCTGGCCTCGTGCCCCCCGTGGGGCCCTCCCCGTGGACTCCCCACTTGTGTCGGCTCCCAGAAGGTATCTGAAGCAGAAGCGTGATGAGGGGCTGGACAAGCAGGAGGACACGGTGGTGGACGTGACGCCAGTCATGATCTGCGTGTTCGTGGTCACGTGCTGCACCATGCTGGTGCTGCTCTACTACTTCTACGACCAGCTGGGTGCGTGCAGGGGCGGGGTGCGCGCGGGGGGACAGGGTCCAACCAGGAGGTGCATGCGGGGACAGGTGCATGCAGGGGCCGGGGTGCCGACCAGCTGGCTGTGTGCAGGGGCCGGGTGCACGCAGAGGTACAGGGGGCCAACCAGGAGGTGCATGCGGGGACAGGTGCATGCAGGGGCCGGGGTGCCAACCAGCTGGGTGCAAGTGGGGCAGGGTGTGTGGGGGGGCCAGAGTGCCAACTAGGGGTGCCGACCAGCTGGGTGCGTGCAGGGGCGGGGTGTGCGCGGGGGGACAGGGGGCCAACCAGGGGGTGCATGTGGGGACAGGTGCATGCAGGGGCCGGAGTGCTGACCAGCTAGGCGCAAGTGGGGCGGGGTGTGTGCAGGGGGACCGGGGGCCAACCAGGGTGTGCATGCGAGGACAGGTGTATGCAGGGGCTGGGGTGCTGACCAGCTGGGTGCGTGCAGGGGCGGGGTGCGCATGGGGCGACAGGGGGCCAGCCAGGGGGTGCATGCGGGGACAGGTGCATGCAGGGGCTGGGGTGCTGACCAGCTGGGTGCAAGTGGGGCGGGGTATGTGTGGGGGCCGGAGTGCCGACTAAGGGTGCCAACCAGCTGGGTGCGTGCTGGGGCTGGGGTGCTGACTGGTGGGGCAGGGTGGGGGTGCTCTCTTAGGGGGCTGGCTGGGCAGGCTGCAGCCCTGCCTGCCCCCCAGCGCGGCTTCCCCCCTGCAGTGTACGTCGTCATTGGCATCTTCTGCCTGGCCTCCTCCACTGGGCTCTACAGCTGCCTGGCACCCCTCGTGCGGAGGCTGCCCTGCTGCACGTGCAGGTGGGGTCCCCCAGCCCGGCCTCCCAGCCAGCACCCCACACCTGTGAATGGGGAGGTGGTGGCTGATGGTGGGCCCCCACAGGGTCCCCGACAACAGCCTCCCATACCTGCGCAAGCGCCCGCAGGCCCGCATGCTGCTACTGGCCGCGTTCTGTGTGTCCGTCAGCGTGGTGTGGGGCATCTTCCGCAACGAGGACCAGTGAGTGCCCCCTCCCCCACATGTCCTTGCCTGCTTCCGGCAGGGCTGCTGTGTCCTGGGTTCACCCTGAGCCACCACTCACCTGTTGTCATGTGAGCCGCGATGGCAATCCCCCGGCCTCGACAGCCTGGGAGCGCTGTCTGGCCTGTAGTCCCCACCCCGCCCCCGTGGGTCGACACCTGATCCTGGCCCACTGCAGTCACGGGCAGCGGTGCCTCCAACCAGCCTCCCCCTTGGGCCGACATGCCTGGCGCCATGGCAGAGGACACCCCGGGCCCTGCCCGCTCCCTGCTGCTATCACCCGCACCATCTGGGGCTTCTCCCATGGTGGCCAAGTGCCCTCAGCTGCCTCGACAGGTTTGGCCGGCAGAGAAATGTGTGGAAACATCTGAGCCCTCCGGGTCCGTGGCGGAATGGGCTGTGGCCGTGGGGCGTGCCGGGGGCTGCCCCAGGGACCCGCGTGACCAGGAGAGCCATCGTTGGAAGCCCTGCCTGTCTGTGCTTGGTTCCCTTGGAACCAGGCTGGGTTCAGGGTCCATTTCGTCAGTCTTAGGCAACAACTTGGGGTGCAGGAGAAGCTGGGTCCCTGCCCCACACCGGGGGACGGGGCGGGGACCATGCTGGTCTGTGCTATCTCAGCCCTGCACTGTCTTGTGAGGGACTTTTCCTGGACCTGGGGAGCTCACCCCTGCCCCCATGCCATTGGGGACCGTGCTGGGTGTGGCTTGGGCTCCCCTGACACTGTCCGTGAGGGGCTCACCCCTGCCCCCGACCCTACCCTACCTGTGTGCACCTTGTCCCTGGGGGTGGCTGAGTGTCTCCCAGCGCCTGCGCGTGATGCGGCCTCCCCTCCCAGGTGGGCCTGGGTGCTGCAGGACGCCCTGGGCATCGCCTTCTGCCTGTACATGCTGAGGACCATCCGCCTGCACACGTTCAAGGTGAGGCACCTGGACGCTGCCGGCCAGTGGCTGCCCCGCTCCTGGACCCCGGGCCCTGCCCAGTGCCTCCCAGGCCCCGCCCCTGGCACCCCAGGACCTGCCCCCTTCCAGCTCCTCCAGGCCCCGCCCCTGGCCCCGCCCCTGGTACCCCAGGACCCTGGCCCCGCCCAGCTCCTCCAGGCCCCGCCCAGCTCCTCTGGCCCCGCCCCTGGTACCCCAGGACCCTGGCCCCGCCCAGCTCCTCAGGCCCCGCCCCTGACCCGCACTGCCGCCCTGCCCGCAGTCTTGCACGCTCCTGTTGCTCGTGCTCTTCCTCTACGACGTCTTCTTTGTCTTCATCACACCCTTCCTGACCAAGGTGGGTGCTCACCACACGTGGTCCTGCCCCAAGCCCCACCCCACAGCCCTCATCCCCCCTGCCCTGCGTGCGCACCCGTCCCCATGCCCCGATGTCGTCTTGTATGCAGAGTGGGAACAGCATTATGGTAGAAGTGGCTACGGGACCCACAGACTCAGCCACCCACGAGAAGGTGTGTATCCTGGCTGGGCGGGCGGGGGTGGCGGCGGCAGGGGGAGGCTCAGGAACTTGGCCTGCTGTCCCCACAGCTGCCCATGGTCCTGAAGGTGCCCCGGCTGAACTCCTCGCCGCTGGCCTTGTGTGACCGGCCCTTCTCTCTCCTGGGTTTCGGAGACATCCTGGTGCCAGGTGCGGGGGCTGTGCGGTGTCGCGCAGAGCAGTCACTCAGGCAGAGCCCCGGGCCCGCCCTCTGAGGTCAGGGTTGTGGTCAGAGCCACGGGTGGAGGGGCCGCTGCCTGGGCACTGTCAGGGTCACGCCTTGCAGGCCGCTGCTGGTCCTGCCTTCACCCCAGGTGCCTTGCTGTGTGGCTGGCAGGACCAGATGTGGGCTCTGTTGACCGCGCCCAGTGCCAGCAGTGCCTGCCTGCCTGTCTCCCCGTAGGGCTGCTGGTCGCTTACTGTCACAGGTTCGACATCCAGGTGCAGTCGTCGCGCGTCTACTTTGTGGCATGCACCATCGGTGGGTCCCCACGCCATGCTTACCTGGGCCTTGTCTGTCGCCTTCTGTCACCAAAATCTCCCCCTGTTCCTGGAGCCTATGCCGTTGAGCAACCGTTTACAGAGATGCCCAGCCCTCCCCCAGGAGCCGGCTGTGGGGCACCTCACCCCACCCTGCATGCTCGCTCCCCCTCACCCTGCCCTGTGTGCCACTTCTCCTGCCCTGTGCCCGCTCTCCCAGCCCCTGCCCCCGTGTGCCCATTCTGCCCCATCAACCCTGCCCCAGAACGCCCTGTCTCTGCAGCCTACGGCGTGGGCCTTCTGGTGACGTTCGTGGCGCTGGCACTAATGCGGCGGGGCCAGCCCGCCCTGCTCTACCTCGTGCCCTGCACGCTGGGGACGAGCTGCGTCCTGGCGCTGTGGCGCCGCGAGCTGGGTGCCTTCTGGACTGGCAGCGGCTTTGCGGTGAATACCGGTTTGCTTTGACTGCCAGGGTGGGTCCCCAGGCCTGCAGGCTCCAGTTGCACCCTCTGTCACGCTGCCCCAGCTGGCATCCCTGTGGGGAGGGGCCCAGGATACCCCTGGCCAGGGGTGGGGGAGCTGGCCCAACCTGCCCTAGGGTGGCTCTTCGCAGTCTGTTCTGGGGTGATCACGAGCTCGGGCCACCTGGCCTCATAGGGACACAGCACCCCGCCACAGCTGGCTAGGGGCATTGACACTTGGTCTGGCCCTCACCCGATCCCCTCAAGGGGCAGAGCTTCCCGGGGTGGCACTCCCAGGCACTGGGGCCCTTGGGGTGTGGCAGCCAGAGGCCCCATGTCCTGGAGGTGCAGTCCATCAGCCATGGCCGCCACCACATCTGCTTCCAGGCCAGATGAGCTGACGTCGGTGTTGGGCGCCAAGGTTCCTGGGCCGCATGTGCCCAGCACCTGCCCGCCTCCGGGCCCACAGTGCCACCAGCGTGAGCACCGTGTTCTTTCTTCTGAAGGGCAGGATTATAGGGCTGGAGGGAAAGGCAGAGGTCTTCCATCTGCTGGCTCGCTCCCCCAATGGCAGGCCCTGGGTGGGGGCCAGGAGCTCCATCTGGGTCTCCCACATGAGCACTCAGGCTGTCCCCCGCTACCATCCCAGGCCATTAGCAGGGAGCTGAATCGGAAGTGGGACAGCCAGGATTCGAACTAGCCCCCTTCTGGAATGCTCTAGCCCAGCCACCTAATCCTACGGGTGGGAGACATTCCAGGCCGGAGCTGCCCACACAGGGGCTGGCCTTGGCTGCAGCCATGCAGCCATAGGGTCGGGCTATCTTTCTGCCTGTGTCCCTGGCTCACAGAGACTCTGCCCGCCCCTGCAGAAGGATCTACCTCAGACTCCATGGGCCCCCAGCCCCGCCGAGAGTCCCCAGCCACGCAAGGACCCGGATGGCCCCACCTCCCCTCTGCCTCCACGGGAAGACCCCGACGGCCTTGCCCTGCCCACCTCGCAGCCTGAGGAGCCTGGGGCAGGGAGCCCTGCCCAGGAGCCCGACTGTGCCCCCACCTGCAGCCCCAGCCCCTCCACAGCTGGGGACCAGGCGCCGACCAGCCCCACAGCCCTCTCCAGCACCTCGGCCTAGAGCGGCCGGCCACGCTGAGAAGGAGGAGTCCTGACACCCCAACCATCCCCTGGACCAAGACCTGCGCCGGGCCGCCCCCTCCCCACATGGTGCTCACGACCCTGGCCAGGTCCCAGGCTCCAGCTCCGCCGTTCCTGCCCCCTCCCCCTCCCCTGCAGCCGCTCCTGGCTCCTGCTGGGTCAAAGCCCCTGGCACAGCTGGCACAGCTGACTCCGCCAGGCCACCCTCTCCTGGCCCTTGGCACCAGGCCCCGGGGCTAGCTGCCTCCCTGAGGCACCTGCAAGCCAGAGCTGGAGGGGCTGTGGAGCTGATCCCCTTCAGCTAGCTGCACTGCTGGACCCAGGGCTGGGAGGCCCAAGGGTGCCAGCTGCCTCCCTTGGTTGGGGAGGGTTGCAGACAAAGCCAGGCTGAGCCCTGGGGCCTAGGAATGCCAGCCGCCACCCAGGTTTAATAAAACCATCATGGCGAAAACTGGTGATGTAGGTTCCATCCACTCGGTCCTGCCTGCAGTGTGGAGGGACCCCGGCCCCGCCTTCACCCCACACCTGCCATCCGCATGGCTTGTCCTTGCTGCCTGCCGCCCTGCTGCCCCACCCGCAGGCTGCGTGGCCCTGGCCACGGCCCAGGAGTTCCTGGGTGCCTGGCGGGCATCGACCCCTCTACCTCACTGGCAGCCCTCGGGGCCCAGGAGACGGAAACTGCAGTGGAGCTGACAGGTGCAGCAGTCCCCTCCGTCATTCACGGCTGCCAAGGTCAAGGTGAGAGACATTTCCATACACCCCCCTGTCCGTCTACGTGGGCTGCTCACCAGGAAACAGCAGCCCCAGACACCTGGAAGAACTGTCCTGTCCTCCAGCCCCAGGCGGCCGCCCCGTGGATGCCAGGATGAGAGACTGCGCCTTAATCCAAGCCATTTTCTACACCCGTGGGAGAGCAGGGGTTCCCGTGTAGGTGTGGGGACTTTGCCCCTCACCGGGCATTTGTATGTTTGCCTCTGTTAGATCTGACAATTAAACGCAGCTTTTCATATTCATGCCTGGGCGCCTGGGCTCCTGTGCTGGGGCGGGGGGGGGGTCAGCCTGGCCTTCGGGGACCCCCACAGGGCCTGGGGGGTGTCACCCCAGCCTGCGTGGGACCCCCTCAAGGTCCAGGAGGCAGGGGGACCAGGACTGCAGGCTCCAGGCTAGCATTTGTGAGGGGTGAGGTCCTTGTGGGAGACCAGCAGCTGGCCCTGCCTGAGGTGAGCTCGCTCAGTGTGGGAGCCCATGAATGCATGTGGCACTGGCCACCCTGCCATGGCTGTGCCAGCCCCTACATCACCCCACGCTATGTACCCCTCCATGTTACTCCATGCCAGGTGCCATCCCCCCATGTCACCCCACACCATGTGGCCTTCATGTCACCCCGTGCCATGTGCCACCCCTCCATGTCACTCCACACCAGGTGCCAGGCTTCCCAGGGAACCAGGGGCCCATCAGGTGTGTCTCCCACACAGGCTCTGTGCTGGGGCCTCAGCCTGCTGACCAAGGACAGGTCTGGGGGGCCGCTTGGCAGCTCGCGGTTCACTCAGGTCATCACCTCCACTCGAGGGACTGGAGGGGGCTGCTCTCTGAGGAAAGGGCTGCCCCCAAGTCCTCTGCAAACGCCAGGTGACCTAAGCAGGAGGGCCAGCGCAGTGGACATCAGGCTCTCTAGGCCCTGGGGGGTCCCGCATAGCCGCTGGCCCGGGGCGCTGAGGTCCCTCCCCACGGCGCACGGGGCCTGCACCCAGCCGCAGCCGGGATGCGGGATTCAAAATCCATCACAGGAAAAGGCGGTTCTAGAAAGACCAGGCCCATCCCGCACGCACTGGGCAGACGAAGCCCCGCCCTCCTAGGGACGCCCCGCCCACGCAGGGTCGCCACGCCCACGCACGGGTCGCCACGCCCAGTCCCCGCCCCGTGTCCCCTCCCTCCCTGGATGGACTTCAGCTCCAGCGGGTCAGTGTGCTGGTGCTGCAGCCCCGTCCCCTGGAGCTCAGTGAGTCGGGGTCGCCCCGCGCCCTGCCCTTCGCCGGGAGCCGGAGCTGTGTGGGCAGAGGCGGGCAGTGTGGATGGAGGCAGGCAGTGTGGACCGAGGGAGGCAGTGTGGACCGAGGGAGGTGGGCAGTGTGGACAGAGGCGGGGAGTGTGGACAGAGGTGGATGGTGTAGATGGAGGCAGTGGGCAGTGTGGACTTACCACCACGGAAGCAGAGCTGGGGGTCCTGTGGCCCAGGTTCTCCTAGCCGACTGTGGGGAAGTAGGGGGCCTTGCCTGGAGCACAGGGGCCTGTGGAGGGAGGGAGTGGGCCCCCCCGGGTGTCTCCCTGGGGTTGGGGTGTGGGTGAGGTCCTGGGTGGGACACTGGACTCCCTCAGATGTGGGTGTGTGTCCTGTGGGTCAGTGAGTCTCACACCACAGCCGATCGGCCCCACTGGGTCGGGGGTGAGACTGTAGGGGTCATGCGTGGCCATGCCTGCTGCTGCCGGGTGCTGGGGTGTGACCACAGCCACCCCTGCCTGGCCCCCCTAGCTGGGGATTTGGGGGGGCAGCCAGCATCCTGGCCCAAGGCAGCGAAGGGGTCCCGCCAGGCCCTAGGTCCCAGGCTTTCCCGGGACATCGCCCACTCTCCCTCTGATGTGCCTGGTGGGTGAGGGTCCCTGAGATCAAAGGTGTGGGTGTAAGCCGGGCTGGGGGGCACTGGGGGTGCAGGCTCCGGGTCTTTTTTCAAATGTGGCTCCCCCTACCTGGCCCCATGCCAGGCTCCCAGGACTGTGGGATTGGGGTTATAAAGCGCCCCCCACCCCCAGAAGCCCCCTCACCCTGCCAGGACCCCTTGACTTTGTGGGTGTCCACGGATATGGGGTGGCAGGGCCCCACAGACGCAGTCATGTCCTCTTCCCACGAAGACCAAACAAAAAGTTCATAGAGCAAAGCCTGACGGCAGCCCGGGAACGGTTGGGTTTCTCTGGCCTTGTGGAGTGATGTGTTCCCTGGGGAGGGGGGCCTGGGAGAGAGAGAGGGAGAGAGAGAGAGAGAGAGAGAGAGAGAGGGAAGGAGAGAGAGGGAGGGAAAGAGAGAGAGAGGGAGAGAGAGAAGGAGGGAGACAGAGAGGGAAGGAGAGAGAGACAAAGGCAGAGAGAGGAAGGGAGAGGGAGAGACAGAGACAAAGGCAGAGAGGGAGAGAGAGATAAAGGCTGGCCTGGGCCTTGGTTCTGAGCCTCTTGCCCTGCAGGCCCCCTGCTTGGCAGCAGCCTGGTGGGCTGCTTTGAGGTCACTCGCCAGTCCTTTGTCCCTCTGGGGGTGCTGGGCAGCCCCCACCCCTGCCTTCCCTGCCAGGAGCGTGTGAGAATGAACCTGCCCCCACTGTGGGCTTCGTGGGCCCAAGCAGTGGGCATCTGCTCAGTGACCTGGGGGCCTGCATGGGTCAGGGGCAACCTCTCAGACCGCTCACTGCGCAGGCGTGCAAGGGTGGGCTCTGAGATTGCCAGGCTTGGGCCTGGTAGGCTTGGAGGAGACCCTGTGCAGTGCAGCCTGGTGTCCAGCGCGCCAGTCCCAGTGGGCGAGCAGGGGCAGAATCCTGTGACTGGTGGCACCTGGCTGGCAGGACTGGGGGCGGGTGGGGTGACCGGCCCCAGTGCTGCACAGTCAGCTCATTCCATCTCACGGCCGTCTGTGCATCAGCTCATCCCTTCTCGCACGACGTCCCCTCCCGCCCTGCACACCAGCAGCCTGCACCTGCTCCCGTGTGCACAGCCCTTCTGGCAGCGACGTGGGGGAGCTGGGGCCCCAGCAGAGGCGCCTGTGGGGTCGAGTCAGGGCACAGTGCTCTGGCACAGCCGCAGGGTCGTCTCGGGCCTCGGGCGTTCACTGATACGGCCCCTGGCCCTCACCTACCCCTGCAAGCGCCTGGTGGCAGCCACCCAGGTGTGTGGCGTGGCAGGTGGCTGCCAGTGCCGCCAGCATTCTTGGGTCATCTTGCTGACTCTTTTTTTTTTCCTCAACGGATTTCTGAGTGGGGAGCTGGGCCCCGATGCTGTGCTGGAGCAGGGCTGGGCTGTCCACCGTGTGGGCTGGGCCAGGGAAACCTGAGGAACAGGGCCTCTGGGAAGCGAGCGTGGCGATGACAGGCAGCCAGCACTGAGGGGAGGGGGTGTGTGTGTGTGTGAGGCCGTCAGCTTGGATCCTGAGCTCCGGGTACCGAGGCTGGGCTGGCATCCTTTGTTGGAATGGCCGCAGTGGCATTGCCTCAAGGAATGTTGGAGCTGGTCCAGCGGGCACCTTGGCCAGCCCACGGGGTCATGCGGGAGCAGGAAGGGGTGGGCGCCTACCTACGTGGCCCCTGCCTGTACCTGCTCTGGTTGGCTCACTCCCTGGCGGACCTCAATGACTTGGAGCTGGGCAGAGCCAAGGCAGAAGCTTTGGGTCTCCCATGCAGGTGCAGGACCCCAAGGCTTTGGGCCATCCTGGACTGCTTTCCCAGGTCACAAACAGGGAGCTGGATAGGAAGTGGAGCAGCTGGGACACTAACCGGCACCCACATGGGATCGCAGTGCAGCGGACAGTGGCTTTGCCCGCTGTGCCACAGTCCTGAGCCTCCATGTGGATGTCTCTAGTGTTGGGGACCAGGCTGGCCACTCCCATGCCGCTATCACACCAGCACTACCGGATAGCGGGTGGCCCAGGTCCCTTGGGCTCAGCTCAGGTGATGCTGGCTTTGAGCCTTCTCTATCATGGGTGGCATCCCGCGCGCGCCACCCCCCCCCCAGTCGTGACAGCCACACGCACATCCCCAGGTGTGGCCATGTGGAGAGCAGGGAGGAATCACTTCCCTGAGAGCCACGAGTAAGTGTGAGCAGTGTGGGGTGGCCGTGTCCCAGCTCTGGCTGGCACCTGCCCAGCCAGCAGCCACGCTCCGGCCACCTTCCACCGCGGCCCTCCCCTTACCTTGTTCCGTGTCCCTGCATGGCAGTCTCCAGGTCCTGCCCGTGTGACCCTCGCCATGGGGCTAGCCACCACGGCTCCCACCCGACCCAAGGAAGCCACGACCACCCCTGCTGCCGCCTGCAGCCGTGTGGCTGCCCCGGTGGCGCTGGCCACCTGCGTGGTCACACTTGCTCTGGGAGTGCTTCTGGGTAAGTGGTCGTGGGGTAGGTGGCTGGGCTTACAGGGGCAGGGGTGTCCACGGAGACAGAGACGCCGGACGCATGAAGTCCCAGTGGGTGTGGAGAGAGGCTGGGGCTGCTGGCCTGGGGCCTTGGAGGGGCAGGCACTGGGCCTGGGGGGTGCAGGGCCTGGATGGTGCTAGCCCAGCCGGTAAAGATGCCAGCTAAGATGCCTGTGTTCAAGTCGCCTTTAAAAAATAACCTCTTCCGGGTCTCCCACACGGGTGCAGGCTCCCAAGGCTTTGGGCTGTCCTCCACTGCTTTCCCAGGCCACAAGCAGGGAGCTGGATGGGAAGTGGAGCAGCCGGGACTCGAACCGGCACCTCCATGAGATCCCAGCACTGCAGGTAGAGGCTTAAGTTGCTGTGCCACTGCACCAGTCCCTGATAACATTTTAAAGGAAAAGTTTCTTGAAGTTTTAATTTAGATCATCTCATGGCCACCTGGTGTGTTTGAGTGAGGCCCCCCTGGTGGCCGTAGCTTCAATGCAATGGATGGTATGAACCAGTGTGTGTCTATGTGAGTCTGTGTGAGCCTGTGTGTGTCTGTCTCACCATCCACACACACCTGAGGGAGGCGTTGACAGGGTGCGTGAGAACCTGGGCTCCAGCCTGGGTGAGGAAGAGCCAGGGGCTGGTGGACGAGTACCTGTAGCATCCGGGAGTTTTTTACATGGGTCCCTGTTGGATACAGCCGTGGGGCCTTCAGTGGGGAGCTGGAGAGAGCAGATGGTACCCGCCCCCTGGGTGCAGGTGCAGCTGGCATGAGCCATGCGGGGACTCGCTCACTCTCTCTCCCTCCCACAGCCTTGCTCTCTGCTCAGGGCGTCCGCGTGGAGCACACGGCCGAGCTGCGTGGCCTGCGCTTCGCCAGCAGCCTGTGGCATGAGACCTCGGCCTATTCCCGGGCGCTCACGCCCGTGCTGCAGGCACTGGTAGGGGCAGACCCGTGGGGAGGCGCTCGGGGACCGTGGTCCGCGTGGGGGCCTCAGCATGTGCCCTGTGGCTCCCCGTCACAGTTTGTCAGCAGCTTTCGGAAGACAGAATTAGAGGAGAGCTGTGTGGGCTGCACCGTGCTGGGTTACGGGTAAGTGCCGCTTCCCGAGGAGGGGCCAAGGGGGTCTTGGGGAGCTTCTGGGATCTTCCGGAAGGCTCTGGTACAATCTAGAAGATTCTGTTAGATCGCAGAAGGTTTGAGAGATTGTATCTAGAATATTCTGGAAGGTTTGGTGTGTGTGTGGGGGGGATTCTGGGACTCTGGGAGATTCTAGAAGATTCTTGGCTGGGGCGGGGGTGGGGGGATTCTAGAGGATTCCAGAAGTTCTGGGAGAGTCCGGGAGATTCTGGCAGAGAGGTGTACCTCTTTCTCCTCCCCATAGGGATGGGAACTCGAGCGTCCTGGTCCACTTCCAGTTGCACTTCCTGCTGCGGGCACTCTGGCCACTGAGCCTGGGCCTGGAGGAGCAGCTTCTGCAGCGGGGCGTGCGGGCCCAGCTGCGGGAGCATGGCATCCCCCTGTCCCCCTACGGCACCATCTTATCGGCCGAGCTCACCGGTAAGCAGGGCTGGGCTAGGCTGGCAGCCTCCCTGGGTGCCCGTCAGCAGGGAGCTGACCCCACTGCTGTGTCTCACCAGGAGTTAGTGCTGGGTCTGGATCGCACCAGCTCAGGGCCTCGCCATGGGGAAGGATGGCTGTGTCCAGTGCCAGTGAGGCCTCATAGACACTGCCAGGCCATGGGCATCATGTCGGAGCTGGCTGCCCTGTGGGCTCCGGGCTCCGGATAGACCTAGCGGGGCCCAGTGACCACGGGTCTGTGTTTCCCCACAGGGCGCCCAGGGGGCGTGTGGACCGAGAACGACTTGAAGTCAGGTGTGTTGTTCACCCTCCCTGCCTGGAGGCTGGCCATCAGGGTCAGGGTCGCCCCTCAGGGAGATGGGGCTGCGGTCAGCAGGTGCTCATGGGTGGGGGGAGCCCCTGCCTGGGCGTGGCCCGGGATCCTGTCCCTTGGGTCCCTGGAGAGGCCGTCTGTGGGGTGGATTCCTAGGAGGAGAGCCGGGGAGCAAGGGCATAGCGGCTGGAGTGGGTTCAGCCATGGCCCTGACCCTGCTGCCCGCTCCCTGGCCCTGCTGTCCGCCTGTCCACCGGCCCACTTCCTGGCCACTGAGGGATCAGGGCGGGTGGACCGTGAGGCCGTGTCGATGCGCGTTGGCCGAGTGGTCGTCATCGTCCTAGGGCTGGGGGGTCGGTCAGCGGGAGAGGGGCCGGTGTCCCCCGAGAGCTGGACGGGCAGGGCAGGGGGCGGGGCCGAGCGGGTGGGCGTGGCCTGCAGCGGTGGGCGTGGTCCTGTCATGGCCCCGCCCCAGGGGAGCCGGGCCGTGGACACCTGGCTGCCCGGCGTGCGCTCCTCGTTCCTCTGTTGTTAACTGTGCGTTTTCCCTCGAGCGGCGGAGTGAGCGGCCGGAAGCCGTGCGCCCTCGGTCCTCACGGCCGCTCCGTCCGCCCGCAGGCCGCTGTCCCGGGAGCTCCTTCTCCTGCCGCAATAGCCAGTGCGTGGCCAAGGTGAACCCCGAGTGCGACGACCGCGTGGACTGCTCAGACGGCTCGGACGAGGCGCACTGTGGTCAGCTTGGGGGGCCCAGAGGGGCTGGCAGCTCAGAGAACCCGGGAGGGGCAGGCAGCTCGGGGGACGCCGGGTGTCCAGGCCGGCTCTGGGGGCATTGGAGGGGCTGGCAGCTTGGGGGACTCCACGTGGTGTCCAGGCCGGCTCGGGGGGCATTGGAGGGGCTGGCAGCTCGGGGGACGCCGGGTGTCCAGGCCGGCTCGGGGGCACCGGAGGGGCAGGCACCTTGGGGGTGCCAGGTTTCCAAGGCGGCTCGGGGGCATTGGAGGGGCAGGCAGCTCAGGGGACGCCGGGTTTCCAGGCTGGCTCGGGGGACCCTCACCCCCAGCCCCTCCAGCCCCTCCAGCCCCCCGTGTCTTGCAGAGTGTGGCCGGCGGCCAGCCTGGAGGACGGCCGGCCGCATCGTGGGTGGCGAGCAGGCGGCCCCGGGCGAGTTCCCCTGGCAGGTCAGCCTGCGCGAGAGCAAGGAGCACTTCTGTGGGGCTGCCGTGCTGGGCGCGCGCTGGCTGCTGTCCGCTGCCCACTGCTTCAACGAGTACGCTCCCCACCCTTGGGCCCCCGGCAGACACCCCACCCTCCTCCCTGGCTGGTTGTTCACTCAGAACGCATTCTTGTAAAAAAGTTACCTCACTGGACAGGCAGATCTTCCATCTCCTGGTTCACTCCCTAAATGGCCACAAAGGCCAGAGCTGAGCCTAAGCCTGGGGAGCAGGAGCTTCATCTGAGTATCCCCCGCGGGTGCAGGGACCCAGGAATGTGGGACACTGGTGTCCCCAGGGTCAGCTTGGCTCAAAGAGCCCCAAAGGGCCGGCAGGGGCAGCTGGTCAAGCTTCTGTCCTGGGGCCACTCCGATCCCTGGCGCAGCCCTGCTCGTGGCGGCTGGACAGTCACCCAGCTGCTCCGGGAAGGCTCTCTCTCCCCCAGGTCTCTGAGCCCCTCTCCCTGACCCGCAGGTTCCAGGACCCCCGTGAGTGGGTGGCGCATGCGGGCTGCACCTCGCTCAGCGGCTGGGAGCCCAGCACCGTGCGCGCCCGCGTGGCCCGCATCATCCGGCACCCTGGTTACAACCCGGACACGGCTGATTTTGACGTGGCCCTGCTGGAGCTGGCCCGGCCGCTGCCCCTGGGCCGCTATGTGCAGCCCGCATGCCTGCCGGCCGCCTCCCATGTCTTCCCGCCTGGCAGAAAATGCCTCATCTCCGGCTGGGGCTACCTGAAGGAGGACTTCTGTGAGCAGCTGCCCTGAGCCTGGAGTGGGATGGAAAGAGACAGAAAGAGAAAGATCTTCCCTCTGCTGGTTCACTCCCCACGTGGAGCCAGGAGCCTCCTCTGGGTCTCCCACATGCGGGTGCAGGCTCCCAAGGCTTTGAGCCTTCCTCCACTGCTTTCCCAGGCCACAGGCAGGGAGCTGGATGGGAAGTGGGGCAGCTGGGACTTGAACCCAGGCCCCTCAGGTTCCCCAGGGGCGGCAGGTTCTAGGTCTCTGGTAGAGCTGATGGGAACAGGGCTGAACCATGAGCTGGTTCTGAGATGGGGTGCTGGGAGTCTGGATTGGGGGTGATGGAACCCTTGCAGTTTAGATGGGCCAGTTTAGATGGGTTCAATGCAGTTCTGGGGAGAGCTGGGCTTTGGGGTGCCCAAGGTCCCCGCCCTCACGCTGCCAACGCCCTGCAGTGGTGAAGCCCGAGCTGCTGCAGAAGGCCGCGGTGGAGCTGCTGGACCAGGGTCTGTGCGCCGGCCTCTATGGCCCCGCGCTCACCGACCGCATGCTGTGTGCCGGCTACCTGGATGGCAAGGTCGACTCGTGTCAGGTGCGCCCCTGGCCAGGCACCCCATTGCTGCAGACACAGCAGGAGCCAAGCCTGGGGCTGCCCCTGGGTGCCTCCCACCCGCTCCTTGGACGTAGATGGCATGGTGTGATGGGCTGTGGCCGCAGGCCAGTCTGGGTAGGAGGCACTGCCACTGCCCTCCTGTGCCCATAGGGGAGGCTTCACCTGTGCGTCCTGCTGGGGCCCGGGGCTGCGCCTGGTGTGGGGGAACCTCATGTGACCCTGAGCAGACGCCCGCTTTTTGGGCCCCCCTCTGCTGGAGCTGTTCTGTCTGCTCCCCCCAGGGCTGGACCAGTGGGGGGGGATGCCATGGTGCAGGGCTCCCCCACCTGCCCTGAGGTGTGGCCCCTCCCCAGGGGGACTCGGGGGGCCCACTGGTGTGTGAGGAGCCCTCGGGCCGGTTCTTCCTGGCGGGCATCGTGAGCTGGGGCATAGGCTGTGCGGAGGCCCGGCGCCCGGGGGTCTATGCCCGCATCACCAGGCTACGTGACTGGATCATGGAGGTGATGACCTCGGGCAGCCTGCGCCCACCACCCAGCGCCCTCCAGAGCCCGACGGTGGACAGGCCCAGGCCAGCCCCCAGTGCAGCACCCCCAGGCCCAGTTGGCACCCCTAAGCCACCAGGTACCTTGCTGGCAGGCGGGTGTGCAGGGCTCAGATGGTTGAGCATGTCTGTTAGCAGGAGTGGAGGCGAGGGTGGGGGTGGGCGCCTGCGGCCGGCTCACTTCGCCACCTGCAGCAGGAGCTGGGGGCTCTGCCTGGGATGGGGGTGTGGAAATAGGGGCGTCAGGAGATGGTCCCCCTGCTGGGGCATTCCGTCGATGGCCATGGCCAGGGGTTCCATCCAGGACTCCCCAGGGGTGCAGGGGCTGGATGCGAAGTGGAACAGGTGGGACTTGAACCGATGCTTGCTGTGGGCTGCCAGCTCGCTGCAGGCAGGGGTCGTGTCCCAGGCAGGGCTAGTGAGGGTCTGGTGGTATTCTGGGTGTCAGAGCGGCTGCACGCCCTCGTCTCCTTGCAGCATGCGGGGCCAGGCCGGCCATGGAGAAGCCCACCCGCATCGTGGGTGGGCTGGTGGCGGCGCCCGGGGAGGTGCCCTGGCAGGCCAGCCTGAAGGAGGGCTCACGGCACTTCTGCGGTGCCACCGTGGTGGGCGACCGCTGGCTGCTGTCTGCAGCACACTGCTTCAACCAGTAAGCGCCCCCCGCCCAATCCTGCCCTACTGGGCGCCGCTGGCTGGGTGGGTACTGAGTGGGGGTGGGGGAGGTGGTTGGCTGTGTGCTTGGTGCAGGCGGGGTGGGGGGCGCTGAGGCGCATCTCTCGCAGCACCAGGGTGGAGCAGGTGCGCGCCCACCTGGGCTCGGCGTCCCTGCTGGGCGTGGGCGGCAGCCCCGTGAAGGTGGCACTGCGTCGCGTGGTGCCGCACCCCCAGTACGACCCGCGACTGCTGGACTTTGACCTGGCTCTGCTGGAGCTGGTGCGGCCCCTGGCCTTCAACCCGCACGTGCAGCCCGTGTGCCTGCCGCTGGCCATCCACGACTTCCCCGTGGGCCGCAAGTGCGTCATCTCGGGCTGGGGCAACACGCAGGAGGGCAACGGTGAGGCCCGCGCCGCCCGGCGGGTGCGCTCCTGCAATCTTGTGGGCGGTGGGGGGACCACCGGCGTGAGCTCAGGGTCACCCGGCAGCCAGCAAGCCGGACGCGCTCCAGCGCGCGTGGGTGGGCATCGTGGACCAGAAGACGTGCAGCGCACTCTATAATTTCTCCCTCACTGACCGCATGCTGTGCGCCGGCTTCCTGGAGGGTCGTGTGGACTCCTGCCAGGTGTGTGGGGGCAGCCTCCCCCCAGAACACACAGGGCTCCCCTCTCCTCTGCAGGGCCAGGGCACCCAGGGCTACCCTCTATTCCAGGGGGACTCAGGGGGTCCACTGGCCTGCGAGGAGACACCTGGTGTGTTCTATCTGGCCGGCATCGTGAGCTGGGGCATCGGCTGTGCGCAGGCCAAGAAGCCAGGCGTCTACACCCGCGTCACGCGGCTCAAGGGCTGGATCCTGGAGACCATGGTCTCCCCGCAGGCCACCCCCAGCCCCCCGACACCGGCCCCCAGCACCAGCCCACCCCGCGCTGAGGTCACCAGCCACCCTGTCCCAGCCACCACGACTGCTGGGAGCACCCCAGGCTGGGCGCAGACGCCCCCTCCAGGCCCCCCAAAGACCACGCACCCCCAGCTGCCAGGTGCGGCAGGAGGGGGTGACGTGGGCAAGGGTTCCCACCATGGGGCATCCCCAAGGCCTCTCCCGGGCTCAGAACCTGAGTCACGTTCTCACTGGAGACCCCAACTTGCCAGACAAGGGTGACCCCACCCACGGAGAGTCCCCTTCCCACCTTAGGAACTGTGGGAGGGCAGGTCACGGGACATGGACGGCTGACCCAGGGGTGCTGGCAGGACCCCCGCAGGGGCGAAGAGCCCCCTAATTAGGAAAGGCGGGGTTGGGGAGCCCCGGCGCCCTCCGACGCGCAGCCCGGCTCCCCCGCAGACTGCGGCCTGGCCCCGGCGGCCCCGCTGAGCAGGATCGTGGGCGGCAGCGCGGCGGGGCGCGGCGAATGGCCTTGGCAGGCGAGCCTGTGGCTGCGGCGCCGGGAGCACCGCTGCGGGGCCGTGCTGGTGGCTGACCGCTGGCTGCTGTCCGCTGCCCACTGCTTCGACGGGTCAGTTTTTTCCCAGTCCTGCCCTACCAAACCCACGGGGGAGTGTGCAACGCTCCGATGGGGTACACGGGTTCAGAGGCCACCAACCCCTCACAACCCACCCCATCTCCCCGCGCAGCTATGGGGACCCCAAGCAGTGGGCGGCATTCCTGGGCACCCCGTTCCTGGGCAGCGCTGAGGGCCAGTTGGGGCACGTGGCGCGCATCTACAAGCACCCCTTCTACAACCTTTACACGCTCGACTACGACGTGGCGCTGCTGGAGCTTGCCACGCCTGTGCGCCGCAGCCGCCTGGTGCGCCCCATCTGCCTGCCGGGGCCCGCGCCGGGAACCCCCGACGGTGCACGCTGCGTCATCACAGGATGGGGCTCGGTGCGCGAGGGAGGTAGGGGCGCGCCGGCGGAGTGTGGGGGAGCTGGGGGTGCCGGGCCTCGTCCCCGCCTGTGCCCCACCATCACCGCGTGTCCCTGCAGGCTCCATGGCGCGGCAGCTGCAGCAAGCGGCCGTGCGTGTCCTGAGCGAGCGCAGCTGCCGTCGCTTCTACCCGGTGCAGATCAGCAGCCGCATGCTGTGCGCCGGCAGCCCGCAGGGCGGTGTGGACAGCTGCTCGGTGAGTCCCCCGGGGGGTAGCCTCACCGAGGGGCACACACACCCTGGGTGCGGCTAGCCCCGGTTTCGCCTCTGCTTCCCTCCAGGGTGACGCCGGGGGTCCGCTGGCCTGCAGGGAGCCCTCTGGCCGGTGGGTGCTGACTGGGGTCACCAGCTGGGGCTATGGCTGTGGCCGACCGCACTTCCCTGGAGTCTACACCCGCGTGGCGGCTGTGAGGGGCTGGATCGGGCAGAACATCCAGGACTGAAGGCCGCGGGGTCCCCCAACTGCCACCTTAATAAACACTGCCCGACTCCAAGCTCGCTGGCTCCGAACCCGTGTCCTGGCACGCGTCCGAGGGGGCACAGCATGCGGCAGGGAGCTGGGGGTCCCCAACCACCGCCTGCAGCCCTCGGGGGCGCAGCTCCGACCCCATGGAGCTCAGAGTTCGACCCCGGGCACTCGGGGCGCTGCCTCCCCAGCCCAACAGGCCGGACACCAGGGCACGTTGCTCCCTCTCCACTGGTCCTTTATTGGCCCCTCCCTCCAGGCAGGGTGGGAGCCCCCAGCCCCCCGAGGTCACATGTTGGCACGCTCCCGCTGCAGCCGCGAGTTGTAGGCGCGCGACACGGTGTTCCAGGCGTCCATGTAGCGGTCCATGCACATGGCGAGGCACTTCTGTGGGGGACGAGGGAAGGGCGACTCAGCTGCGTCCAGGGCCTGGGACCCCCCATCCCGCAAGGACCCCGCAGTGAAAGTCCCAGAACCCCACACACCCCACGGGGACCTCCACATTCCAGGACCCCGCACTGCACAGCCCCAGGACCCCCACACCCCAGGACCCTGCACTGCACAGCCCCAGGACCCCCACACTCCATGACCTCCATGACCCCCACACCCCAGGACCCCCACAGCCCGCGGGGACCCCCGCGCCCCTCACCTGCTCCGAGTTGTCCAGCGAGCCCCCCGGCTTCCCGATGCACTTGCGGAAACACTTGTCCGTCATCCTCTGCGGAGACACGCGCCGAGGCCTCAGCCGCCGCCCGCGACCCCCGCGCCGCCCCCGGCCCGGCCCGGCCCGGCCCGCACCTGCAGCAGCTCCTGCGCGTTGGCCACGGCGATCTGCACCTTCACCTGCTCCATGATGAGCCCCGGGTCCAGCTTCCCGCCGCCCGCGCCCCCCAGGTCCGAGCCGAAGCCGCCCTCCATGGCGCCGTCACGCCGCCGCGCGCGGGGCCTCACGGGAGCAGGCGGCACCCCCGCCCGCCGACTGCAACTCCCACAAGACCGCGCAGCCGCTGCGCACGCGCGCTTCCGACACGGGAGGGGAGGTGGCGCGCCTGCGCACGAGTAGAAAGGCAGCCAGGGCGGAGCCGAGTCATGTGACGCACGCCAGGCCGCCGGAAATACAATGAAAACGTTTATTGGAGTGTCTGTACAAAAGGTTCCCGCCCCGGACGCGCTGCCCCGCGCCCCAGACCCGCTCCCCGGCGGTGGTCGGCCTCCGGCGGCCCCGTACAAAAATAAATATCCGTTAAAAAAATAACTTCTGTGGGTGTGGGTGGGTGGGTGGCCTGGAACCGCCGGCCGGTGGGCAGCAGCTCGGGCAGGGAGGTGGGCGCACAGATGGGGTACGCGCGGGGCGCGCACGGTGACACGGGGTACACATGGTGACACGGGGTACCCACGGGGCGCGCATGGTGACGCGGGGTACACATGGTGACACGGGGTGCCCGCGGGGTGCGCACGGTGACACGGGGTACACATGGTGACACGGGGTGCCCGCGGGGTGTGCACGGCCGACACAGGGTTCCCACAGTGACACGGATTACTCACAGGGTGCCCCCAGCCCACGTAGGGTACACCCGGCGACCCGGGGCGCCCGCCCATGTCCCCATCTGACGTGGACAGGCCCACACCGCCCACTCGCCCCTGGGTGGCTGTGTTTCGAGGGGCACACACACACGGGGGGCTGCGGGGTGTCCTGTGCAGCACGGGTGGGATTCCACGTGGGCTCTCGAGAAGCTCGCTCGTCCCCCCACGCCATCCGCTTGGTCCATGGGCAGGTCAGGTATGGGGGCGTGCAGGCTGGCCATGGGGCGCAGGGCAGGCGGGATGGGGGCCCACGGGGCTGGCTACGGGGTGCAGGATGGACGGGGCGGGTCCCAGGAACCTCCATTGTGGAGTGGGGGGATCATGGCAGGGATCCCACCCACACCTGGGGAAGCTGCTTAAAAACTGGAGAAGTGGATCACAGTCTAGCAAAGCCAATGATAGAAAAACAGTAGTGGGGATCGCGGGTGGGCGGGCGAGGGGCTCACATGACGCGGCAGCCTCTCGACGTGGTGCGGGGGTCGCCCTGCAAGGGAGGGAGGGCGGTGAGTGCGGCGGCCACCCAGCGGACAGGGGTCCCCGGCCCAGGGGCCCCGCCGGGACTACCTGCTGGTGGAACAGGTCCTCCTCGCCCAGCTCGGCCTCCTCGTCGTCGTCTTCCGCCTCCTCCCCGTCCTCCTCATCCTCCCGCACCGCGGCCGACTGCTTCACTGTCCGCATGGCCACCTCCTGCGGGTCAGGGCTGCTCTCAGCCGCTCCCCAGGAGCCCCCTGCCCACCCGTGCCCGCACCCAGGGGACCTGTTACCCACCCGCGCCCACGCACCTCGCCATCTGCGTTCACCAGCACCGTGCGCACACTCTCACCCGTGCCCCAGCTGCTCTGGCTCTTCCACACCAGCGTGGCTGGGGGGCTGTGTGCCACGCCTGCACCTGCGGCCCACACCTGGGGACCAAGCAGGATCCACAAGGTCAAGGCGGGTGAAGGGGCTGCCCCAACACAGTCTGTCCACCCCACACCTGGTACCCTGCACACAGACCAGGCCCCCCACATCCCACCTGGGGCCCCTACACACTACCCCCAGCCCAGGCCCCCCACACCCTACACCCGGTGCACACCACACCTACCGTGACCGTCTGGCCAGCGCGCAGCACGTACTTGGGTGTGAACTTGTATGCGATCTCATCACCCTCCAGCACCTGCCGCTTGATCCTCCAGTTCCCTAGGGGCTGGTCCTGCAGTGGGGCGAGGGCATGCTGGACCACCGTGGCCGGACCCCCAGCCCGGAGAGGGGAGCCCCTGCCAGCCCTGCGCCCCTCACCTTGTCTGAGGTGTTCTTGAGCTGCACGAACCGACCCTCCAGGTCCACCTCGGCGATGCTAACGCCGCCCGCGGCCGAGGCCTGCTGAGCCAGGCGGAAGCTGCTGCTGCTGCTGCTGTGGCTGGACGCGCTGCCCGCTGGCTCCTCCACCTCCACCCGCCGCCGCTTGCTGCGCCCCGGGCGCGCCGCCGCGGACACGCTGCTGCCACTGCTGCTCGACGTGGCCCGCGAGATGGTGACACGCGAGGACGGGCTGGGGCTCAGCTTCAACCTGCGGAGTGGGGGCGCGACTCAGCTACCTGGCCCTGAGGGCCCCACCTCTCCTCCCGCTTTCCCAGCTTCTCCTCCCGCCCCACCTCTCCTCCCCCCCTCCCAGCCTCTCCTCCCAGCCTCTCCTCCCGCCCCACCTCTCCTCCCGCCCTCCCAGCCTCTCCTCCCGCCCCACCTTTCCTCCTCGCCCTCCAGCAGCTTGCGGTAGGCGTTGATCTCCATGTCCAGGGCCAGCTTCACGTCCAGCAGCTCCTGGTACTCCGCCAGCTGCTGCTGCATCACCTCCCGCAGCTCGGTCATCTCCCGCTCCTTGGCGTCCAGTAGTTTGCGAAACTTGTCACGCTCGCCGGCCGCGCTTGCCTCTAGCTCCCGGATGCGTTCCTCCGCGGCGTTGGCCTGGGCAGGGGCAGGGCACGGGCAGGTCAGGGTGCATGGCGGCGGCCCGAGGGGCTGGCCTGGGCAGCTCAGGACAGAGTTCGGGTTCACCTGCTTCTGCAGCCCGGCCAGCTGGAAGCTGAGGGACTCCACGCGCACGCGCGCCTCCTTCAGTTCCTCACGCGCCGCGCTGGCCGCCTTGTCGTTCTGGTCCGAGCTCAGCTTGGCGTGGTCCAGCTGCGGGGAGCCGGGCGGGGTAAGGGCACAGGCCGGTGCTGGTGAGGAAGCCGGGTGCAACGCCCGTGCCCGTGTCCCGCACCTTGGCCTGGTAGCTCTGCTCCAGCTCCAGCCGGTAGAGTCGCACTTGCTCGTCGTGCTGGCTGCGCAGCTCCTCCAGCGCCTGCGCCATCTTGAAGTCGTATTCCTGCTGCCGGCTGCTGTCCGCCTCCACCAGCCTCCGCTCGTGCCGCCGCCGCGTCTCCCGCACCTCCTGGGGGTGCGGCCCGCCGTGGGTCAGCACGCTGGGCGGCCGCCCCCTGGTCACCAAGCACCTCGGCCCCGAGGCTGCTGTCCCCCTGGCCCCCTACTCGAAGCCCACTTGCGCCAACCCCAGACCTCATCAGGAGCCCGTGGGCTCGGATGGCCTGCTAGCTTACCAACTGGCGGCCCCCAGCCCAGGCAGCCCCCCAACCAGGGCAGCATGAGTCAAGGACTCTGCCCCACATCCAATGGGAGGTCCCCCCAGAATTCCCAGTTTGAGCCTGCCCCAGCTCTGGCTGTGGCAGGACGGGAGTGCTGGCATGGTGCCCCCCACCACGCACCCACCTTCCCAGCTCGGCTGCCGGCACTGCCCTGCCCTTGCTTCCCACAGAGGTCTCCCCTCAGGGGTCTCTGCTCAGCTCCCCGCAGTCTCCAAGTTGCAGACACCCTACTGAGCTCTGCCAGCCTCCCCGTCTTCAGCCTGACCCCCAAGGCCCCATCCGCTGCTCCTGCGGCCCCAGGATGCGGGCAGGGCAGACATTGTGCCCGGCCCCGCAGCTGCATGATGCCAACTGGCCAGCGGCTCAGAGGGCAATGAGGTACAGTCCCCCCCACACGCGCACTGGGTTCTGCCCCAGCTGTGACAGCACAATGGGTGAACCCGAGAACTCAGGGTGCGGGGCAGTGGCTGGATGCGGGGCCCATCTCAGGACAGTGACTCCAGCCCTGGGCGGGCCCCGGGCCCAGTGCCCCACCTCCTCAAACACGCTCTTGCGGAAGTCCAGCTCCTCCTGTAGGCTCTGGCAGCGGTTTTCCAAGTCCACCCGCGTCAGCGTCTCTTTCTCCAGCTGCTGCTTGGCCACAGCGTGGCCATCCTCAGCCTGGGAGACACAGCCGGCTCAGGGCCCGTGGACCTCACGCACCCCGACCGACCCTGCCCCGCGAGGCCCAGGTCCTCACCTTGGCCAGTTGGGCCAGGAGCTCAGACACGTCACCCTCCAGGCCTCGCTTTTCGCTCAGGGCGGTGGCCAGCTCGGCCTCACTACGTTGCAGCAGCGCCTCCAGGTCCTTCACGCGGCCCTGAGCCCCGGCCAGCTCAGTCTCACGCTTCTTGGCGCTGGAAGTCATGGGGTGCATGAGCACGGGGGTCGGGGCACATGCTGGGGCCCAGTGGCCAGTCCTGGCCTGCCATGGCCGCTCAGAGCCCCGGCAGCACGTATCCTCCGTGCGGTCTGTGTGGGCAGGGAGCTCTCCGAGGCTGTGGACGGGCCTCACGCCCAGATCCAGGCCCCGCGGCGTCTGGCCTCAGAGGAGCTGACCTGCTGGAAACTTCTTCTCCCTGGCACGTGGGGAAGCACAGCGCGTGCCCCCACAGTGGGCCCAGCAGAGGGCTGGGGTGCGGCATAGCCCAGTAACCTGCTCTCTTAAGATGCCGGTTCCATGCTCAAGCACCCGGGGAGTGGGAGGCGCCAGTGCTGAGTGACCCTGGGCACCAGCAGATGACCCAAGGCTGCGTGGTCACCATGCACATGGGGCAGGAACATCACGCAAAAAGGGGGTGGGCGGGGCACGGAACAGCCACTCCCAGACATGCCACTTTCCTCCTTGACGTATCACTGCCCGGCCCGCTTCATCCAAGGACAAAGCAGGGTGCAGGTGTGTGCCCCTCAGGTTCCGGGGTCCTAGCCCCTAGGTCCTGGGGTCCCTGTCCAACGGGTTCCCACCCCAGGTCCCCGCCCAGCAGATGCTCACCCCCAGGTCCTGGGTCCCTCACTCCCCAGCTCCCTACCTCTTGCTGGCCTCCTCCAGCTGGGCCTGCAGCTTGCCGGCCTCGATCTGCAGGCGGGCACGTTCCCGGGCTGTCTCATCCAGCACCCTGCGGGCGTCGGCCAGCTCCGCCTCGAACAGCGCCTTGACGCCGCTCACCTGGGGGAAGGGGAGCCAGCTGGTGTCCCCAGGGCACAAGGAGCCAGCTGGTTTTCCCAGGCCACCCCAGAGCACGTCCCTCACAAGCCCTGGCAGAACCAGTGGTGGCGGTCAGACCCCTGCCTGCAGCCACCAGCGCCCCGCATCACCCGGTCCGAGAGCCCCTCCTCGAGGGCCTGGTGCGGCAGCATGGCAGGGTCAGCCTTGGGCTGTGGCGCCATGTGGGTGCCCACTCAGGCGCTGGGAAAGAGGCAGAGGACGACCTGAGTGCTTGGGCCCCTGCATCCAGGTGGGCGTCCCAGAGGAGGCTCCTGGCTTCCAACCAGCCACCGCGGTCACTCGGGGAGTGAACCCATAGATGGGAGATGTTTCTCTCTGTGTATAACTCCACCTTCTGAATACACAAATGTTGGTTCCAGGTCTTAGGGTGCTCCTGGGGGATGCACGCTGACCGCTCCCCAGACAGCCCAGACTGAAGGGGCGGCTCCTCCAGGTAGCAGTGCAGCCCCAGGCTGTACAGGATCAACTGCTCCCATGTGTGTACACACACACACACACACACACACACACACACCCCGGGGGCTTCACTGCCCCCCCCCCCAACAGCTGCTGTTGCTGCCGTGTGGGGAGGGCGGCTCCCAGCTGCCCCATGTGTCCCACAAGGCTGGGAACCAGAGGCCTCCAGGCAACAGCTGCCCCACCGGGGCCTCCCAGCCCTGCCCTGCCCATGGGGCCACTGGGGACCAGGACCTATGCCAGCCAGCCCCACAGGCAGCTGCCTTGGCTCCTGCCCACGCTGACCCCTCCACCTGCCCCTCCGCTGGCCAGGCGCCCAGTTGCGAACGGGCCTCGCATCTCCCGCGGGCCTGGCACCCCCTCTGCACACACAGGGCGGTGGACACCCCCTCCCCCAAGAGAGGGACAGGCACAGAGGCTGCAGGGCTGCCCCTAATGTCCCGGCAACCCCTAAGAGACAGACTGCCTCTTTGCACCCCACATGGCCTCTAGCCCTCTCTGGACCAGGGAGAAGACCCCCCCACATTCCACAGGAACCTTCAAGGCCTGAGGGACCTCCTTGCTCAAGGGGCTCCCCAAAGATGCATTTAGGCTTCTCAGCGGAGGGTGCTGCGCCGTGAGGTCCACGTGGTGGGCGGGGCCAGGCTGTACCCCCAACCCAGGCCCTCCTTAAGCCTGCACCCCCAGCCCAGGGCCTCTTCACCATGCACCCCCAGCCCGGTCATCCCCAGCCTGCATGCCCCCAGCCTGCACCCCCAACCCAGGGCTTCCTTAGCCTGCACCCCCAGCCTGCAACCCTAGCCTAGCCTGCACCTCCACAGCCTGCAACCCTCTGCATGCATCCCCGGCCTGCACCCCTCGGCATACACTCCCAACTCGGGCCCTCCTCAGCCTGCACCCCAAAAGCAGAGCCTCCTCAGCATGCACCCCCAGTCGGGGCCTCCCCAGCCTGCACGCCCCCAGCCTGCACCCCCAACCCAAGGACTCCTTAGCCTGCACCCCTCTGCATGCACCCCCCGCCTGCACCCCTCGGCACACACTCTCAATCCGGGGCCTCCCCAGCCTGCAACGCCCCCGGCCTGCACCCCCAACCCGGGGCCTCCCCAGCCTGCACCCCCGGCCGCACCTCGCGCGTGGTCACGTCCTCCTTCTCCGAGATCTTGAGCAGCAGCCGGTCGTTCTCCAGCTCCAGCGCGCGGACGCGGTCGATGTAGTGCGCCAGGCGGTCGTTGAGCTCCCGCAGCTCCTCCTTCTCCTGCAGCCGCGACAGGCGCGTGGGCGACAGCGGCGTGGCGGGCCCGCCCGCGCGGCTGGACAGCGGCGTGGCCATGGCGGCGGCTCGCGGCCTGCGCGGCTCCCGGGGGCGGCGGCCGGAGCTCGGCGCGCTCATTCAATCCGCCGCCGCGCAAGATGGCGCCCGCCCGCCCGCCGCGGGGCGCGCCGGGAGCTGTAGTCCGGCGGCGGGCGTGCGCGCGGGGCGCGCCGGGAGCTGTAGTCTCCAGCCAGCCGGCCACCTTGCAGCCGCCTGAGGGTGTGGACTTGGGGACAGCGGGAGGTGGACGCGCTGTGGAGGGAAACGAGGCAGGTGCGGAAGCACACGCCTTGCAGGTGGTATGAAGCAGCTGGGAAAGTTGATCTCGATGAGAAAACAGAGTAGCTTAGAGTGCTATTACGAGATGGGCAGAGTTCCAGGAATTCTATAAGGCTGCATTTTATGCAAAACCAGATGAGAGGATTTGCAGCCAAGGGCAATGCAACCTTTAGGTTTGTTTTGTTTGTTTTTCTAAAATCTATTAGATATACAGAGAGGAGAAGAGACAGAGAGGAAGGTCTTCCATCTGATGATTCACTCCCCAAGTGACTGCAACAACCAGAGCTGAACCGATCCAAAGTCAGGAGCCAGGAGCTTCCTCCAGCTCTCCCAAAGCGGGTGCAGGGTCCCAAGGCTTTGGGCCATCCTCCACTGCTTTCCCAGGCCACAGGCAGGGAGCTGGATGGGAAGTGGAGCAGGCGGGATTAGAACCGGCGCCCACATGGGATCCCAGCACATTCAAGGCAAGGACTTTAGCCGCTAGGCCACTGCACTAGGTCCCACCCTATAGTTTTAAATGTTGTGTCACGCACAGAGAAAGATCTCTCATCTACTGGTTCAGCCCCCTAGTGTTGCCCATGGAGGGGGTGTGGGCAGAACCGAGAACCCCTAACGTGCCCACCACCTCTCCCAGGGACCTAAGCCACCAATCACCTCCCAGGTACCCCGAAGTGGGACTCAGACCACAGGCCTAATTCCCCAGGTGGCTACGGTGGGGGGCTTGGGTTGCCCTCCCGTGCCGCTCTGCCCACCCATCTCAGTGAGCTCATAGCAAACCAAGGCAGGCAGACACACGAAGCAGGGAGGTGCAGGAGGCTGTACAGGCTGGCATGGTAGTGTGGCCAGCTAATCCTCCAACATCCTCCGTAGGGGGTCCCAGCTGCTCTGCTTCCCATCCAGGCCCCTTCTAGTGCACCTGTGGAGGTAGCAGTGGAGGTCGGCCCAAGACCCTGGGCCTTGCACCCACAGGGGATCCACCTTGCCCAGCCCCAGCCATTGTGGGTGTTCCAGGGTGCGAGCCAGCAGGTGGAAATCGCTCTGTCTCCCCTGTCTCGGTAGACCCTGCCAGCTCTGTAGGATGAATTCACGGATGACAGCAAACACCACGGCGCCGGAGACCTGAGGGCGACCAGCCCCCTGGGAGTCGCTGGCCCAGAGGCACCTGTGGTTTTCATTGGAGCCCTTTCCAACTTGAAATGAATGGGCACCCCATCAGAGTCCAGGACAGGGCTTGAACCAAATTGGAGCCTTGTGGAAATGCCACTTAACGGGGTCCCCTCAGCAGGTGGGACCCTGCCGTGGGGAGATGTTACAGCCAACAGCGCCAGTAGTGTGGACACCTGGAAGGTCTGACCCCTGAAGGTCTGAGGGATTAAGCACCGACAGGAGACCAGTGATGGTGAAAGTCCCTCCCAAGCCTCTCTGAGGCCTCCCTTTAGTGTCTCCTCTCTTGACCTTTCACCTACTTCTTATTTACTCTTTCCCCCACACCCTCATTAGCGCATATTGGATACAGCTGAGAACAGGTGCTTCTAGCCCCAAGCCCACTCCCCGAGTGCTAGTCAACTCCTTAGCCCGCAACAGGGAGAGGCTGGGGGTACGCAAGGACCAGTACCCCCTCACCCTGTCTCGGGGAAGTGATGTAAACAGCCCCCATGTGCCCCAAGAATGCACTCAGTGAGGACCTGACAGTGCACCTCTCAGTACCCAGGTTTGACTCCTGCCAGTGCACCCCGGGGTCTCTGCCTGCGTCACCCACACTCCACCTTGTTGGCACACCGGGCCCTTGGCTGCCAGGTTGGACAGCTGCAGGCATCTAGGAGATGAACCAGCAGACAGGAGCCACCCCTACCCCCTGGACTGCGAGTCCAGGCTGGACTGCGAGTCCCAGAAAGCCCCGCGCGTCCGTGGGTGGGGCCGAGGGCTGTCCCCCTCTGCCCCAGGCGCGTCCTGGGAGGCAGCCAGGCGATTTTCAAAACTTGGCGCTCAGCGGGCAGGGGAGGGAGGGTAGTGACAGCTGTGGCCAGGCCCTGTGACTGACCCCTGGTGGGGGAGTGGCCTGTCCACTCCAGGAACAGAGGCAGACCTGGAGCTACGAGGGACCACTCCAGGCCAGCAGGGGCATTGCGATCCCGGGATTGGAGTTGGGGAGGGAGCCCTAGGGGATGGGTCCAGCGTCCAGGGACCCCACTGTGCCCAACGGCTAGATGTCAGCTCCCCACGACAGGGGATGCTGTGGCTCCTGGCCCAGCCCGGAGTTCACAGCTGTCAGGCCTCTGTGCCTGCAGCTGCTGCTGGCGTCGTGCTTGGCGGTTGGTAGCAAGTGCTGGCCCCTGTGTCACCCACACTGGGAGCCTGTGGTAGGGGTGGGGGTGCAGATCCTGGCTCCTGGCTGCAGCCTGGCCCCGTGCCAGCCACTGTGGGCATCTGTGCAGCTGCCCCTCTCCTGCCAGGGGCTGCCGCCTGGGTCACGGTCACGCCCTCACATTCTCTCTGTATTATTGCCCCCACTGCCTAGGGCTAGGCAGGGACACAGCTCTCATCCACCAAGTGGCTGCAGATGGAGCCTCCCAGCAGGGTAAGGGAAGTTCCAGGAGCCAGGCGCCATCCTGCAGGAGAGGGATCCAGGGGTCCAGTGGGCTGAGCTGCCACCTACCATGCCAGTATCTCATAGGGGTGCTGGTTCAAGTCCCGGCTGCTCCACTTCCCATCCAGCTCCCTGCCTGTGGCCTGGGAAAGCCATCAAGGATGGCCCAAAGCCTTGGGACCCTGCACCCACGTGGGAGACCTGGATCCAGCTGTTGCAAATATCTAGCGAGTCTTTTATTAAAACAAAAAGACCTCTGGAACCAGTGCCAGAAACCCGGCATCTCCACTGAGTTGGCCTGTTCTCTTCTTTTTAAAAATACTTCTCTGCTGGCTCATTCCCCACATGGCCACTGCAGCCAGGGCTGGGCCAGGCAGAAGGCAGGAGCAGCATCCGGGTCACCCATGCACATGCAGGCCCGAGCACTGGGGCACAGGTGAACAGCAGCCAGGACCAGGAGTGACTGCAGGAACCAAGACATGAGACAAGCTGACTAACTCCTGGCTCCACGCCTGTCGTTAGAGGAAGTGTCCCCTGCTCCCTGGTCACATTCCGCCCCCAACCGGACACATTCTGGGGAGGCGGGTCTGGGTGGAGGTATTCCTGCAGGCGGTGCCGGCTCCCTGGCGTGGCACCCAGGGCCCAGAAATGAAACCTATTTGGGAGGTGGCGGGGAAGCCCCAGGAGCAAGGAGGTTAGGGGCATGGGTGGACATGTGGTCAGGAGTGGACCCACAGAGGCTGGAGTGTGGGTTAGACCAGCGGCCAGGAGTGGACCCGCAGGCTGGAGCATGGGTTAGACAGGCAATCAGGAGTGGGCCCGCAGCTTGGATTCTGGGTGAACATGTGGCCAGGAGTGGGCCGGCAGGCTGGAGTGTGGGTTAGACGGGTGGCCAGGAGTGGACTTGCACTCGAAGCAAGTAAGGCAGGAAGGCTGGCCAGACCTGTGGGTGCTGGGAGCAGATGGGGAAGGGACTGTGTGGCAAGGCTGGGCCCCAGCCTGGCTCTTGGGTTTTGCTAACTAGGTATGGCAAGCAGCCGGGGGCAGCGGGGACCCAGAGGTGTCCCTCTGTGGTGAGGATGGGGGACTGAACCCCGGGTGCTCCCATGTGGGCTGTCCCCAGGGGCCCTGGCTCAGTTGCTTCCCATGTCACTCCCTGTGCCTGGACTGTGAGATGCAGCTGGCAAGTGCAGGGCACACAGCTTTGGGGAGGGGGGCGGTGGTGCACAGTGGAGTCTCAGCCAGAGGAGCAGTGGCCCTGGCCTTACTCCCCCAATCCCCCCAGCGTCTGCCCAGCCCTCACAGCCACCTCCATCCCGGCCCTGGCTGTCCCAGGGTCTCCCACAGGCCTCCCACGTGACTCAGCCTCACTGGGAAGGCTGTTGTTGGACCAGAAATCATGTCATGTTCATCCTTTACCGAGAAAACCTGAGCTCACAGCCTGGGCTTCCTGCCACACCCCCACCCGCCCCCCAGCTCTGAGGCCCTCGGCTCTGATCTCAGTCACCCCCTACACACACCATGTCTAAGAGCCATGTGACAACTGCAAGCTTACAGACGTTTCTGGAAACCGTGCATTCTGGGGGGACCCTTAGAGTGGCATGGACACCTATACCAAGACTTACACATTTTTCTTGCACCCCAACTTGCCCATCTTCCATGTGTCCCCTGGGCGGCAGGAGGCCCACGCGGGCGCCTCCGTGCAACCCGCTAAGCCTGCATGGACGCAGGGGCCCCTCCCGGGGTGGCCAGCAGGTGGTGCCGGCGCGCCACAGCTCGCAGCTCCTATGGCGCCGGGGAGCCGCAGGGCCCAGCCAGACCCCCAGGTTGGCGAGGAGGGGACTCAGGAGTGAGTCATTCGGGAGTCCCCCGCCCGGCTCGTGACCCACGGGAGTCCCCCCAGGTTCCCAGCTTTGTGCACGTAGCTTGGGTAAGCCAGCACAGCCCGAGGTCCCCCATCATATTCTGCATGCACCCACGCCGGGTCGAGTCTCGCCTTGGCTTGCTCGCGGGCGGACCGCGAGGACGCCAGGTGGCCTGGCAGGGCTGCGCCACCAGCGCCTCCCATGCGCGGCCAGCCTGAAGCTCGTGGGCAGCGGCGCCCGCCTTTGGGGAAGCGGGGGTGAGGCTGGAGACGGCTCACTGCACCCCCCCAGGGAACGTGTGCTGGGTTCCAGAACGCGCTGCTTGCAGCGCACCGAGCGGCCGGGTT